GGGGGGCGGCTCTGCCCCTCAGCAGGCCGCTGGGCCTGCTCTGTCTTTGGTCCCAGTTCCCTCTACTATGCCGGCGCAGGGGGAGGGGGCGGCTCAACCTCTCAGCAGGCGACTGCTCCTCTTCTGCCGGTGGGTCGCAGGCCCGCCTACCTTGCAGGAGTGATTGGAAGCTCTGTCCCGCCCTGGGCCACTGGGCCTTTTCTGTCGGTGGTCACCCTTCCCCTACCTGGCAGGCGAGGGGGGTGGGGGGCGGCTCTGCCCCTCAGCAGGCTGCTGGGCCTGCTCTGTCTTTGGTCCCAGTTCCCTCTACTATCCCTAATATTCTTAAGGACTCTTCTATTCCTTGTCTTTTTTCTGGCTTTTAACAAAAAATTTAAGTATGTTATGACTTTTCTCTCATTTTCTATGACTGTTTATTCAATAAAGTTTTCTTTTCCTTTTCCAGTTTCTGTTTACTTATATAGTAGATTGGAATAACCATTATGGTCTCATCTAACAAAATGCTTTCTGAGAGGTAGCTTAGGGAAATACCTGGGTTTGAATTATAGTTACACCATTACTGAGTGGCCCTTGATAAGTTACTTAGTAATTTTCTGTACTTTAGTTTTCATCTTCAAAATGGGGTAATAACAGTCTCTACCTTATGGAAACAATATGAGGATTATATAAATTAATATATGTAAGGCACTTAGAATATTGCCAGATACAGTAAAAATGCAATACATGTTCATTTTTATGACTATTATTACTTCTCTTTGTTCAAACTCCTCTAAATTATTTCTTCCAGGAAAAACATCATCTAAATGCTTTGAGACCTTTAGAATTCATTGACCTCTTTCTCATTTCATTATTTCTACTGGTGCTCTGCATGCTGTGAGGGGCACAGTACATACAGTGTCTTGTTGAGAAGGAAACTTAGTGACTTACTTGATGGCCTACTGAGGGTCAGAATCCAGGTCATCACTTTGCCCTAGCCTAGTGCTCATTTCACTTAACACACAATATAAATTAGCAAAAAATTTTTTAATATACTTGGTTCTTCATCATTGAAATATCAATTTTAATATAGTTTAGGTTTACTTTAACCATTGATGATTATATAGCTCAGAGTGCTTAAAATATAGGTAAAAGAATTTGTAATGAAATCACAGAATATCATCTCAGGAGGTTATCTCTGAAACTGAATTGCTGAATACTACTTAAGTCCCAAGGCAGACAATCACAGACCAGAAAGAGGACAAGGAAAGTGACTGTCACACAAGAGACAGATTTATAAAAATGACAGTTTTCCCCTATTATTCATGGCCTAAGATCACTATCATTTTGCCATTAAAACTATGCCTGTTAAATTATTATGATAGAAGTGAACAATTAGATATGAGGTAGAAGAGAATTAAGACAAGAGAAAGATAATATGGAATTACAGGGAAAATTTCAAATAAACTTGAATATGAGAAGTTCTAATTACTTGGTGGTAATTTTTTAAAGTCCACAGAAGTCCTCCCTTATCCACTTACTGGAAAATTTCCTTGGAAATAGTTATCTTCTAGGAAGTATGAATATTTCCTCTTTTGCTTTCATAGTCAAAAGATTCTTAGTCACCAATCATGAGGAAATGAAACAGTAACACATGAACTAAACAGTATTTTAGATAGCAAAAAATCCTATTCTCAGAAATAGAAATTCTAATAACTCTAATACCTTAGAACCGATATACATAACCAATACATACCTTAGAACCGACTTTTCTTATTTAAACATTTTTATATGACTTTACTATTGTACTTTTGGGTATAATATTTTAAACTTTTGGATATAAATATTTTCAGTGTGTAATCACTTTCTTTCATTATATCAAACATGTTTATACCTGCACGTGATGGACAACAGATTGGAGAGTTTGTGTAGGCATTCAGAAACGAAGTGCCATGTGTTTTCATGAAGTTGATAAAAGGAAGTTTCACTACCTGACTTCCTGGATGAAATGTTAGCCTTCCGTCCTGGAAAAAAAGAAATTTAATCAACATTGACTGCATTAAAAAAAGAAAATTATTTCCTTTAATTTCACATGAAATTCACAATAGCAGAAGACTTCAACACGACTGTATTTAACCTCAAAATATAAAACAAGTGCTACAGGAATCTATGGTATAAACATCTCAACTTCAGTATTACACTGAATTAATTCAGAATTAATTCATATGAATATAGTAAATAAACTAAAGGACTTCTGGGAAAGTTCTTTTGAGGGATGATGGGCTAATTGAAAGTATTTATTAATACTAATAATAGTAATAGTATTAATACTATTAATACTAATATAAGTGTTTATTGAGTATGTAACTATGTGCCAAGCACTGTGCAAGAGTTGAGGATACCATAATGAATAGAATAGAGTCCTGCTGCGGCTGGGGTTGTAACTCAGTAGTAGAGTGTTTGTATAATATGTGTGAGGCACTGGGTTCAAACACCACATATAAATAAATAAAGGTCAATCAACAACTAAAAAATATTAAAAAAATAGAGTCCTGCTCTCATGAAGAGTTAAAATAGAGTCCTGCCATTATGAGCTAGTTGGAGAGACAAAACAGACACTAAACAAAACATGAATATTTACAAATTGAAGGGCTTTGAAAAAATCCTGAGATAGTGATTTGGTTGCTCCTGAACATTGTTGAATCAAGATTGAACCATAGCTGGGTACTCAGTTCCTCAAGATTCTGGACTAGAGAGAACCTGAGAAGTTTAGATTTCAGTGCATCATCCTAATGAAAGAATCTAACAGTACCCAACTACTTGTTATGGCAAGATTGTTTATAGTGTTCTTCCCAGTAATGTCCATCACACTAAAAGACATTTTCACCAGACTCTAGTATACACTCCTGTCCCCAGTCCCCACTCCTGAAACTCTCCACACTAAACTAAAATCAATATAAGTGCAGTGCTGAGGAGATGAAGGGAAGTGGAAGTTGGGGTTTAGAGATGCCTATGTCCTTCAATACCCAGGCAGAGGTGTTTATTTTCTTTTCAAGAAATGGGTTTTTAAAGATATAGTTCACATATCCATACAACTCACCCATTTAAATTGTACAATTCAATGGTTTTAGTATATTCAGGAAGCTCAGCAACCCTCACTGCATTGCTTTTAGAATATGCTCATCATCTCCAAAAGAAACCGCATACTCTTTAGCCATCATCCTCGATTCTCTCAAATCTCAGGTAATCACCAATCTACTTTCCATCTCTCTATATTTGTTTTCTCTGGACATTTCATATAAGTAGCACTTATAAAATGTGGCCCTTTCTTATTTCTTTTACTTAGCATAACATCTTACAGATTTCAACCATATTTTAGTATGTATCAGTACTGCAATTCTTTTTTATTGTTGAATATATTACCAAATTTTATCTATTTAACAATTATGGACCTTAAGGTTGTTTCCATTTTTCAGTATTAGTATAATATTGCCAAAAAATCCATGTACAAGTTTTTGTATAGACATTTGTTTTCATTTCTCTTGGGCATATGCCAGAAGTAGAATTGTAGGATTATGACAGTCCTGTGTTTAACCATTCTAAGAACTACCAAACCGTTTTCCAAGATGACTGCACCATTTTATATTCTCACTAGCAGTGTCTGTGGGTTCTAATTCCTTCATATTCTTGCCAACTCTAGTTATCTTTTTGATCACAGCCATGCTCATGGGTGTGAATTAATCTCTCCCTATTGATTAATGATGTTGAGGATTAGCCATCTATATAACTTCTATGGAGAAATGCCTTTTTGGCCCTTTTCTTTCTTGGTGTGTGTGCTAGGGGATGAATCCAGATCCTCACACATGCTAGGCAAGCACTCTACCACTGAGCCATATCCCTGGCTGTTTGGCCCATTTTATAATTGCTTAACCCAAGATTATGAAGATTTATACCTACGTTTGCTTGTAGGAGTTTTATAGTTTTAGCTTTTACATTTGAGTCGTTGATTCATTTCAAGCTAATTTTTGTATATGATTGAAGGCAGGATCCAACTTTTTTCTTTCTTTTCACATAGATACTCAGTTTCCTCAGCATCATTTGTTTAAAAGCTCATTTTTTCCTACTAAGTGATCTTTTTTTTTTTTTTTATTAGCTACACATGACATTACAATGATCTTGGCAATTCATACATTTGAATCAACTGGGGTACAATTTCTCATTTTTCTGATTGTACAGATTGCAGAATCACATTGGTCATACAGTCATCTATATACATACAGCAATCATAATGTCTATTCTATTCTGCTGCCCTTCCTATCTCCCATTCCCCTCCCCTCCCCTCCCATCCCTACTAAGTGATCTTAACTCCATTGTTAAAAATCACTTTACCATAAAAAGGAGGGTTTTTTTCCCTGAACTTTTTAATCTATTTCATTGATTTGCATATTTATGTACCTTTATGCCAGGAACACATTACATTGATTACTGTAGCCATGGAGAGATTGATAAGGATAGCATTGAATTTGCAAAACAACTTGGTATTACTATATTAACAATATTAAATCTTTTACTCCATGAACATGAGATGCCTTATCATTTACTGAGGTGTTCTTTAACTTCTTACAACAATGTTTTTTAGTTTTCAGAGCATAAGAATTGTACTTCTTTGGCAGATTTATTCCTATTTCGTTCCTTTCATTGCCACTTTATTTATTTATTTATTTTTTCATTAGTTACACATGACAGTACAATGATCTTGACAATTCATACATTTGAATCAAATGGGGTCATTGCCACTTTAAATGAAATTTCTTAATTTTTTTTAAGTTGTAGATGGACAGCATGACTTTATTTTCTTTCTTTATTTTTATGTGGTAGTGATGATTGAACCCAGTGCCTCATGCGTGTTAGGCGTATGCTCTGAGCCACTGAACCACAAACCCAGCCCTCTTTTCTTAAGTTTTTGATCAACTACATGTATAGAAATTCAACTGATTATTGTATATTGATCTTGTATTCTACAATCTTACTAATTTATTAGGTTAATAGTTTTGTGTTTTTCCTGACTAGAACAGTTGAGAACACAATACTTGTCTTCTTTCTGATTTTAGGCAGAAAATATTCAGTCTCTTGATACTACATACAATGTTAGCTCTGACTTTTTTGTAGATGCTTTTTACCATGTTAAGAAAGTACCCTCTTATTTCTAGTTGGTGGAATGCTTTTAGCATGAAGGACTACTGAATTTTGTCAAATGCTTTTTCTGCATCTATTGAGATGATCACATGGGTTTTGTCCTTTACTCACTTAACATGATATATTACATCAATTGATTTTCAGATATTAAATCAATCAAGCATTTGGGGATAAATTCATTTGCTTATGATGTTAATACTTTTCATATTCAGATAAATTTGATTTGCTAATAGTTTTAAAGGATCTTTGTTTCCATATTCCTAAGAGATAGTGGTCCATAGTTTTCTTGTGATGTATTTGGGTGGCTTGCAAATCAAACACATACTGATTTGTTAAGAACAAATTCTTAATTCCCCAACTTCTCATGTTTCACAAGAGTTTATGAAGAATTAGTGTTAATTCTTCTTTAAATATCCTTTATGTGTTTAGTAAAATTTACCAGTGAAGCCATCTGGGCCAGGGTTTTTGGGCATGGGTGAGTTTTAAATTTACCAATTCAATCTTTTTGTCATGGGTCTATCCAGGTTGTCTTATTTCTTGTTAGTAGTTTGTGTATTTGTAACAATCTATCCATGTCATCTAAGTTTTCTGATTTGTTGACATATTTTGTTACACATTACATAAGGGAATATAAGTAAATATAAGTACTCCCTTACAATTCTTTTATTTGTGTAAGTTAATGTCCCTTCTTTCTTCCTGATTTTGGTAATTCAGGCCTCTTTTTTTTTTTTTTTTTTTTTCCTACCTTGGCCATGCAGCCAAAGGTTTGTCAATTTTCTTGATCTTTTAAAAAAATTAATTTTTGGTTTCATTGATTTTTCTCTTTTGTTTTTCCATTATCTATTTCCTTAATTTCTGCTATGCTCCTTATTATTATTTTCTCCTTGAAGGAGCTTGACTGGTCTTTTTGGCTTATCTCTCCTGTATGGATGCTTTACAATATTAGTGAGCTTCAGCAAGGGTGAATGGGGATTTAGTATTCTCAGCCTCCTGCACCTGACATAGAGTCTCTGTCCTATAATAATGTGGACTAGAGGAGGGGAACCCTCAACACCTTGGCTGCAAGTACCTGGAATTGAACCCATTCACATTGGATTTGGAGGAGATGAAAAATGCTGACAGCTGTCTCTTCTGGTGAGATACTGTAATCTGTGATAAGAGAGTTGAGAGGAAAGGGAGCCCTGTCTTCTTGGTCACATTTGCCTAGAGTAAAGCCTCTGTCAAGCCATGGTTCACTGCCATGGACTCATGCTCTTCTTACCAAGTTTTAGCAGATTTTGTTGAATAAATGTTTACTCATTTGGTACTTGCTCTTAGGATGATTTCCAGATACTTAAATGCTATTTAATCATTTTTAAAAGTAGTTTTATTTCTACTTTTTTTAAAAGTAAGTTTTACTAGTTCTGCTGGGTAGTGGTCCTTTTGTTGCCATGCTGAAAGTAAAAAGCAAAGTACTGTTTTCTTACCCCAATTATTATTAGTTCAACTGCCCTATGATAAATCATATTGTCAAGAATAAGACCGCATATCAAACTGATATAGTATAACCATAGACAGAATTATTATTTTAAATTGGCTTAAAGAATAGTGTTAAATACACCTAAAACAAAAATTGCAAAGAAACTCTAAGTTGCATTCAGGACTACCATTATTTGGAATAATATTACCATCTCATTTTCATATATATATATATATATATATATATATATATATATATATCTTCATAATTTAAGATATGAGTTGAAACTATCAGTATGTTATCAGATTTTTGTTGCTGTAACCAAATATCTGATAAGAACTTGGCTTAAGGTTTCAGATGTATCAGTTCATAGTGGCCTGGATCCATTGCTTTGGCCCTAAGGTGAGGCAGAACATCATCAGGAAGGGTATAGCAGAGGAAAGCTGCCCAGGCTCAGGGCAGGAATAGCTGGGAGAGAACTGGGAACAGTCCCCAATAGCATGCCCTCAAGGGATCACTCCCTTCAACTCCTTTTAGTTTCCACTACCTCCCACGAGTCCAAAGTATTAATCCATCAAATGGATTAATTCATTGATATGGTTTACAGCCCTGAGGATCCAGTCATTTCCTAAAAGCCCCACCTCTGAACATTTCTGAATTGGGGACCATGCCGACAACACAGGAATCATTGGGGGAAACTTCATATCCAAACCATAACAGGGTTTTTATTACTTCTAGACCTTTCTGGTGTACTGATCTAGAAACTACATATATTTTAGAAAGAGGATAATAAATTGTGAGATCGCACTGATACTTTTAATTGAAATTTAAGTTTATAAGAGGCTGAGGCAGGAGGATCTCAGTTCAAAGCCAGCCTCAGCAACTTAGCGAGACCACGTTTCTAAATAAAATATAAAAAAAGAGCTGGGGATATGGCTCAGGATTAAGTGCCACCGGGTTCAATCCCTAGTACTCTTCCCTCACAAAATGATGATGATGATGGTATTATTATTATTATTATTATTATTTTACATAAACACACAATTTCTCTGGAATATAAAGGAATGGATCAAATTATATCAACACATTTAAATTAGCATTAACAGGATTATTAGATACTTGGGTGATAAAGTTAACTTTCTTCACTTCTCATCCAAACATTAATTCCTGTGAAGAGGAAAGCTAACATTGTTTTATGGATTTGCAGAATGTTATTTCCCCCAAATGAATCAAACGGTATGGACGAAAAATTCATTAATAGTGGTAAAATAATTTAGTGGTTAGAGGTCAGCATTAAAAATAAAAATTGTAAAGATGCTATTAGAGTGCATTTCACTTACTAAAGTATTGTTTTAAAATACATGCATATGTATGTGATGTAGGTGCGTACATATACGTGGCCTCACAATAAAATGTACTTAACTGTGCATCGGGATAAAACATATTCGAAAGCGTCTCAAACTGCTCCCCAAAGCCTTCAGGGCTGGAGCAGGTCGCAGATCTAGAGCGGCGGGTCACCCGGCCCTCACCGTACTTACGAAGGAATCGCTCACAACTAGCACCACGTTAGGCACCGGGGCTGCTCGCCGCCTCTGCCCGTCTGTCCCGGGGGCTGGCGCTGCCAGCGCAGAGGCTGCGACCACAGACACCCACAGCAGCAGCATGGGCATAGCGGTTCCAAGAGCCGCCTGCTGGGCCCGCCTCTCCTGGAACTCCCTGCAGGTGTGAGAGGGTGGAGACGTCCAACAACTCCCAGAACTTGCAATTTGGTTTCCACATACTACACAGTAAAGCAAAACTCCACCCGCTGAACTACTACTTCCATCAGGCTCAAAGCGGGCACATGCGCAAAGAAGGAACACCCCGCCTCTCCTTAACCCACGTTAAGTCCTTTTAATCAAATGCCGAGCATACTAACCCCAGCCCCTCCCAGTCACGTGAGCGATGCCTGGGAAAGGCGCATGCGCCTTCACTTCGGACTTGGCGTTTCTGTAGGAGCCGAATCTGTCCCAGGTGGGTTTGGTTCGCGGTCGTTTTTGCATAAATTGGAGCCTAAAGGCAGTTGAAATGGTACTTTGAGAAAGGATCGGGGCCGGTGCTGTTCGATTTGCGCCGAACATGCGTGGCTTAGTGTTCCGCGAGAGCGTGAACCGGGCGTTGATGAGGTGGCGGCGTGTCTGTCACTTAAGTTGGGTGGGGCGGTTCCTTATGGGGCTTTGCCTGGACGCGTTCAGATGCGGTGCGGATACTTTAGGGCACCTGAATTCCCTTTTTAAGGAAAATTCTAGCCTACCTTATGTGGTTACCTCTCCTTGCCTATGCAGTAGGATTTATTGTGAAAAGTGGGGCCTGGTAAGAAGTTTCAGGTTCTAGGCGGGGAAAAGCTTAGTTTGTTCCTTGCCTTCTGAGTGCAAAGGAGAAAAACAAGCAGAAGCTTAAAGGAACAAATGTTGGGCTGTGTGACGTGTTCAGTTGATTGACGTAGGTTCCAAATACTGTTGTTTTGCTGCAGAGTAATCAGCTATTCTCTTTTAATTGTTTAAATCTTTTGGAGAATTCTGGAAGAAGCAGATTTCTGATTCAGAGCCAGATTCTTCATTTCATTATCATAGTTTCAGGTATATAATTGCACATCACACCGATTGTTTTTAATCTTTTTCAGGAAAAGGAGGAATTGTACAGCTTATTTTTTTTTAAAGAAAAACCAACACAATTTTAAAATCCTGCAACTTTTTTTTTTTGCATAGAATAATTGTGACAGGAGTCAGACCTTAAATATTTAATAACTCACATACCATTTTGTGCTGAGTATTATACTAAGCATATACTTAATATCTACTGTGTGCCAGGTGCTTTTACAAGGAATGTTTTCTTACTTTGACCATTTTGCTGATAGGAAAGCAGATTCAGAGAGGTTAAATGAATGGATTTAAGGTCACACTGGGAGTCAGCCTGAGCAGGACTGGAAATTGTGCCTTAACTCACTACTCTGTCACCATTAATTACAAATTTTCCTAACAACCTACTAAGTTTGTTTTGTATTATGAAGCAGAATTGTTAAGCATCATGCTAATCAGATCTGGGAACATGCAGAAATTCAAACTTTAGATTTTTCCACAAGGAGCTTACATTCTTAGCAAACCTAACATACCTAAAATAATAGTACATTATGGAATTTAATACAAGTAGACTCCCTCAAGAACAGAATATGTTTCCAAAATTGTTTTGGGCTAATTTGGAATGTAGGACATTATCATAGAAACAATATCTGCTGAAATTTAAGATTCATAAAATTTTTGTTTAACTTCTTTTCATGGCATAGTAATGGTTCTGTGAGGTATATTTACTTTCTGTGGCTTTGTATATACAGGCCTTTATTCTGATGACAGGATTACAAGAACACATCTTATTCCTCCTCTTTCTTCTCTTGGCAGTGTGAATGAAAGCTGATGCTGCAGTGGGTTCAAACAAGATAGATATTTCAGGGCTCTAGAGACATAGTGCTGGAAAAAATCTTTTAAGATTTATAGTCTTGATTTATAGTCCTTTGTTTTCTCACCAGTAAGACCCTTTACTGCTGAACTGACCATTCAGCTTGCCCTACAACATTCTTGATGATTGGATTATCCAGCTGTGCTTTGTCATCTCCAGTGATGGGAAGCATACTTCCTTTGAGCAGTCCATTCCACATTTGTGTAGGTCTAAGTATTAAAAGTTATTATTTTGAGGGTTGTAATTCAGTGATAGAGTGCTTGCCTAGCACATGTGAGGCACCGCATTCAGCACCACATTAAAAAAAATAAAGATATTATGTCCATCTACAACTAAAAAAAATTTTTAAGTTATTCTTTTGCACTGCAGTCAGTCTGCCTCTACTTTTAACCACTCATTCATTACTCTCCACTTTTACATGGGTAATCTCTCCCTTTGAACTGTCTTTACCTCTGCTCCACTAATTTAATTTTCTTAGTCTTTCCCTCAGTTTCTTCAGCTAGTTATATAATTTTAGATTTCTTCATTGTTTTGATCACTCTCCTCTGAACATGGAACATTTTTACTTATCACTAACTTACACTGTCAGAAAATGTACTTTGTAGGTGCACATGTGTGTATATTTATGTTGCAGTGAGGATAGGGGTTCTGTTTTAGTTTGCAGGGGCTGTCATAATAAAACATTAGATTGGTTGGTTTAAACAACAGAAATTAATTTTCTCATAATTGTGGAGTTTAGAAGTCAAATATCAAGGAGTTGGCAGGTTTAGTTACTTTTGAGGTTGCTTTTCTTAGTTTGCAAATGGCCAGCTTTTTTTTCTGTGTCTTTATATGGTCTTTCCTTCTATACATTTGTATCACTGGTGTGTCCAGATTTCTTCCAAAGATGATAGTCTAGATTAGGGTTCACCTTTATGAGTTCACTTAGCCTTCATTACCTTTGTTATCTCTAAGTACTTTCACATTCTGAAGTACTGGTGTTAGGGCTTCAAGATATGAATTTTGGGTATGTTTCAGCCCATAATAGTCTCTGTTATATGTATATATCTTAAAATCATCAATTAAAGGTTACTAGGTTAGGGATTGCTTGCTTTAGTAAATTACTCTCTTTTTCAGAAAAGTCTTCAATTGAAGAGTCTTAGTCTAATTTTTGATTCCCTGTACTTCTTTTTAATGTCCAAATTCTCATTAGTACTGTGTGTGCTGCCTATAGCAGTTATCCTAGGAACTTCTGGTCTAGTTTTGGGAGACACATTTATACACACATAAATTTAATAATAACATAAAGTTATCAAATTAATTGCCAAATAAAAAATGAAAACCAAGACATTCCAGATGCTTTTGGAGAATGCTACCATTTTTAAAATGTCATCTGGTTTTCACTGGAAAAAAAAGTCTCATGATCACAGAAATTTCAGAATTGCTTGATTAAACTATTTTTGGGTATTTAGGACATCTCAGAGACTTTAAAAGTGCTAATGTACATTGTGACTTTGAAAGAGTGAGATGTATTATGTATGGTAGTCACAAAGTTCCTAGGCCATTTATTGATACCTTTAAGCATGCTAATGTTTCTTAGAATACATTTTTGGAAATGCACCTATAGGTAATAAATATACAAGTTCAAACTAGTGTGTGATTGGTCTGGGAAGGTTACGTGCTTAGCTCGTGAACTTGAATTCTGTGTAGTATGAAAATATAAACAGTGGACAGGCTGAATGGGAGGAGCAAAGATGTACAGGTATAAAACTCTGGAGGGTGATTAAAAAAAGTAATGTGAGGTAACATTGAAACATTACCATGTCATTTGGTGGTAGGGTTTTGTAGCTAGATCATCAGCTATTTGTTGTGTATGTATTGTATTGCTCAATAGGTATTGAATATTAAGAGACTCCAAAGATTTATGAACTGCATTTATGGATTTATTGAATTGAAACACAGGCCATATATATGTAGGATAATTTAAAGTATCTTTTAAATTCCAGGCTCAGCTAAGTGTGGTTCAGAGGAGGGAGTGATCCTGGTGGCAGGCTTTGCCCTAGTATTTGTGTAGTAACTTAATTTGAAGAGGATACTCATGTTTGGGGATAGCTGTCTTTTAAGTAAGATAAACAAGAAGATTACTTCTTGAACTAGGTATAGGAAAGTGGCAGAGGGTTTGGGAATTTTGAACATATAGAGAAAAATTTAATATAACTACTGGGTTACCATCATACTAGTCATTTTAGGAATGGCAGGAAAGTAGTGAAGTTACTTGAGAGGATAACAGATCAGGTGAACAGAATTAATATACTTGCGTTCGGGCATTCCATCTATGTGCATATCAGGTAAGTGATATCCTCACTTTACCAGCGAGGAAATGGTAAGGTTGAACAAAGTCAAAGGGGTTGATTTCTTAAGCTCCTTCTCAACCAGGTTAAGTCATGGTAGGTAAATATGACAGAGTCGTAGGATTGACAGAATCTGTGGTACTTCATAAGAACTGAGTTGAAGTGACTGAGTAACACATTAAAATCAAGGGTGGGGTGGGTAGTCAATTGTTGGATGGAGGCTAAAGGAATCAGTGGAATAAACCCAGGATTTTACTTTGTCTATTTTTAACTTTTATCTTAGTTTCCTAAACATTAAAAATAATAACATAAATAAAAAACATGAAATAACATAAATAAAAACATATGAAAAAATGTTCAATATCTCTTGTGTGGAATACCATACTTTGTTTTCTTACCAGTAAGACCCTTTACTGCTAAACTGACCATTGTATTAGGTAAATTTTAATACATGTTTTGGTCTTGTAAACTTACTTTCTGGTCCTTGTTCATCTGTATCTGTGTCTCCTAACATTTTGCACTTCCTAATTCTGAAGTAGCATGTTTATTTTCCACTTCATTCAGCTTTTCAAACCACCTTCATTCTTTCCATTAAGCATTTTAGGTAGTTTTGTTTGACATAAGCTATTTCAGAATGTCATCAAAATATCTTTAGAATTTGTAGTTGTGTATTTGTAGTTATATTTTAATGGCTATTTAAATATTTCTGATGACATGTTCACATGAGGTAATGTTTTCCTTAGTTTTCAAACTAATATAGTTGCATAATGTGGATAGCTTTTTACATACTTATAACCCTTTATATAGCTTAGAACGAGGTTCACTTTAGCATGGTTAGGCTGAAAGTTTGTAGTAAATAAGTGCCCTCAGTTTCCCTAGATTCAAAACAACATAGCATAGAAATAGTTAATATTCTTTTTTGGCTTAAGTCTTTATTTTGACTTGGTGTTTATTGAGTTTCTGATTTTTTTTTTTTTTTTTTCAGAATCTTTCTGATCTCCAAAAGACTTTTGTTTTCATTACCTGAGACTGTAGGAATGCAGTTTATGCCAATTCAGACATTTGAAGATTAAGATTAGTGTCTCACTGAGAAAGAAGATTAAAAATTGTACATGATTACTTCTCATGTTTTAAATTATTAATTGAATGTGAATATGATATTTAAAAAATTCATATTTGGGATTATGGATGTTATCCCTTTTATATTATTATCTTATTTGTTTTTATTTAATTCAGATGAAAAACAGGTAAAGAACAATCTGCAATTCAAGAAGAAGAAAGAGGTGGTGATAATAAGTAAAAGGTAAGTGTCTAAAATGCTTATTGATAAGCATCTAGAGTCTATATTTACTTAATGATTGCTATTACTGGTTCCTTTCAGAAGAAAGATTTAATGGCATAGATTTTGTAAATCATAATACAGCGAGGAAATGATAAGGTTGAACAAGGTCAAAGTAATTTTTGTTACTAGATTTCAGAGTATTATGTCAACTCAGGAACTGACTTCCTTAAACGACTCCAAAACACAAGAAGTAAAATCAAAATCAATAAGTGGAATAGCATCAAATTAAAAAGCTTCTTCACAGCAAAGGAAACAATTAAGAGCATGAAAAGAGAGCCAATAGAATGGGAGAAAATCTTTTCCACCTCCTCCTCAAAGTGGGCATATACAAGGAACTGAAAAAACTTAACACACATACACACACACAAAACAAAAATAAAATCAAAAACAAAAATAATCAATGGGCAAAGGAACAAAATAGGCAGTTTTCAAAAGAAGAATGAATGGTCAACAAGTATATGAAAAAAATGTTCAACATCTCTAGTAATTAGAGAAATGCAAATTAAAACTACATTGAGATTTCGTCTAACTCCAGTCAGAAGGCAGTTATCAAGAATACAAGTAACAATAAATGTTGGTGAAGTTGTGGGGGAAAAGGTATACTCATACATTGTTGGTGGGACTGCAAATTGTTGTAACACTCTGAAAAGCAATATGGAGATTCCTCAAAAATCTAGGAATGGAACCACCATATGACCTAGCTATTCGTCTCCTATATATATCCCGAAAGATAATCAGCATACTACAGTGAAATAGCCACATCAATGTTTATAGCAGTACAGTTCACAATAGCCAACCTATGGAGGAAACTGAGGTGCCCTTCAACAGATGAATGGATAAAGAAAATGTGGTATATATACATAATAGAATATTACTCAGCCATAAAGAAGAATGACTTTATGGCATTTGCTGGTAAATGAATGGAACTGGAGACCATCATCTAAGTGAAATAATCCAGCCCCTCAGCTGGGCACTTTAGGACATATCAATCAATTTATCTATGGCTGATAGTTTTGAGGATATTTATATCATTGCCTTTTTGGCATGACTATTACTAATTCTTCTTAAATATAGTTGCTACTTTTTAATCTTGATTTATATTGGATAAAAATGTTTTAGGTTGGTAGTAGAAAAATTCTTGGTCTGTACACAAAGGACTTAAAAACAGCATACTGCAGGGACACAGTCACATCAATGTTTATAGCAGCACAGTTCACAATAGCTGAACTGTTAAACCAACCTAGATGTTCTTCAGTATATGAATGGATAAAGAAAATGTGGTATATATACACAATGGAATATTACTCAGCAACAAAAGAGAATAAAATCATGGCATTCATAGGATGGAGTCGGAGAACATAATGCTAAGTGAAGTTAGCCAATACCAAAAAACCAAATGCTGAATATTTTCTCTGATATAAGGAGGCTGATTCATAATGGGATTGGGAGGGGGAGCATGGGAGGAGTAGATGAACTCTAGATAGGGCAAAGGGGTGGGAGGGAAAGGGAGGAGGCGGTAAAAATGATGGTGGAATGAGATGGATAGCATTACCCTAAGTACATGTATGAAGACACAAATGTGTGAATATACTTTGTGTACAACCAGAGATACGAAAAATTGTGCTCTATATGTGTAATATGAATTGTAATGCATTCTGCTGTCATATATAACAAATTAGAATTAAAAAAAAAAGGAAATGGGTTTCAGTAGTACCCAGTGGATGGTTAGTCCTCAATAAAGGTTTGCTTGAAAACTTAGTGAATGATCTGCTTCCTTTCTCCTCAAAAGGAGAGAAGTAGTTTTTAGGTAATTAAGGTTCCAATATTTTGTTTCTTTAGAAATTAATCTCCTGAAATTTAAATAAGCATGCATGCATGTGCACACACACACTCATACATATACACATTAAATGAAGAGAGAGGTCCTCACTGCTAGCAATGAGAAATGTCATTTCAAATGCAGAAGGAATGGGAATAGATTACTAGAGAATTGCACTGCAGCATAAGGAATTGTAATTATATATGGAGACACATGAATATGGAAAGACTGGAATGGGTTACCAAGAGACAGTGAAGTTTGATTCTAGTGATCTTTAGAAACAATCTACTTAAAAAGTTTTTAATGATTTCCTATTTGTTGCTGTATTTAAGTCCGGATTTGTCTGTGTGACTTTTAAAAGTTGTAATCTTAGACTCTACCTGTCTAATCTTGTTTCTTCTATTCTTTCGTGAGTCATTTCTGTTCCATTCAGCATGATTTTCTTATTGTTTCTTAAGCTTGCCACAGTCATTTCTGTCTCTTTGCTAATACAGTTTTTTCTGACTGGAGTAATTTTCTTTCTTTTTTTAAATTTAATTTTTATTTATTTATTTATTTTTTATAAAAAAATAGTTGTTCAAAACATTACAAAGCTCTTGACATATCATATTTTCATACATTTGATTCAAGTGGATTATGAACTCCTATTTTTACCCCGTATACAGATTGCAGAATCACATCGGTTACATATCCACGTTTTTACATACTGTCATACTAGTGTCTGTTGTATTCTGCTGCCCTTCCTATCCCCCCTCCCCTCCCCTTTTCTCCCCTCCCCTCTCTCTACCCCATCTATCGTAACTCATTTCTCTCTCTTGTTTTTTTTTTTTTTCCCCTTTCCCCTAACTTCCTCTTATATGTACTTTTGTATAACAATGAGGGTCTCCTTCCATTTCCCTGAAATTAAAATTTAATTTTTTATTGGTGCATTATAGTTGTATGTAATGATGGGATTTGTTATTATATATGTGTACATGCACATGTGGAGTGATTTTCTTTCTTTATTCCATTTTTTAAAATATTGTTTTAGTTATACATAGACACAATATCTTTATTTTGTTTATTTATTTTTATGTGGTGCTAAGGATCGAGCCCAATGCCTCACATGTGCAAGGCAAGCACTCTGCCACTGAACCACAACCCCAGCCCTCTTTCTTCCATTCTTAAGTCCTGTCTTCTTTTAGTAGCCATCAATTACATCACAAACCTTTTTTTCCTCTGAATTCCTACAGCACTTCTACTTAATCATCTGTGGTTTAGTATTTGGTTTTCTAGTAATTCATATGTCTTAGGTCTTTCTCTTGATGTATATTGTATTCTTTAGAACAGGGACCTTTTTTTATATCATGTGCAGTGAATAGCTTGGGGACTGCATGTAGTTTTAATGCCATTTGGTTCTACTGTTTATGTATATGCTCCCACTTAAATAGTAGGTTGTAGAAGAGATGGTGATCTTCATCCTGAAAAGGTGGTAGTCTTCTGTTTTTTTTTGTTTGGTGTTATTTTGAGGCTGCTTTTGTTCTTGATTTTTTTACTTGAAAGTTTCTTTTCATTGATCTAGATTGGTTATCATCATTGATGTTCTCTCTCTCTCTTTTTTAGTCTGTGGGTTATTTTACCAAAGGAAACAGGTTTATGAAAATCTGTGAAATCAGCATTGAACTCTGTTACCTAATCATTGAGATTTGTAAACTACAAAAGAATCCTTCTCAAGTTTTCACCCATAAATTAATACCAAGATAATTTCAGGTGAGGCAGTAGTTTTCAAATAAGAGCATATGAAATACTTTGCTTTAAATTATGTAATTATTATAATTAGGTGTAAGATTTTTTTTTTTTTTTGCCTATTTGAAGAATCTGGTTCTGGCTATAAAGAAGTTGCTTTTATGGCATCTTAATTTTTATATTATTTTATGTATTATATTATTTTCTTTAAGTCAAAAATATATTTTTTTTAACCTCTAACTTCACAAATTTCTTTGGATTTGGGCTTGTACGTCACCCTCCTTGTATATAAAGTATTATTAGTGTAATTCATGTTTTTGATTCATTTTGTTGATTAGTAATATATTAGTAATTCATGTTTTTGATTCATTTTGTTGATTAAAACATCTAGAGTCTATTACTACTTAATATTTATTCAATTTTGTTTTGCCTTTCTGGTGAAATTAGAAATAAATGAAGTTGGCAGAACATGCAAATGTTTCTTTTGTTTTCAATATTGAATTGTGATTGATTTGATTGCCTCCTGGTAAGCCAGAATAAGTTATAAAACTTAAAATAGGCTAATTTACTTAAAATCAAATTAATTTACTAGGCATGGTGGTTTATGCTTGTAATCCCAGCTATTGGGAAGCTGAAATGGAAGGATTGTAACTTCTAGGCTGGCCTGGACACTCTCAGCAACTGAGTGAGACACTGTCTTAAAAGTAACTCAGTGGTAAAGTACCCTTGGGTTCCATGCTCAGTACCATATTTCTTAACATTAAATGAAGAAATACTTTGTCTACCAATTGAAGTATCTTCTTATGGCTGAAGTTATTGTATAATCCTTTTTCATATTCATTATGCTACCATTCATGTATAAACATTGTGTTTATTTCTCTTTAGAGAAAATAATCTTATAGTAATCCTTATGTGAAGGCAGTTGATATTCTGATTTATATTTTTCAGAAACTAATATTAAAACAGAATGCTTTCTTAAACTTCCTTAAACTTTCCCATCATATTTACTGAATATTACTCTGTATAATTTACTAAATCTTATTCTGTGTAAGACTAAATTTTACTCTGTTTGGGCTTATTCTTTTGGATCTTGCTTATAAAATTGGATTGAGAACCGTATGTATTTTGGGTGCTGACCTACAAGATCATCTTTATTTTAGCCAAAAAATATGGAAAGTGAGTATAATTTAAGTATAGCTCAATTTCAACCTATTTATCAACCATCTATAATTTGTCAAAGACTAGGTTCTGGGAATGAGGCAGTAAAAAAAAGCAAACAAAAAAAGCCCCAAACCAGACAAAAATCTGGCCTATATAGAACTTACATTCTGGAAGAGTTGGGGGTGCAGATAATAAGTAAGATAAAAAATAGAATATATAGTGTATTAGAAATATGTTTTGAAGAAAAAATAAGGGGAGGGCTAACGGGAATATAATGGGAATAGGGAGATAGAAGATTTAAAATTTTAAATTATATATCTTGGGAAGATTTCAGTTAGAAAGTGACATTTGAATAAAAATCTGAAGAGGTGAGAGAATAAGCTATATGGTAGTAGAGAGAAAACACAGGTGCCTTTTTCATATGGTTAAGTTTGTTGAGACTCTTACAGTTAGGTAGATTTCTTGTGGATTCAACTGGGTTTCTTGCCTTGACAGATGTCCAGCAAAGAAGTGAAGACTGCTCTAAAAAGTGCAAGAGATGCAATTAGAAACAAAGAATATAAAGAAGCTTTGAAACATTGCAAGGTATCTGATATTTGTTTCTTCCACAATAAAAGTATGTTACTCATTTATAAGTGTTATATGGTGTGAATCATTTACTGTCTACATGCAACAAATGTGATAAGACCATTTAGTAGGACAAGTGGAGTGGTTGAATTAATAACTCCTTAGTAGGAAAAATTAAGCCACACTTCATTTTGTCTTTTTCTTTATTGGTAAATTATTGAAGGCATATTGTTAAAACCTGAATGTGTCATAAATATTTTTAGATGGGTTATTTTATATCTTAAAGTTTGTATTCTTTAATGGTATATTGACGTTCTAGTTATATTTTGTTTGTGGATGGGAGAATCAGGATTCTAAAGCTCTTTTGTATGCTGATGGGAATGTCCCTGCGAAAGGGAGAAATTGAATGTGAGGGAGAAATAGAAGGTGCTAGCGTAGTGAAGTCCTTGGGAAGGTTAGGATGGGATCTAGAGCTTGAGAGGAGGGCTCTTGAAGATAAGAGCATTCCCTCTGCAGGCCTCTGTTTTCTTGATGAAGTATAAACTAATAGTGAGAAAGGATTTTTATAGAAGGTTTGAGACAAAAGAAGCCTTGAAGCAGCTTGACAAAACAAGCTACTAGTAAGAATTGTAAGGATTACAAGGCTCTAATAAGAGTCTATTTAAAGTTACATGTTATTAAAAGTGAACAGTGAACTTAAATGTGTTTTTCTTACTTCATATTGAGGTCCTTGGAATACCTCTATTACACTATATATTCCATTTTTTAATCTTACATATTATCTGCACCCCAACTCTGCCAGAATGTAAGTTCTACATAGGCCAATTTTTGTCTGGCTTGGGGCTTTTTTTGTTTCTTCGTCTTATTTATTTATTTATTTATTACTGTCTGTTCTCACCTTTGGAGATGGGAGTGGGGTTCAGCTATGGATGGTGAGAAAGAAGAGGGGAAACAGTCAGAGGAGTTGAGGGAGTTGTGAACGGGAGTGATGACACTGATGGGTTATGGAGTCCAGGCTGGGTAAGGAGGGATGAGAAATTAAAAGTGGGGTAATAAGTAGTAGAAAAGGGGGTGGTGTAAAAAAATTAGAGTTATCAGAAGTTTGTTACCATGAGTCCATTATAGTAATTGAACTGGAAAGACAGGAGAAGGGCAGAATAGTAGCATGTTGGAAATCTTATTTTTAGATGGTGGGGAAAAGTGGGAAGGTTAAGTAACTGAGAGGCTACAGTTCAATGGGACATCAACATGAATGTTAGAATGAATATGGGAATTGAGGAGGAGAAGATGGATAGAAAATTTTTGCTTAAATATTTGAGAACAGAGTAGTTCCTACGAGTTTGTTGATGGTAATAGTAACAAGGAGAGTATTTTTTGCAGTATAGTTGGATGACTTGAGCCTCAAAGATAGTGGTGTTTTTGAAGAAGGAGAAACAGAAGAGGAATGTAGGCAAGGAGAACTTCTTTCTCATTCTGGCACTGTGGTATTAAGTATATAAGAGATAGGAAGTTAGCTGCAGCATATGAGATTGATAAGGGAATAGCCAGGTTTCAGTCCAGGCAGAACTTACTACAGTTAAAAAAAAGGTTGAAAATATGGAGGGAACTTGGCTGATCCAGATTGGGCATTCTAAAGGGCACACTGATGAATTTAGGAGAGTGGTAGAGAGGGAATTGGGCAAAATTAGGAGAAATATAGGATAAGAATATCTTTGTGAAGTGCACATTTCCAGTGGTGACTGTGAGGCCAGCAGGGATATGAGGCCATGATAGTACTAATCTTAATACAGAAGAAGGTGGGCAGTCTGTTTATACTGGGTTAGGGTGGTAGATTGAATGAAAGAAGGGGAGAAGGACTATTTCCTTAAGCAGTAGTCTTATTGAACGAATAAAGCACATGTGAACCTGTTTCTGTTGTTATATACAGCAGCATCATATCATTCTTCAGTATATTTCATGCAAAATTCAGATATGAATTCTACCAACTAGTTCATACTGAAGGTTTATACTGAAGGTACTCAACTAGAAAACACAAATGGAGACTAAATCAGTGACAGATGTCTGATTACTTATTTAGTAACCTAGAATGTTGGTTGACAATAAATGAATTTTTAAAAAAGAAATGTTGCTTCTTAGTGTATTTGCTGTGGCTTTGTCTGATCATCACCTTGTCTACCTGTGGGGCTTTATAATATGGTGTGATCATCCCTTTAGAGAAGGCTTTTCCAATTTGTGCAGATGGAGTTAGGTATTTTTTCCTCTATGTTCTCTCAGAATCTTATACCTGCTTTTACCACGTTGTTGTAATTATCTGTTTAAAAATCTGTTTCAGATTTTGAAAACCAGTAATTGCTGATTGTTAGATGACTATGCCATTTATCATTTATTTGACAGTTATGTGTGAGCCTTTGGACCTGATGTTGGGGACATAAACATTAATAAGGGCCCAGAGTTTAGAACTGAACTTTGGTAGTTAATGATCTCATTGTTATGGTTTTTTAGGAGGCAGCATTATTAGAATGGGACTTGTGCAGCACATTGATGATAGATTGCTGGAAGTGTTAGGTGGATACACATAAACCTAAGTTGGTTCAACTCATAGTAAAGTTCTTATTTTCTCTAGAATATATAAAACCTTAAGAAGCTAATTTCATTTTAGGAACTAGTTTTGTTTCTCTTTCCCTGCTTTCTACTTCAAGCTGTTTTATACTTACCCAGTATTCTCAAAGAGTAGGAGGGGGCATTTGATGGAGGCATCAGGATCACTTGGGCAGCTTTAAAAATATATACTTCAGCTGGGCATGTTGGCGCATACCTGTAATCTTAGCAGTTCAGGAGGCTGAAGGTGGGAGATGTGAGTTCAAAGCCAGCCTCAGCAACTTAGCGAGGCCCTAAGCAACTCAGTGAGATCCTATCTTAAAGTAAATACAAAAGGGGCTGGAGATGTAGCTATGTGGTTAAGCGCCTCTGAGTTCAATCTCTGGTATCACCCCACCCCCCAAATTTTATCTATCTATCTATCTATCTATCTATCTATCTATCTATCTATCCCTCATATTCCAAACCCTTTACAATCACTAATGCAGTTCAGTTCCCTGAGGAAACTGAAACTAGAGAGATTAAATAGCATTCCAGGCCTCTCTGTTAGTGATAGATGCAGATTTCCTGATTTTTAATAGACTGTTACTTTGTTGTTGTTTGTTCAATAGTTTCAAAAATAAAATGACTTTCTTTTAATTTTGTTTTTAATCAGACAGTCTTAAAACAAGAGAAAAATAACTACAATGCCTGGGTTTTTATTGGTGTTGCTGCAGCAGAGCTAGAACAACCTGATCAGGCCCAAGGTGCCTATAAGAAAGCTGCTGAACTAGAACCAAACCAATTACTAGCTTGGCAGGTATGTAGACATGTTTTTTTCCCCTATAACATGGGAAATAATTTGTTTTTGTATTTTTCAAAGTATAAATGACAATGTTAAACATTTAAACGTCTTTTTGCCCCATATAAGAAAAAAATTAAATTTACTGGTCTTTTAAGCCTATAATTAGTTTTTTAAAAAAAGTGTTGCTAAAGAATACTATGTATCACTATTTAACATTCTACCTAATGGACTATTTCTGAAAGCAAGGACCCAAGTTGATCGACTATATAAATCTTTAACATAATTATAGGTACATTAAAAAGATATCTAGAATATTCTTTATGCTTACCAGGGGGAAAAGAATTGTATATAAATGTTTTCTAAAAATAAAATAATGTCAAATTCTCATTTCCCTCTCTTAAAGTCCAAGTTAAATTCTTTATTCGTGACAATCTTAATGTTTTTTAGTTGGATTCTCTAACTTTTTCATATTTAATGAATTTGTTTCATGTGTCAATTACATCTTTGAAGCTAATTAATAGGAAGCAGTAGGCTCTGGTAAGTATGAACTTGTTTCAGGTTCAGATGAATAAGAACTTGGGTGAGGGTACCTGGTATACCCTTAGAGAAATGGCTGCATTTGAAGCAAAAGTGAAAAATTTCACAAACTACTTGAATATTTTTTCAATTTGTATCATAGAAGTAGTGTCATTCAAAACACATCTAAAATTAAATCTTCTCACCTGTACATATATACCTGTACATAATACACAAAAGGGTAACTACATAGTTAATGAATACATTATTTAGCTTGATTGTGGTGCTTATTTTACAATGTGTACATATATCAAAAACATCAGACTGTATATCTTAAATTATTTTTCCATATAAATGATATCTCAATAAAGCTGTTTCAAAACATACTGAATCATTTTTAAAAAGTAGTGCCATGTTTTTTACCTCATTGAAATTTTTTTTTTATTGTGAAGCACTTTAAAATACATTTTGAAAAGTGAAGAGAATGGAATAATGAACCTCTTTATGCCCTTCATTCAGATTCAACAAAAATCCACCCACATCAGTATTTTTTCAAACCTGTCCTTTCATCTGCTTTCTCCCACTCCCAGTTATTTGGAGGCAAATTCCACACATATCATTTCATGTGTAAAATATGGTAATATTTTATTGCAAATAATATTTAGAGGTTATCACATTATTTAGCAAAATAAATGAATGTAGGAATATCGGATGTTTAGATAAAAATAATTGCTACTATTTCTTTTTTAGGGTTTAGCAAGCTTGTATGAGAAGTGTAATCACATAAATGCTAAGGATGACTTACCGGGTGTTTACCAAAAACTCCTGGATCTTTATGAAAGGTAATGAATATATAGGGAATGACTATATTTTTTTATAAGCTTGAATTAGAGTAAACTGATTAAAAATTATATAGAAGTATGCCAAGCATTTACTGGGATTTGGGAAGCATTTTTCTTTCAAATGTTTATAATACAATCTCTTGATTATGATTAAAATAGGATCAAAACATTCCTAGTAAGAAGATTGACTAATTTGAGAATTTTGGTATTACTTTTAGTCAATATAATGAAAAATGACATTTCTTAAATTTTTTATTTTTAAATTTTTTTAACAAAAGACTCTTTTTACAAAATTTTATTGTGGTATTTTTCAATAAAATAGTACCTGATAATATTATTGAGATATTTTAATTTTTAGTGCTTTAAGTTCTTGATTATTTTCATTATCAGATTAAAAAGTCATTTTCTGTTGTTTTTGATCTAAGTGTTGACAAACAGAAGTGGTGTGATGTCTGTAAGAAACTTGTGGATCTCTATTACCAAGAAAAGAAACACCTAGAGGTTGGTTAATGGTTTTCTAATGTCTTAGACATCTTTTAATAAAAACTATTGTTAGAAGAAAGCTATCATTTTGTCTAAGTAAAAATTAAAAATTAATATGTGGTATGATATCATAAGACTTTAAGAGGTAAATTACAATGCTTTGGCAATTATAAACAATTCAAATTTAAGGTATCATAACTTCTAGATCTTTTTGAAACAGGGTGAGTTATAAATTAAATAACTAAAAGTGTCATCTGTGGAACTTGGTGACCACTGTGGTGTCTCTGTAGCTGATGATTTAAGCTATAGGTGTTGGGAACTGTGGTCATCAGTTTTGTATCTGCTCTGGTATCTCACATCATATTTCTGATGGAAGTACTCTGTGGATTTGCCCAATCAGCATATATTTTATAGGTTTCATAATAGATGGAATTCTTTGCTTACGCTGTTTTTGTATATTAGTGGATATAAGAAGTATTTTTTCTTTATTTCCAGATTTTGCATTTTTCATTTGTCATTTATTTTTTTTTTTATGTATTTAAGATAACAATCATTTTAAATCTCCTTTTTAATAGGTGGCTCGAACATGGCACAGATTGATAAAGACACGGCAAGAAGAAGGTGCAGACAACCAGGAGCTTCATCAGCTATGGAGGAAATTGACTCAGTTGCTGGCTGAGAGTATGGAAGATCAGAATAATGAAACCCAGCAATTGGTATTAACTTATTTATTCTTCACAGTTTGTATCATGAAAATTAATCCTTTAATTTAATTTAGAAAATGGAAACATAATGAATATATAGGATAATACTGTCTGTCAGATGAGGTATTTTGTAAGTGTAATTTTACATTCATAGGGGCTCTTCCTGATAAAATTAGCATTATTGGCCTGCAGTCTTATGAAGTCTGGAGGGAGTGGAATTGGTACTCAATAGCATTAGAATTTCCTTCCCTTGTATTTATAAGAATTCACAATAAATCAATAACTTTATGCCCTAGGGGAAAAACTGTAAAAATTTTTTTTTTTAATTTCTAAAAATTGTACTTTGAAGGTATGAACTTATGAACTGAGTACTGAATTACTTTGAGAATTAACAACTTAGCTAGTTAGAGAATTTATACCTGAATAATACTCCTTTTTAGGGAGCAGATTTTCAAGTAATTAAAAAAAAAGAATTTTTTTTCTGTAAAAATATTGATTATTGCACCATACTTGGAAAATATCTCTGTAATACTTTTTTTGTTTGTGAGTCTAAAAGTCAGCCTAATTTCTTATTATAATAAATAGCTACTCAATTTATTCATGTATTTGAATGGAATTTTTAAACCAAATGGAATTTTTAATAGTTACAGACTCTGTATGGAATAGAAAATTCATTTCCTTGTGTTTGCTTATTTGTTCACTCATTAATTTGTTTCTTTATTCAGAAAATATTTATTGAGTATGTGTGTTAGGTAGTGTCCTAAGATCTAAGGATAAAATGTAAGAATAAGATCTTTCTCTATTTTTGTGTGGTTTGTTAGCTCTCCATTACTAAGACAAAATATATGAGAAAATCAAGTTAAAAGGAGAAAAGTCTTATTTATTTATTTATTTATTTTTGGGTTACTCTTCTAGAGATTACAGTTCCTGGTCAGCTAGCTGCATTGCTTTGGGCCTATGGCAAGACAGAACATCATGGTGGGGAGTACATGGTGGAGCAAAACTGCTTACTCCATGGTGGCCAGGAAGAAAAGAGGGAAAAGAAGGGACCATGGTCCTGATATACCCTTTGAAGGCATCCCCATTGACCTAACCTCTTTGATTAGGTCCTGTTTCCTAAATTTTCCTCCATTTCCAAAAGTGCCATAAGTTGGCAAATAAGATTTTAATACATGGCCTTTGGGATCATTTAAGATCCAAACCCTACGTGATAATGGTGGTTAATCTGTGCATAGGTGCAGTTGTAGAAGAAATTGAGTAGTGATGAAAGAAAGAAATAGCTTACCAGCTTCTCTTAAATCACACCTTTATAATATGGCTTCAGTATTTTTCTTAGAATAATATAAGGTACCAGAATATCTAAGCACATATCAAAACAAAATGTCTTTTTGATTTGTATGTACTGTACTCTTCCATAAAAGATAATTAATTGTTATGCTATGTTGACCAGACTGTCTCTGAACTCCTAGGATCAAGTGATCTCACTGCCTTAGCCCTTCCAAGTAGCTGAGACTTTTGGCATTTACCACTGTGCCCAGCTGTTGTCTGCCTGCCAGTATGTTTATTTGGTTGTTTCTTTTTTTGTGTGTGCTAGGGAAGAAACCTAGTGCTTTGTGATGTTAGGTGCAGCCTCTACATCTCCAGCTTCAATTATACTTGTACTTTTTATACATTAACACATATAACTTGTGTTCAGTGTGATCTTTTCACATATGTGCATAGCATGCAGTGATCATATCCAATCCAATCATATCCAATTAAAACAAATAAAAATAAATAAATAAAAAAAGAATTTCTGGCTATTAAAAATAGATTCAAAGGTTAGGAGAGGGGTTATTTTCACCTTGAGTTAAGAGTGTTCACAAAAAAGTCATCATTTTCTATTTAGAATAATTTCATTATTTTTTTTGAAAAACCATTAGCTTTAACTTTTAGTTAATCTTCATTTTTGTTAAGATCATTAACTTTTTCAGAGCACTGAAATTTTACTTATTCATGAAGACTTTGTATCATATTTACCAAATAAAATTTGAGGTGGTAAACTTCATTAGTAAATTAAGTCATAAAATATTTATTAAAAGATGTAGAACTTATATAACCAATATAAATGATTATAAAGTGTTTTAAAGTGCTTGCCTTGGGTTTTAGTATTGCTGTTCTTGAGCAAGACTTATTTAAAAGGCCTCTTGGAATTTTCTTCAAAGTCAGATAATACTTTATAAGAAATTATTTCATTACGGTTCAGTCTTATCTCTTTTGCCAGAAGCAAAGTGCTATATACAGTTTTTAAAAATTTTTAAAAGTTTTCTAGTTGTAGATGGACAAAATACCTTCATTTTATTTATTTATTTTTATATGGTGCTGAGGATCAAACCCAGTGCCTCACATGTGCCAGGTAAGTGCTCTTATCACTGAGCCACAATCCCAGCCCCACAATTTCTATTTTTTTTTTTTTTTTTTTGTGATGCTGGGGATTAAATCCAGGGTCTTGTGCATTCAAGGCAAGAACTCTGTCAACTGAGGTATATCCCCTGCCCACCTCCCCACAGTTGTTTTTTAAAGGTTGAAGATTTGCTACTACTGGAGATGTTCCAAAGAATATGTTAATGATTTCAGAAGAGATGGTTTCAAAATGATGTGAACAATAACAGCTATACTAGCATATAAGACTGCTCTGGTTGATTTCTTTGTAGGAGACAGCAAAGAATGGAAGAATGTTTAATTTAATTTAATTAAAAATGTTATTAAATTATAGTTATCATTTATTAGTTTAGTGTAGTCTGCTGGCCAGTTAGAGTTAAAATATATTCTAAAATTTGTATGTACTTTTGTTTTTTTTGTTTTGCAGCTACTTGAAGTTTGTATACGGGAGTCTTATACATTCAACTGTTTATCACATTTGTCATTTAAGTTTATACTTGAATACTTTTTTTGTTTGTTTCAGCTTTTAACTGCATTCGAGAATGCCCTGGGCTTATCAGATAAGATTCCTAGTGAAGATCATCAAGTACTGTATAGGCATTTCATTCAGTGTTTATCGAAAGTAAGTAAATTTTTAAAAAATCTTTAAAGTGAGTTTTATTTCTAATCAGGAAAGTGTTCACAAATGCATTTTACTACTATTGGAGTTTAGTTTATTTTGCTTTTGTATTTTCAAGTTTCCTCATGAGACTGCTAGGTTGAAGAAGGCTTGTGAAGGAATGATAAACATCTATCCCACCGTACAGTATCCATTAGAAGTGCTCTGTTTGCATTTAATTGAATCAGGTAATTTCTTCCTTATTATCTTGTGTGTCCTAGAGCTATGTGATTGTGTGGGAGTGATGTTTGTATCAATCAACAAATATTTTAGTGCTTACAATATGTAAGATACAGTTTCTGTATTTCTGGACATAAAAGGAAGGAAATAACAGTAGTAGACTTGCAAGAGTACTTTTTAGTACCTTGAGAAAACAGTATCATCGGGAGTTAATTGATGAAGTATAAGGTCTTAAGCTAACATGGTGTACAGAATAGGTTGTATAGAAGATAAACTAGAGCAAGTAGATTGATAATAGCAATGAATGAACTCAGAGCACAAAAGGGAGTCATAGAAAGGAACCCATGAATGAAAAAAAAGAAAGAAAGTGATTCTTAGAGGTAAAAGAAAGGAAAAGTCAATTTTAACTTTCAATTTTCCTGAAAAGTTGACTCACTATGGAATGATGGTTTGTATGAAAGGTAAGTTAGTGAGAGATGTGAGATCAATAACAAAGCTAGACACGTAGGTTGGAAAATGGAAACATCTTTTGTCTAAGTAAAAGTGAATTGGAGTAGATGACATCAGAGAAACCTAAGGGAAAAAGGCTGATCTGGGCAATGCCAGCTGATTTGAAGAGAAAGGAAAAGGACAGAGAAAGGGAGAAGAGAATAGAGGGGAAGGTGGGAGACCAAGATGGGAAGCAAAATAGAAGGAAAGAGCAGTTGAAAAAGGAGATTACTAAGGTCTGTCATGACAGACTAAGCAACTAATTTTATAATTGAGACCTAATTATTAAGACTGTCTTTAAATCAAAGTAATTGAAGTGGAACTTAGATTATAATGATGGAGAAAAATAGGAACAAGTGGTTAGTTAGCAGGTATAAGAAGAAAAATAACTCAGAAATTTAACTTGCTGCATTTAAGGCCAGGAGGAAGAATTGTGAGAAGGGGATAATAAATTTTTAGAGGGGTAGGAGAATAATTGTAGTAGTGTCACCTGCAGGAGCATTTCAAGAGGAAAGGGCTTCTGGACATTATAAATGCTGTATTGAGGCCAAAGAAGATGAGGTGTGCTAAGAGAGTATCAGCATAAGGGTCATGTGTGTGGATTTTTGTGTGTATTTTTCCTCTGTTAGGAAACGTAATTCCAAAATCACCCAGTTTTTTCATATTTAAACATAAGATGCAATGTGTTCTAAAGATAAGTGGAATGATTTTCTTTATTGTATGACCTTTGGAACCCATCCCTCCATTCCTTTTTCTCCTGGTATAGTTGCTAAGGAGAAATTAATGACTGGTGATCATTCTTTTTCTCTCCAATCTCATTAAGCTATTAATGGTTTGTACTGTTCCCATATTCTTGGACTGCTTACATGCCAAATGGTACCAGTGAATATTTTGAAATTTCTGTTTTGAAAACTGATGGAATGCTCTCTCAACAACCATGAATGTGCCTTTAACGTGTATTTGTTAGGTAAACATGGCCCTTATAGTCCAGAAAGCCTGAAAAATAATAGAAGAAATAAAATTAACAAATACCCTAAAATTTTACTTATGAATGCAGTAGCTGACAACATGCTCCATGAGAGAGAGAGAGAGGGAGGCGGGTGGGGGGGAGGGGTGAGAGAGAGAGAGAGAAAGGGATTATTCTAATTTATTAGAAATTGTATTGGTTTAAATGAAAAAAAATCATTGTTAAAGAGGATTTGGGAATGGGTATTTTGCAGAATTGAAAGAAAGTAGGTCTATATCATGGCAGAGAAGAGTGACAAGGTAAATATTTACACATATAGCAAAATCAAGGGAGAATTCTTTCCCTACTGAATTGTTGCAAGAATTTTTGGAATGGTACAGTTCAAGTTTATTCTAAGATAAAGTATTATTCTAGGGATGAAAGTTTGTTAATTCAGGGCAGTAGGAAGGCATAGTTTTCTTTTTATTGTTACTCTAAGTCAAACTATGTATTCTGAAAATTAAGAACTTCTGAAAATCTCTTAACTCTCCAAATTTCTGGCCCTTCCTCCCCCAGAGTATTTCAATATCTACAGAATTTTTTGCTTCACTACAGTTAATCATTGGGTTCTCTTCCACTGGAAACAAATATATTTCATTATCCTTTGTCTTGCTTGAGTCAGTTTGTAAAGCTTCATAAAACAAGTGGTGAATAGCTTTCACAGTTGTCATCTATTGAAATGTTCTTTCATGCTAAATGACCTTTTTGATTAATTTTGCTTTCTTGCTGAAATGAGAAAGCATAAGAAACTTTGGTTCTTCAAATTCAAATACAAGCAGAAAAGAGCTTCTTTAAGGTTTTGTGCTCTAGAAATATTAGAAAATGCAGGTGAACATAAAGAAATGTACATACGTACATACGTACTTTAAAATTTTTTCCTTTCTCAAGCCAGGTTTATTTAAAAGAAAAATTCTGTAATAGTGGTCAATTTCTTCGTTATGTCAGAAATGAATTAGTTTTTTAAGAAATTCTACCTTTTTTTTTAAGTAAAATTCAGGAAACAGAATTCTGTAGGTATTACCATAGCATCCAACCTTCAGAACATCCTTTATATACCCTTGGTGTTTAGTATTCATCAACTTCAAGTCTGGCTTGCCTTTTGGAGAAATAAAAATAATATTGTTAAACTATTTTTTGAAATGTTTTTATTAGTGCATTGTAGTTATATATAAAATTGGAGTACATTTTGACATAATTTTACATGCATGGAATATAATTTGCTCCACTTCAGTCCCTAGTACTTCCTTTTTCTCTCCCTCCTTCCTCTATTCCCCTTCCTCAATTCTACAGATCTTTCATTTGTTTATAATTTTTAAAAAATCAATGTTTTATGGATACTCATAAAACCTTCAAATCCTCTAAACATTAAAAAAAGTACATATGTTAAATAAATTTTTACTATTTAAAAACAGTGATGTCTGTTTTCTCTCTTTTCTTTCTCCCCAAACATATTTATTTAGCTAGAATTCTCAACAAGAATTAATATGGAGAAGAGGAGGATTGAAGCTGGAATAGCTGAATATTCCTTGTCTCTTCAAACAGACTCATTATTGTTGTTATTACTGTTGCTAGTTTTTGAGATCACTATGGATAATTTCTGTCAATGCCACTTGGTCATATATAGAGAATATGTTACCAGAGTTAAGCATGAATATAGTTTCCTGAAATCTCATTTTGTTTCTATAATTGTGCTTCTAGGCATTAGCAAAGGAATATCTTAAGGTGTAGGAGACTGTCACATCATGTGACCAGTGTTTTTCCTCTCCTGATGGGTTGAGGCACTGATGGTCATTCTCTCCCCCCCCCCCCCCCCAATGATCTGGCTACTCTTAAGTTGCTGAAGACAGTAGCCCCGCTCTTGAGGGTAGCAATAATGCAACCAAATGTGTCTTCCTTTGTGATATTACCCTTTGCCCTGTTTAGGATAAAATGTTCCATGGAAACGCCCTTTGTGTGTCCCCTTCTCTTACCTGCCCTTGGGTGTGGCCTTCCTAGATGTCAGTCAGTCTGCTGACAGCAGACATCATGAAGCTAGACTCAGCCCCTTGAAACCTGACCCCTTGCCTCATTTGAATGGCTTTTCCTCAATAAAAGGGGCCAGCATGTTCTGCGGACCCTTAAGGTCAGAGGAGTATCCCTAAAGTAAAAGGTGTTTCTGTTTCTTGTGTGGTTATTTCGTGCAGCCCAGTTCCCTTGGAGTGACTCCTGAGTGTTTTTGTCGTGAGCAATGTGTGGCAAGAAGATTTGCCCTGTTCTAAAAGTGGCACCTGTTCATTTCACCTTTTGGAAACTACCTACCCACATGTGCAGTTTTGGGTACTTAGATGATCATAGGAAAGATGCATGATTGACTTTTCCTCTTTTCATCCCTTGTGTTTTCTGTAATATAGTTTATGTTGCAAAGGTAGTCTATCATAAATTATGTTTCTATGGAGTAAGAGTTTTGACTCAGAATTTGAATCAAAGGTAAAATTTTTATAGCTATTTGTTTTTCTTTTTTAGAATGGTTTCTCTAATAATTCTCAGTACCTATTAAATCTTTTTGAACATCAATTCATGATGATATTTTTAAAGGATCATCGTATTTAATGAGTACCTACAACATGTAAGAAACTATGCTAGTCTCTACTCTCTAAAAGTTCCCATTTAGTTACAGATGTGCAACAAAGGCTTGGCATATCTGTTTTAAAACTAGTAGTAAAGGTGTTATATGATATTAAAATATTCTAGACTCATGGCTCTTATTAAAGTATGCTCTCTGGGTCAGTAGCACTTAAGAAAATGTTAGAAATGCAAATTCTCATGTCTTTCACCAGACCAACTGAATAAGAAGCTGTAAGAGTGGAGCTCAGCATATTGTATTTTTAACAAGTCTTTCATGTAATTCTGATATTTGGTATAGACAGTGTCTAGTTTAGGTAAAATCACTGGATAGAAAGGAAAAAGCCACTGCCTTATATAGAAGGTATGGAGCTAGGCATATCTATCCCTTAAGTTCATGTTTATGGAAGCAATAAGAGGAATATACTGACAGGAGGAAATTCATGTCTGGAAACGTAATAATAAGTGTTTTTTTTTTTTTTTAAACTGGCTTTGTGATCAAACTACTAATTCCAATTTGCCTGCCTGCCTGCCTTCCTTCCTTCCGATTGAACCCAAGGTGCTTAACTACTGAGCTACATCACCAGCCCCTTTTTTATATTTTATTACAGACAGGGTCTCGCTGAGTTGCTAAGAACCTCGCTAAGTTGCTGAGACTAGCTTTGAACTTGAAATCCTCCTGCCTCAGCCTTCTGGGCCACTGGGATTATAGACTGTATACCACTGTGCCCGGCTCTAATTTGTTTTCTTATTTTTCCAAGCAGTACTAAAATGTCAATTCTTCAGCCATTATGAATTCTATTTTTGGTGCTAATTTGGACTTAGAAATCATTATGTTACCTATTCCAGATTATACATTGGTGTGCATCTGGTTTTGAAAAATTTGAAATATATAAACTAAATGGTATTATGCAAATAATTTACCTTTGACATCTGTGACTGAAACAGTGGTTCCATATATGATTTAAGGGCATATGTTTTATGTAGATATTAAAGCATCGTATATTTTTTCAGATAAATTATTTCTATTTGTTCCCGTATTTATTGCTTTTATAGTCTGTCTTAATTATTTTAAGAACTTCCATATGTGATAGAACAATTTGTTGAAGTGGTGAATGCTATTTACTATTAATTCTAAAGACAAATCACTGTGTGTGTGTGTGTGTGTGTGTGTGTGTGTGAGTGAGTGTGTGCACGTGCGCACGCTGTTCTGGAAATGGCAGTCAATATTTTCTAAACTGTTTTACCAAAATAAATTTTAAAATAAATGTAGGCATCGGATGATTATTACATAAGCTTAATTATTACATAGAAAAAATATAGTTTTAGAAAAATGTGGAAATGTTCTGCTGAGTTTGTATACTTAGGAATATTATGTCTTTGTTCCAAGTTTTTGTTCAATGTTCAGAGGAGTAGCCCACTGTCTTTTGATTTTAGGATGCTGGAAAATTCCATTGGATCTGGCTGTCATGTTTTTGTCAGTTCATTATTGCCCACAGGGGGGAAACTGATGAAGATATCCTCCTTTGACAGGGGTTCCTTCATTTAACAACTAAAATTGTTACTGCTGAATAGGAAAGAGAGACTTGGCAAACTATATGCTCTGTAATTTAGCATACTAGCAAGTAGCAATAGGTGTTTTGTTTGAAACCCTTTAGTATGACTTCAGATTCAGTATCTGTGGAAAGTGGTTTCTACTATTTAAGAAGAAAGTATAGTTTTTTAATGAAATATTAATATTTTTGTATTTCCCAGTTTAAGTTCTGAATTCCTAGAATCATGATACGGTAAAGGATGTGTTAGGTAACTTTTGAGATTTAAGTATATAGGATTTGGTACTTAGATACTTGGTATATATACGCTAATAATGTTTCTCTTTTAATTCCAGGAAATCTTACTGATGAGGGACATCAGTATTGTTGTAAGCTAGTGGAAATGAATTCAAAAAGTGGTCCAGGCCTCATTGGCTTAGGCATTAGAGCATTACAAGACAAAAAATATGAAGATGCTGTTAGGAATCTAACAGAAGGTAAATTTATAATGTGTGTCATGTGACATGAGTTGTAATTGTTTGTCAGTAGGCATTAATCTTGTAGCCTTGCTTTAAAGAAATATCTAAGATGGATGAGGAAAAAAAAAAGTACTGATATATCCTAGAGTCTTCTTAGGTTTGAATTCCAACTCTTCCACTCAGTAAATTCAAGACCTTGGAAAAGTTAGTTAAACTTTTAGTGTCTCAGTGTTTGCATTATAAAATGGGCATTGTTTTAAGAAAGCTTTAGCTTAGATTTATCATGTATGATGATTCTGGATAAGCTTATATTCAAGCTGAGGTCTGACTGACAAACAAGATGAGTGGATGAAGGGGACAGGAGGAACATTTTAGGTCAAGAGATGTATCTGTGAGATAGCCTGAGGTAAGAGGGAAAACTCATTCTTGAAACTGCTAATAGTTCAGCAAGGTTTGAGAATGAAGTATGGGTGCAGAAAAGGGAAGGAAGTAAGGTTGGAGAGGGAACTTTCAAACCTTGTTAAAGAGTTTGTACATTATCCTGAGGGCATTAGGGAAGCAGAGAAAGCCTTTAATGAGGTAAATTTTATTTTCTGATTTTTTTAGAAATATTGTGACTAATGTACATACATAGGAGTGGATGTCAGATATTTTCAATGACCTGGGATAAAGATGGAGATGTGAACTGAAGTGGTGGTAGTAGAGATGGAGGAATATGTGGAGAAAAATGATTGGGGGCAATCATGAGAAAGAAGAGGGGAGGAGTCTGATTTAGATAGTAGATAGTGGTACCCTTCATCTGAGTAGTCATGGAAACATGGGTTTTATTATTTATTGTTTTTAATCCTTTTAGGGCTAAAGGAAAGCCCTCTCTGCACAGCTGGATGGTATCATCTCTCTGAAGTTCAAATCAAAATGCATAGACCTAAGGAAGCTGTTCTTTCATGCAATCAAGGTATTCTTGACATCTCTTAGGTTTTCACATAAGGGTAGCCAATGCTGTTTGTGTTTTTCATCTTAAAGGAGAAAGATAATGGTCTTAAAAAAATCTGGATGCTTTTTAAGTTGCTAATTTCAGTTTCCCTAAGGAAATTAAATAAATGCCAAATCTGCATGCATACCTACTAGTTTTATTTATTTTTAAACTGGCAATGGATACTTATTAAGGTTTCTCATATTTGGAATTTGACTTAGTCAGTTTAGGGGTTTGAGTGGAGGTGCTCTGTCTTTATAATAAGGAAGTTTCTAGTGTTATATGTGTTCAGGACCTTCATGAATTCTTAATTTCCCTGGTATAAATAAGAAGTCTTGGGCATCTTGGAGACTTTCTGAATTTTGAGGTGAGGTATGGGGCTAGGAAATCATAAAAGGTGATTCTCTGTTCCTGACTAGGCTAGAAGCCTTGCTTCTGTAGTTGAAAAACAAATCACCCAGCTCCACTCTAATTCATTTTTCTCTGTCCAGTATTCTTAATTTGTTGTGTGTTACAGATGCTTTGGCTAAGGTCTAACCTTTATTATGTAATAAATATAGATAGCCATTGTTGTGTTTCAGGATCTTTGGCTTTATCATATGTTTTGTGAAGATAGAGGTTTTTAATTTATATGTGTTCTGTTTTAAAGTCAGATCTTTCTATAAAGAGTTCAAGGAAGAACTTATATTTACCTTTGAATCATTCCTCATGTATATTGCTTTAGAAAGTTAGATTTATTTTATCTGTAATTTGTTTTATAAAAGCAAAAAAAAAAAAAGTGAACTGATGTAGTTATCTTCATCCAGATGTCCTTAATTTTGTCAGCTCTGAAGAACCTAGATAATCATGGTGTGTCTGGAGGCAGTCTTTATCAGAAGAACCTTTGTCTTCGTTTGAAAGCAGAAGCTTTGATTAAACTCTCAGATTATGAATCTTCAGAGGAAGCAATTTGTTCTCTCAATCAGGTAATCTTATCAATTTTTCCCTTAAACTTTAATTAGTCCCAAGCAACTGACTATCTCTCCTTACCAAATATTTACTAACACACATTTTGAGTTAGAGCTATGACTTCACCATATCTATACTTTGACGAATCATTCACGTACTTGGAAACTCCTGAAGTTATTTGCTCTTGGTTAAATTCTTACCAGTGCTTTGACTGTGAGGCACTTTCTTTAGTTTTAACTGTTATTCTCTCTTCTTTTTGTTCTCTAAGGTCATCACTACTTGATTATTATTAATTTGTGATTCTAAATTGTTTTCTTCAAAATTGTTTTATAGGTCATTACAAGATTAATTGAGGACTTTAATATTAAATTTCATAATAAGGAATGTTGTTAGTTTCATTCAAAAAAAGATTAATTTTTTAAGAAGGAAACTGATTTTTTAATGTTTTTGGTTTAAACAATTTGAAATTCCCTAGCAAAAAAGACAACAGGTAAATTATGAATTATCACAACATTGCACTTTATAGAGTTTGTCAGATAACAGCTATTTTTTTGTCTAAAATTAAAATTATATCACTTACTATATTGAAGGGTTTTAATTTTTCTGTTTTTAAAAATTTTTTTCTAGTTGTCTATGGACCTTTATTTCATTTATTTATGTATGATGCTGAGCTTCGAACCCAGTGCCTCACACATGCTAGACATGTGCTCTATCACTGAGCTATAGGCCCAAAGTGGTTTTAATTTTTTAAAAAAATTATTGCTTTGTATATTTCAAGGAGCTTTGCATTTCATTAAAACTATAAAATTTCTTTAAAATTATAGCAGTTATCAGTATCCTTGAAGAACTAATACCTTAGTTGGGAATTGTGAGGCATGCCTATAATCCCAGTGATTTGGGAGGCTGAGGCATGTTGATTGCAAGTTGGAGGCCAGCCTTGGTCATTTAGGAAGACCCTATCTCAAAATAAGAAATGAAAAGGCAGAGGGTATAGATCGATGGTAGAGTGCCCGTGGGTTTATTCCCTAGTAATGCAAAAAAAAAAAAGGAACTAGTATCTTATTTTCTACTTGCCTTTATCTGTTTTGTGTGAATGTGTTATAAAATAGATCTTTCCAAAATTTTTTCACAAAAAAACAAATGAAAAGGGCACTAGTAACTGTGGTAGATTGAAATACATCAAAATATTTAAATTCATTTGTTCATGTTGATACAAAAAAAATCAACAGAACAACTTCAAGAAATATTATCTTGGGAGGAAGCTAAAGACCACATTGGAAAGAAAACATTTATCTTGCTTTTCCTATCTGAACTTTTCTTTAGGATAAGCAGTTAATGAGAGGAGGAGAAATTCTTCTTAAAGTATTATGTAATAAAGGAAGAAGGAATGATGGAAAAGAAAGTCACCATTTTGCAATCCCTAATGAATGAGTGGATCTAGGCATTAAGGATCAATGGCTGTTAATATCACAAAAGACAGCTAGCCAGCCAGCCAAATGCAAACACACATGAAGTATTCTTGCAGGATATCATCCCAGAATCAGATCAAGTTTCTTCTAGATCTAACTACTAAAATACAGGGGCAAAGAGCATATTAAACAACATAAGAATACATTCAGCAAACTTCAGATCTGTGAGAAACTGTGACAAATAGTCCATATTTTCAGCAGTTAAATTGTAAGGGAGAAAGAAAAAAGATGGAGGGTAGCCCCATAGATAAAAGAGACTTAAGAGACCTATCAGTAAATTGAAATATATGTATGCTTATTTGATTAAAACAGGAAAATTGCTCAAATATTTTATAAGGCAACTGGGAAATTTGATAATATTAAGGATACATGTTTAGTTTTGTTTAGGCATGATAATAATGTGGTTGTGTCACTTAAAAATGAATATATCTTTTAGATAAGTTATATCTTGTCCAGTTAGTGAAGTGTCGCAGATGGAAAGTTATCTGAGATTTGTTGTAGAATCATCTGAGTAGGTAAAGTGCGTGGATGTGTAGATGAAAAAAGGTGGCTTTTGTAGCTGGGTGAAGTGAGTTTATTAACTAGTCTTTGTTATGTATTTGAAAATTTCCCTCATAAAGTTATTACAAATAATTAAAGTGTTAATAGTGATAGAAAGTAGGGCTTCTATGTCTTTATTCTACTATGGTCTTTCTTTAATTAAAGCAAATATTGCTGCAGTTATGTTGAGGAGATTTTAGCAGTTATTTACAATTATTTTCTAGGTTTCTGATGCAAATAATATCCCAGGACTTTTGGTTCTCAAAAGCTTGGCTTATCTGAACAAAGGCTTATTAGATGAAGCTACAAAGGTTAGTTTTTTTGTTTTGTTTTAAAATTTAAACTAAACAGTTTTTAGAAGTTAAAAGTCATTTTTATGTGGATATGAAATTGACAGGCATCTGCTTTATAGATTATGGAAGACCTTCTCTCTTCTTACCCTGACCTAGCTGAAGTTCATGCCCTTGAGGCTTTGATTCATTTTACCAAAAAGGACTATCTACAAGCAGAAAAATGGTAAGAATATATATTTGCTCATAGATCCAGTCTATTTTATTTCTCAAAAGATCCAGTCTATTGTATTTCTCAAAAATTCAAATTGGGGGCTGGGGTTGTGGCTCCGCAGTAGAGTGCTTCCTAGCATGTGTGAGACAGAGTTCAATCCTCAGCACCACATAAAAATAAAATAAAGGTTATTGTGTCCACCTTCAACTAAAAAACAAATATTAGAAAAAAAAATCCAAATGGGCTTAAAGGTCAAAGTTTGTATAATTTGGACCTTTGAAGGTTTAAATCATAGTATTTTTAAAGAAATATAGTTCAGTTATAGCATAGTAGCTATAAATTCTTCAGTAGATTTGGATAGTTGATCATAATGTTCAGTAAATAAATGTAGTATTTGGTATATGCTCTGAACACTTAGCATGTGATAGTGGTAAAAGGACACTGCTCCTTTTCAAGCACAAATAATTTTTTCTCATTATCTAAATTCTAAAGAACTAACATTTCTGATTTGGTATCTTTGAATCACTCAAACTTTGATTTTTCTACCCAAGAAAAAGTCTCCTTTATTTTATATATTTATCTACAAAGTTTTTAAATTTTATTTTAATACTTCTTTTCATTCTCCTTCGGTGCTTAGTTTTCAGAGAGCATTTGAGAGAGATGCTGAAGTTGCTGAATATCATTACCAGCTTGGGTTAACATATTGGTTCATGGGTGAAGAAACAAGAAAAGATAAAACAAAGGCTCTTACCCACTTTCTGAAGGTAAAACAGGTGTTACTATTCGATTCTTAGTTGAAGTGGATTTTTTTTCTAAAATCATTAATAGGAATCACGTAGGTTAGGTATTTAAAACTATGCTTAACTACTTTTTGTATATCATTTCTTACAATAAGGTTTTGTGAGAATGTTTTGTGGGTTTTTAAGGAGAAAACTAAAAGGTATAAATGTTATTTTCAGAAGTATGTGTTATAGAAAATGAGAAGAATTATCTTTGAAAAACAATACTGTTTTGGGATAATTTCCACTGTAATTTTATTGGCACTTAAGTCCAGATTTTTAACTTATTGGTTTTTTTTTGTTTTTTTTTTTTAAGCATTTAACATCTATAAGTCTTACATTCTTAACTTGACCTGTAAGAGCTGATTAATTTAACAATGGTTCTAATTTCACATTTCTTTTGCCAAAGAAATAATAGTTGACACTTCTGTTTAATTTCTGTAATCAGTGAGGGCCACCTTTCATGTCTCTTTTAAATCTTACATTAAAAGATGTTTTGGCATAGTTTTAAATAATTAATAAAATTGTGTATTAATCATTTTTTTCTTTTAACCTATATACTCTATTTTTTCTTTGTGTTTTAAAGATACTCATGCAAAATAACTTTTAACATTTTGTTGTCTATATTTATTTAAAAGGCTGCAAGACTGGATCCATACATGGGCAAAGTTTTCTGCTATTTAGGTCATTATTACAAAGATGTAGTGGGAGATAAAAACAGAGCTCAAGGATGTTACAGGAAAGCTTTTGAATTAGATGACACTGATGCTGAATCTGGAGCTGCAGCAGTTGACTTAAGTGTGGAGCTTGAAGATATGGTACGTCTAATAACCACTTTTGCTTTTCTTTTCCTGAGTATATGAGTAGAAATAATTTTATACATATTTGAAAGTTATCATTAGTTTTTATTATTCTTTGTAGAAATAATAGATTTGTTCCTCCATTTATAAATTGGCTAAATATTCTTGTCATTGGCAGATATTAAGTCCCTCACAACTTATTATTGAAACTAGTTTGATATATACCAATGTTAAGTTTAAAAAAATAAATGGGAAATTAAAACATATTTGTGTACTTGACATAGGTATTCTTTATCCTTACGATCTTCAGCATGGCTAATAGTAACATTTTCTTATTAGGAAGCTGCCTTAGCTATCCTAACAACAGTAACTCAGAGGGCAAGTGCTGGAACGGCAAAATGGGCCTGGCTTCGGCGAGGACTATACTATTTGAAAGCTGGTCAACATTCACAAGCAGTGGCTGAGTAAGGCACCTTACTGTGGTAATATTTAGATAGCATAATGGTTCCATGAAATAAATTTAATTTGTACCCAAATGACCTTACCAGGTTGTATTTTGAGAGAAGAAAAAGAAAAAATGATTTATGGTTGATTGATGCTTATTGTCCATATGGCAGTAGAATTGAAAAAATTATGATTATGTCCAGTTGTTGAGGTAGCCAGACTAGTGAAGTTAGGTTTTAATAGTGACATTTATAAGAAGAGTCTCAATAGAAATATCAGTAGTGATAAAAAACTAAGGTAAAGATCTTTGTTGTTTTGTTCTTCCACTGATAGTCACTGTTTTTGGCAAAGGAGTCATTTGGCAGCTTGAAGGGCATTTTGAACAGCTCATATGTGTTTAATTTAGTCATTTGGTTTGAACTGTACTTCAGGGTAAATCAAATATAACTGAATCAAAATACAGTTGTTTCTGATTTATATTAATATCTAGAACATAGCATTTTAAAACTTTCCATAAAAATGTAATTTGATCAGAAATATATAGCATGCCTCTTGTTCCTATATTTTGGTTGTGATATTTCTATTTAGTAGAAGGACAAGGCAAACTGAGATGTCCACCCATCCTGTTATAATAGAAAACTGGAAGTCTTCCAGTTCATTAAGAAAAAGAAATTCTGAACTGCATATTTCAAAAAGACTACTTTGTTCTTATTCATTCTAAATTGTAATAAAGTTTCTTAGTATTAAGAAATTCAAGTTGTAAAAGGAACAAGTATACCTGCTTTCAGTATCACTTTTATAAATAGAAGGAGCAATGGATATATGTAATTCATTTGAATTATTTATCTCACATTTCCTTTCATATGTGAAAATGGTTCTATTATTTTTAGTTCTCTTACTGTTTCTTAAAATTCTAGTTTACAGGCAGCATTAAGGGCAGACCCAAAGGACTTCAATTGTTGGGAGTCATTAGGAGAGGCATACTTAAGCAGAGGTGGCTATACAACAGCCTTGAAGTCCTTCACAAAAGCCAGTGAGATCAACCCAGAATCCACATACAGTGTGTTTAAGGTTGCAGCAATACAACAAATCCTAGGCAAGTACAAGGAAGCCATAGCTCAATACCAGCTGATTATTAAAAAGAAAGAAGATTACGTACCTGCTTTGAAAGGTAATTTATTTTTAAAAGATCCTTTAAGTTTTATAATACTATAGTATAGAATTCTGGGTAAATTTCCTATTTGAATGTATTAAATAACTTCAAAAGAACTTCTGTAGTCAATAGCACACATCTGATATGAATTTCTTATAGTAAAATTTATGTGGATTTGAATACAAAAATATCAAAATATCTTTCAAAATAGTAAATAATAATATGATAGAGATGAACCTTTTAGATAGCATGATAGCTTTTAGATCTAAAAATGGATCTCTAAAACAGATTTCCATATTCTTACATTTTGATAATTAATTTCTTGCATCCCGAGGATTTCTTAATACCTTTTATTTATTTTGTAAGTTATAGAAGCTCATTTAAAATTTTTTTAAACCTAAAGAGACATTGCATTATTTTATTATTATCTAAGTTGATTTTAGTTCTTCCATAGACATCTATTCCTTCTTAAAGAGATTTTTTTGGTCATATAAGGAAAAACACTACCATCTTTATATATAACTTTTTTGTGATTATATCTTACCATTAAAAAAAAGTCTGGAGCTCATTATATATACTTACTTCCAGTTTCTTTCCTTTATAAATAAACAATTGAAGTTTAAATCCCTAGTAGTGTTAGTTTTTGAGCAACATACAAATTAGGACTGAAAATCTACCTAAAAATTAAAAAGAAATTTATAAAACTTCTCAAGAGAAAGAGAGCTCACAGTTTTGAAATGTGTACTAGACATGTTAGGAAATAACTATTTCATTTAATTCTTAATTTTGCTGTATGAATTTTAATGTTGAAAGAACATACAACAGTTAAACAGTCATATGATAGGGAATAAGATTTAGATAATATCTCCATTTTTGAAGCTGAGGTTTTTGAGAGGAAAGTGCTTATTCAAAGTCAACAAATTAATGTTTTATAGGTAATTTTTATAATTTCTTAGTGCATGTTTACTTCTTTACTGCATGTTTACTCCAGTAGAACCCTGACGTTTGAATTCCTCATTATATGTATGCAAGATCATGCTTGAAGATAATTTTATAAAATACAATTAAGTTTTGTTTGGAAAGTGACTTTAAAAGAACAACAGTACATTTGTTTGAAGTTCATTTTAAGTGTTTGTATTATGTATTTTAATGACGACTATAGACTTACCTGATTTTAGGTTTGGGCGAATGCTATCTCATGATGGCAAAAGCAGCTCTAGTTGATTATCTTGATGGGAAAGCCGTAGACTACATAGAAAAATCCCTGGAATATTTTACTTGGTTAGTATTATTATTTATTGTATTTATTTTCTAAATATTAAAATAAAGCCAAATTTGTAAAATAATTTGTCTTCTATTAGATATAGCAATTATTCAGAATATAAACCATAAAGAAGACTAGACAGTTAAGTCTATAGCATATATATTGTATTAATTTTGCACTTGGAGAAACAATTTCTTATGGTCTTCATAGTGGCTAGCATGCTGGATACTCAGGAAAGAACAGAAAGGAGCAAAGAGCACCACACCACGAGTTAGTGTTCTTTCATGAGATGTGGAAATAGGGTATCTCTAATTGAAACTGATTGGGAAATGGGACTTCAGGTGCACAATGCGCTAAAGTGCATCGTGGAGCCTGGAGCCCATTATATGTGCTTTTCCATATTTCCTTCTCCTTTTTAAAGAAAACAATGAGATTTAAATCCCTGATAGGCCTTTACTCAGTGGTAAGGGCCTCTTTTAGGCTTATTGGTGGATCTGAAAGTAAAGAGAAAATAAGCAATCTGATTATTCCTAAAAACAAACTAAGAAAATAGTATTGTGTCTAATAATAAAGTATTTTATAGAAGTGTAAATTCAGTAGTTCATTATTTAAACTCACTAGAATTATGGTAGATGACTTTTAAAAAATCTACAAGTTATGCTGGACTTGGTGGTGTGCACCTGTAGTCCCAGGTACTAAGGAGGCTAATTCAGGAGAATAGTGAGTTCTATGCTAGATCAGTGTGGGCAACACAGGGAAACTATGTAAAAAAAAAAAAAGTCCATAGACTGTTGAAATTTAAATTTTTTTGGGGGGGTTATAGATGGACACAATACTTTTATTTTATTTTATTTTTATGTAGTGCTGAGGATCAAACCCAGTGCCTTACACATGCTAGGCAAGCGCTCTGCCACTGAGCCACAACCCCAGTCCTCAAATTAGAATTTTTTTCAATGTATAAATTGAAATTTTTTTTACACTTAAAGCATCTTTCTTCTGCTTATCTTCCTTTTTTTCAGACTTGCTTTTTCTTGTTTCCTGCTAATTTGATACCCAGCCTTTTTTTCTCTCACAAATTTTTATTGCTGTTTTTCAAGTCTCAACATAATATAGTTTTTCTCAAAGAAAAATTTAAAGTGAAGTGGACAGACTTTGTTTGAACTGGTATTAAAAGTAAATATGAATCTTTGGGTGACAGTACTTTAGCTACAAATATTGCCTTACTGAACCTCCTTGAGAAGTTTTATTCTGGATAACATCTAGTACTCCCCTAATTATAAAGTGTTTACAACGTTTAAAATCATGGACCCAAATCTGTACTTAACAGGAGTTAATATTACCACAATTATTGTGTAAGAGTGGTAGGAGTTATTGTATTTTACAGATGTGTTGTTTTCATTAAATTTAAAAAGACATAAGAATTCAGGCAGTTAAAATTACCTGTTATAATTTTTCTTTTTTTTCTAGTTTTCTCTTTTAATGCTGTAAATTTTAGAAATTTGGCTAAGAGAAATAGTGTCCTTCCTTTGATTCTCACCATGGGTTTTCAGTCATGACTGCAATAATTAATATTTCTCAGGAAGACATTGGAAAATGATTTTTGGCTGCACTTATTTAGTAGAAAAGACTGTGAAAAATGTTCCATCTGTTTGTCCATCTGTCTGTGATATAGCAGTTTGTGATAGCTGATTATGGAGACTTGGCTTAAATGAAATTGCAGTGTTTTGTTATCCAATCTTGAGAAAAATGGAGAGAAGTATATAGCTCTGATTTTTCTCGTTCTAAAATGAAGCACCTTCAATCTCTGTAATTAATATTTCTATTTACATTTTGAGCTTGTCTATTTAGTCTGCTCTTTCTTGCTTCTGTTAATGTGGATCTTCACTTTTTTGTTTTTAGATTTTTGTTATTTTTGTTCTCAGGATAAAAATCTTTTAGATCACCAAATATATTTGATACATTTACTTTTTTTATTCTTTTGGGGGATGGTCTAAAAGCAAACACATGATATTATAATAGGTAACTGTTAGGTAGTTACTTTATTGCTTTGGTCATTGCTTAAATGTTAAAAATACATATTTTAAAAAATTTAATATTAAAAAATTTTTTTTATAATTTATTTGATTCTTGCTATTTCTAACAAAAATGAAGAAGAATACTAAATAAGTGTCTGCATACTTTTTAGCACTTAAAATAATAAATTGCTCCTTCCTTTCTCCTTTTCTCCTCACAGATGGGAGGAGGTTAGTCAAGTATTCAGAGCTTAACTAAGGATTAATCAGGATTACATATATAGTTTTTCTGTTTTAATTATCAGAAATAATGAGAGAGATAAACTCCAAACTTTTTGGAAATAATTTTTAAGAATCACACTGTTTCTTCTTTTAGGGCCCTGCAGCATCGAGCTGATGTATCCTGCCTTTGGAAGCTGGTTGGGGATGCTTGTACCAGTCTGTATGCGGTTTCATCATCTAAAGTGAATGTTAATATTTTAGGGGTCCTTCTAGGCCAGAAAGAAGGAAAGCAAGCATTAAAGAAAACTGAGCTCCTCCATCTTGGAGGAAGGTATTTATCAAAGATTACCAGTTAATGATTTTCAAATGAAGTAGGATAGTATAACAAACCATAACATTCACTTTTATTCTTCCATAGGTGTTACGGTCGTGCATTAAAACTGATGTCTACATCTAATACATGGTGTGATCTTGGAATTAATTATTATCGCCAAGCACAACATCTAGCAGAAATGGGCAGCAGCATGAATGATCTTAAAGAATTGCTAGAGAAATCTTTACATGTATGATTTTAAGAAAATTTTTTATAAATTTAAAAAAAGTGCTTCTTTTGAAAGATATTTTTGACAAATACTATTGTGTTTTCACTTAAAATCACGTTTTATTTTGATGTAAATGCTTACATTCCAAGAAATAAAAATTAATCTCATTTAACTTCTTTTCAGTGTCTGAAAAAGGCAGTGAGACTCGACAGTAATAATCACTTATACTGGAATGCTCTTGGTGTAGTTGCATGTTATAGTGGTGAGAACTAAGTAATACTTCAATATTTTTTGAGGATTATTTTTTCAAATAAAAAGTTCAGTTACTTCAGACTCTGTTTGTTTCAGGTGTTGGAAATTATGCCCTTGCTCAGCACTGTTTCATCAAATCAATCCAGTCAGAACAAATTGTAAGTGTTCTATGTGTCTATTTATGAAAAAGAATTTCAAGATTTAGTGTTAACTAATTTTCTGAGAGTTCCACATAGATAAAAGGCCTAATTTTTTTTAATATATATATTTTTAGAATGCTGTCGCGTGGACCAATTTGGGAGTGTTATACCTTGCAAATGAAAACATTGAGGTAAACATGTTGTCAGGTTTGTCACATTAAAAATAAGAAATAGCTGGGTACAGTGGTGCACATCTGTAATTCCAGCAACTTGAGAGGCTGAGGCAGGAGGATTGCAAGTTGGAAGCCAGCCTTGGCAATATAGTGAGATCCTTTCTCAAAAAATAAAAAGGGCTAGGAATATAGTACAGTAAGTAGAGCCCTTCTGGGTTCAATCTTAAGTACCACAATAAATAAATAAGCACAATTCTGATCATTTTCTTTGTATAATCACTTCATAATAGCTCAATTTCTTGTGGAGAAATAACTTTACACATTGTTATATATTCAGTCAGCTGATGATATTAAGTTTATCATGTAGGGTAATGAATTTGTAAGATTTATTTTTCCTTACATGTCTCACAAGAAACTTCTGGTTTTATACTTAATATAGTTTTTAAAGATTAAAGTAATTTTATCATGAATTAATTGAGTAATTTTCTCTTTTTTAAAAATATTCTTTTAGTTGTTGATAGACCTTTATTTTATTTATTTATATGCGGTGCTGAGAATCGAACCCAGTGCCTCACACATACCAGGCAAGTGTGCTACCGCTGAGCCCCAGCCCCAGCCCTGAGTAATTTTCTTTTTATCTGGACTTGTGTTAAGAGAAGTCCTTTGAGGCTGTAGCTTAATGGTGAAGTGCTTGCCAAGCATGTCTGAGGACCTGCTTTTGATCCCAGTACCAAAACAAAACAAACAAAAATCCTTTATACACTGTGTATGGAGGTGGGATGGATAAAGGTAAGGGAGATGAATAGTATTCCCTACTAGTTGATATTTACCTTTGCTGTGTGATTTAGATTTTGACTTCAGTGATATTAATCCCTTTTAAATGACTGTAATTCATCATAGTTGAGCAATTATACATTATAGAATGGGAATTGAAGTACTAGAAACATGTTTATGAATCTTGTTTGGAAAGTTTGCACAAATCTATGGAAAATACCACATCTATGCTGTTTTAACCAGTGTATCAAATCTCATTCTTTAAAATAAGCTGTAATATTCTTAGGAATACATTAACTAATTCACTGCAAAGAAGACTGGCTTTAGAAGATTATAAATAGATTGAAAGAAAATACTAGTTTGGATCTTAAACATGTGAAGGGCTGTGACTATAGCTTATCATTAGAGCATGTGCTTAGCATGCATGAGGCTTGAGATTTAATCCCCAGCACCATAAAAAAATAAGTGAACATATTTTAAAAACTTTAAGTCAAACAACTTCTTAGTAAGTTACAAATGTTTTATTACAGAATGGCAGAGTTATAGCTCCTGATCTTACTTTTTATGGAAAAAATAAGTCTCTCTTTTGCCATACTTAGATTATCAAGAAAATAATATAAGTCAGTATGGAATAATAATTTGTTTTGTAGCAGAAAAAAAATGCATGTTGAAAATGTTAAAAAAAAATGTAAGTTAATGGTCCAAGTGAGGTATCTTCAAAGTTTCTTGAGTGCCTGTTGCAGAATTATGTTGTTGACCACTCTTTCTCTAGTAGCAGGTTCATGTCTCAGATTTTACTCCTTGGGAGTTCTTATCCTCTTAGTTAAGCTCAAAGAGAAGGGAATAGATACAGCCTTATGTAATCATTTCTTTCAAAGTGATAGCTAGTAGGTGGTTGTTTGATTGGTTAAAAGTTCTGTGGAGTGCATTTTCATTTTGCTGGGAACCAGAACTAATCTCTAGAGAAATTTGTTACACCCAGGGTTGTTCTGAGACTATGTAGTTGAAGCACTGCATTAAGCATTGCTAGCTGTGCTGAAACTGTGAAGTTTTAGGCTCATATCTATTTATTATGACAGGTTTGACTTTTCTGATTCCCTTATTTTATATTTTTTAAACATAATTTGATACCAAATTTATAAAATTATTTAAGTGATATTTTCTCATTTCTTTTCCCTAGCAAGCTCATGAAGCTTTCAAAATGGCTCAGTCTCTTGATCCATCTTATTTAATGTGCTGGATTGGACAAGTAAGATATACAACAGAATTATTAATAAACTTATTGATATAAAATATTCACATAAGAACTGTGGTAATAATGATAATAGATAACATTTGAGGATTTGCTCTGTACCATTCATTGTGCTTAGCTTTTTGTATACATTATTTTAGTTATTCCATCATCAATCCTTTGAGATGTGACTTTTATATATATATATATTTCAAATATAGGTGGAAATTAAAGCTCAGAAATCCTAAATATTGTACTTAAGTTCACAAGAGCTTGTAATGATTAAACTTTAACTTCATCAGTCTGCTATTGCTACGCCTAAAAAAATAAACCCAGAATTTTTCTATTTAACTCACATTTACAAAGATAATGCACATTTATAAAGATCATTTGATGATTGTTTTCTTAAAAAGTTTGAGTTAGTTTTGCACTTGCTTCTGAGTGTTCCCTTTTCTCAGATGTAGATTTTTGTATTGCCAGATAGGAATCAGATAATTACTAGTCTGAGTAGGTCACTGACTGGCTAGTTTACCTTAACATATCACAACTCTGGATTTTAATTTTCTCACCTGAAAATAAAGGGAATTGACTGAGTGGTCTTCAGTGTCTTTCTGGTTGAGTGGTGTATTGTTTTGATTCAGGGAATAGAAACATCACCTGTTATCAGAAAATCATTAATCAAGGATTGGGCATCTTTTATTGTTCTTTGGTTTGTTGAGTCTAATTTTAGTTAATTGGTGAAGCAAAAAAGGATATAAAGGGAAACATTTGTATCCATTAAGTGTGGTAGCCTAGGGGAGCAGTGGAATTAGTGTACCAACCTTTGTGTCAGATATTGAACCCAGAGGGCCTAAGAATTTGCATTTTTGCCTGCTCCCAGGTTATGCTGATGAGGCTGGTCCAAGGACCTCACTTTAGTGGTACTATAGGTCAGTAGATCTTAGATGCTTATCAGAATCACCTAAGCTTTTTTATTTCTTTATTTTGTAAGAAATTTTGTTCTAACAAAGTAATTTATTTCAGGAGGTAACTGATATAATTAAAATGGTAGCAGTATAAGTAAACTTCTTATTTAAGCAGAGCTGGTAAACTTTTGGTTCTAGATCCATTGTCATTATTATTATTATTTTATTTTCAACGCATTAAGACCATTTTTTTTCCCCTTTGTAAGGCTCTTATTGCAGAGACAGTTGGAAGTTATGATACCATGGATCTCTTCAGGCACACTACAGAACTCAATATGCATGTAAGAATGTGAACATTCTTCTTGATGATTCATTAATGAATAAAGTATTATACTTTCTGTTTGAAGTATTATCCTTGTTAAGGAAATGAGTAGAAAGTGATAGAAGATGTTGCTAGCAGTTGTTTTCTGGTTTTTATTATTTTTTAAAGATAGATAAAGTATCTTTACAGAACTAGTTCTCATGTTTCCAACAGCTTTCAAAAGCTCATGAAGAAATGGCATTAAAATTTAAGAGTTATAGTAATAGTTATAGAATAGAAACTGAGACACTAGAAAAAGTAGACATAAGGATTAGACTTGGTTGACATTTCTGGATTATTTTTATTTATGAAAATATTTTAGAATTTGTTAGTTTGGTTTGACCTGTGGAAGCAGTACTGAAAAAGGGAAAATCAATCCATGTGACAAGGCTCTGTTTGCTGCCTTTATCCCATTTGATTTTCTATTTAGGATTGGAGAAAGTAATTTAAATGTGTTCTTATATTTAATCACAATGATTCTATATTTAATCACAATGGTTCTTCATTTAAAGATACTTAAGTGTTGATTCAAAGAAGACTAAGATGTGATATTTATTGAAGTGCATTAATGTATTTCTTAATTTTTATTAGCATATTTTTTACCCTATGCCCACTTGTTAACTTTGGCTTTTTTATAGACTGAGGGAGCAATAGGTTATGCATACTGGGTCTGCACAACATTGCAAGATAAAAGCAACAGAGAAACAGAGCTATACCAATACAACATCCTCCAGATGAATGCTATTCCAGCAGCACAAGTTGTTTTGTGTAAATATGTGGGTAAGTTACCTGTTATTTAATGGCAAAATGTTTGAAGAAATATTAAAATAAAGAGTTTTTTAAACTAATTCATTCCATATTAAATATTTGTGTTAAGACTTGAATTTGCTTTTTTGTTTTATGGCCATGTGGTCTCCTTTTTAAAACTATAGCACTTTTGAAGAGTGATGAGATCAGAGGTACTGTGAAAAACAGGATAGAAAACAACATCACAGATATTAGGGGCATTATAATCTTCTTTATGCATTTAGACTGGGATACTTGTGTAGAAGAAAGTAAGTAGATTTCAAACATCAGCACTTTGGGACATTATCATGTTAGGCAGTGTGCCAGAATAAATGACAATAAATACTTAGAGCTGAGGAAGTGCTTCAGAAATTTAATTGATGTGTTTCCTTGCCAATGAGTAACTTTTGTAAAGAATTTACAAAAAGAGATAAGCTTTCGGCAAAATTCACATACAAAAAACAATGAACAAATCGTTTTAACAAATATGTGTAGCTGTTTTTTTTTTTTTTTTTTAATTTTAAAATTAATTAATTAATTAATTTGGTACCAGGGATTAAACCCAGGGCCACTTAACCACTGAGCCACATTCCCAGTCCTTTTTTGTATTTTATTTAAAGACAGGGTTTTGCTCAGTTGCCCAGGGTCTTGCCAAATTGCGGAGGACATTTTTGAACCTGTGATCCTCTTGCCTCAGCTTCCCAAGCTGCTGGGATTATAGGTGTGTGCCACTGTGCCCAGCGTGAGTTTTAAATTCTGTAGTGGAGCCCTATCATGTGCTCATTTAGCAAATTTAATTTGATGTACTTGGCCAAAAAAAATAAATAAATAAAAAATAACATAAGCAGAAAAGAGAGGGTAATGAGAGAAAGAATACAGACCATTTGCTGCTTTCCTTTGAGTACTGTGGCATGTGAAGGGAAATATTTCATACTTGTTTTGACTCAGTTTTGTGACCCTTGTTTGAAGATGTCAGGGATTTTTAAAGAATAACTTTGACTATGTATTTTTCACCTTATGCCTTTTGACGTTAGAACCTAACTATCACATATGATATGATTTATATTGTACTTTGTTAAACAATTGATGGGATTTAAAGTCTTGCATCCAAGTACTGCTTTTTAAAATTTATTTTTATTTTGTGGGGGATGGAACCTACGGCCTTATGCATGCTAGGCAAACACTTACCACTGAGCCACATCTCCAGAGCCCCAGTATCACTTTTAAGTTATATTAGATGTGTTTCTTCTTCTCTAATCTGCATGATATAGGGTAATATATGATGTTTTTGACATTAAAATTTCAAAATACTAGCTGGGCATGGGGCATTTAGGAGGCTGATGTCAGAGAATTGAAAGTTCAAGGACAGCCTGGGCAACTTACTAAGACCCTGTTCAAAATTAAAAGGGTTGAAGATATATCTCAGTGGTAGCATGCCCTGGGTTAAATCACCAGTGCCAAAAAAAAAAAAAAAAAAAAAATACTGCTTTGAAAGTTCCCAGATCATCTTCTGTTTTTAGAGTGCAATACTGCATTATTATTTTTTAAACATATAGCGATTGGAACAGAACCACCAAGAGAAATCATTGCTAAATTTAATCACAGGAAGGCTTAAATGATAACCCCAAACTGGATTTAAATATCATGACTAGCTTTAACATGAGTTAAAATTAAAAATTATACTTTAGGAATAAAACTATTTGAAATTCTAAAACAGAATAGAAACCATATGTAACTATGAAATATTATTCAGTGATTTAAAAGAATTATAAAAAGACTACTGATATTTTCAAGATAAAATTAAACCATCACTCTTAATAATGTCAGTGATCTCAGTAGGTAATCTGATGTTTAAGATACAGGAAAAAGTGAAAATTAAACTAATATTTTTTGTGAACATAACCAGTATGGACATATAAAGTAAAGATATTTCTGAATTTCTAGAAAGAATTCAGAATTATGCTCCAGCTTTCACAATGTTGGGTTACTTAAATGAACATCTACAACTGAAAAAGGAAGCAGCAGATGCGTACCAAAGGTAAGCTATATTTAATAATATAGTCATTGTTTTATCAGTTAGTCTTTCAAATTTAGTCCTATTCTCCTGAAGACTGTACTAAATGTTTTGACTCCTTGTATTTTATTATTGCATCTTAGAAAGTGAAAAGATATGGTCCCAAATTTTCAGTTGTGTTTTGGTTTCTGTTGCAGGGAGGTGAGTGAGAAGAGTAAGAGAAGGAGTGGCACAAAACAGAAACTTCTCAGATGTTGTTTTAGAGAAACCTGTCCTCTAAAAACTTGTATAGCTTTATCAGATACATGTATATACTTGAATCACTTTAGTATCTGCAATATATTTATTAGTTCAATAAATATTTATTGGTTTTTTTGGCACTGGGAATTTAACCCAGGGTGTGCTACCACTGAGGTACATCCTCAGCCCTTTTAATTTTGAACAGGGTCTCAAACAGTATCCTTAGCACTAGCAATTTAGTATTGAATTCTAATGGAGAGAGACCCTATTCTCCTGGAGCTCATTTTCTGGTGATAGGGGAGAGACTTGATAAGGTAATGAACATCTGATAATAATAATTGTGATAATAATAGTAAAAAAGAATTAAAGTATGATAAAGGGCCAGAGAATGCAGGGCAGGAAGTGACATTTTAGATGGGTTTAAGAGGAGTAGGTATACTGAGAAAGAGTTGAAGCCTGACCTGAAGGAGTTGAGGCCACAAACCGGCTGAGGTTATCTGGACAAGAGCATCCAGGCAGAAGGAATAGCAAGAGCAAGTGCTCTCAATGGAAGAAACAAGAAAGCCAGTGTGCTGGAGTTGAATGACTGGCCTGGAGAGTGGTGGGAAATTATGTCTTAAAGTTTTGTTCTCTGCAAATTGATGGTTAGGTGAATAAGGAAGCAACTGTTGATCTCATGAATTACTAGATGAAAAGTTTAAAAGACCCGATTGCCTAGAATGTAAGTACATATTTAGAAGAAGCCTTGTCAGGTGGGATTCAGGTGTCCCAAATACTTCGCCCTATTCTTTCATGGATATCTGTGTATTTAAAGTAGTAATCACTCGATGGTACTGGAGGCTGTGTAATCAAGTACTTGTTTTCCAGGTATATGTGGAGAGAGATTTATGAAAAACACAATTTTATTTTAGTATAATAAACAAATTATAAATATGATAGAGTGCAAGAGTGAACATGATTTTTGAACAGAAAATACCTAGAGAGCTATAGGGCATCTGCTTTTTTTTGTTGTTGTTGTTAATGCAGATATGGTGAACTAACATTGCCTACACGGCAACTCCATCGTTGGAGTTGTCCTACTCTTTCTTAACTGATCTCCTCTACTGTTTTCTGCCTCAAAGAAGCATTTGAGGCTTGAAACTATAAATTAGATATAAATTTAACCAAAGTACCATTATTGATCTCTGTAATACTTTTAGGCTTATCTGGAAAATTTTTGTTTTTCATGTAACTAACATTAGGGAAATACAAAACTTTTCTTGGATATTTCTCCCTGACATGTCTTCATACTAATTTTTTAAATTAAAACTTAATTAAATTAATATTAATTAAATTTTAATAAAATTTTTAAAATTGTTGATGGACCTTATTTTATTCATTTATTTATATGCAGTGCTGAGAATCAAACCCAGTGCCTCATATATGTGCTTTACCACTGAGCTGCACCCCCAGTCCTTAAAAACATTTTTAAGAGCATTATAATTATACATAGTATTTGGGTTCATTTTGACAAAATCATACGTGCAAGGAATTTGATTTCAATCCCCATTTCCCTTTCCCACTTTTTCTTCCCCACTCCCTCCCTCTATTCTCCCAGTTTTACTCTACTAAACTTCCTTGTACCTAAAGGTGAAATTCCCTTAGGTACCTTTATGTATGACTATAAGATGATTTTGTTAAATTTATTGCATATTTCTTCCCCTTTCCTTTCTTTGTCTCTTGTTCTCCTTCTTTACTCCACTGATCTTCCCTATATCTATATGATATCCAATCCCACTGCTTTCTTTCCCTTATCTTGCTCTAGCTTCCACACATGAGAGAAAACATTCAACCCTTGATATTCTAACTAACTTATTTCACTAACTTATTTCACTTAGCATGATGTTCTCCATTTCCATCTATTTACTGGTAAATGCCATTGTTTCATTCTTATTTATGACTGAGTAAAACTCCATTGTAATACTACATTTTCTTAATCCAGTCATCTATTGATTGGCATCTGGGTTGATTCCATAATTTGACTGCTGTGAATTGTGCTGCTATAAACATTGAAGTGGCTGTGTCACCATAGTTTGCTGATTTTAAATCTTTTGAATAAATACTGAGAAGTGGAAAAGCTGTGTCATATGGTGGTTCCATTCCTAGTTTTTTGAGGAATCCCACGCTGTTTGCCAGAGTGGTTTTACTAGTTTATAGTCCTACCAACAATGTAAGAATATACCTTTTCCCCTACATTCTTACCAGCATTTATTGTTATTTGTGTTTTTGATAATTGCCATTCTGGCTGGAGAGAGATGAAATTTTAGTTTTTTTTTTTTTTTTTTAATTTCTTGGCCATTTGTGTTTCTTCTTTTGAGAAGTTTCTGTGCAGTTGTTTTGCCCATTTATTGGTTAGGCTATTTTTTTTTTGTCATTTAGTTTTTTGAGTTCTTTATATATTCTGATATATATTACATTTTATTAATCCTATCAGAGTAGTAGCTGGCAAATATTTTCTCCCATTCTGCAGGCTCTCTCTTCACTCTCTTATTTCCTTTGCTGCATAGAAACGTCTTAATTTGATACCATTCTACTTATTGATTCTTGGTTTTACTTTTTGAGCTTTAGGGATCTTGTTGAGGAAGTAGGTGCCTGCACCTATATGTTGGAGTGTTAACTATATTTTCTTATAGAAGTTGCAAGGTTTCTGGTCTAGGTTTTAAGACTTTAATCCATTTGATTTGACTTTTGTAGAGATTGAAAGATAGGGATCTTAATTCATTCTTCTACATATGGATGTCTACATGTAGATATCTAGGTCTTCCAGCACCATTTGTTAAAAATGCTATCTTTTCTCCAACATACATTTTTTGGAACCTTTGTCAAGTATCAGATGACTGGAGAAAGTTGGGTTTGTCTCTGTGTCTTCTGTTCTACTGGGCTTTATTTCTATTTTGATGCCAATACTATACTGTTTTTGCTACTCTATCTCTGTAGTAAAATTGTAGATTGAGTATTGTGATGCCTGTTGTATCACTTTTTTTGTTCAGAATTGCTTTAGCCATTCTGGCTCTCTTATTCCAAATGTATTTTAGGATTTTTTTGTAGTCTGTGAAGAATGTCATTGTATTTTAATGGGGACTGCATTGAATGTGTAAATTGTTTTTGGTAGTATGGCCATTTTGACATTATTAATTCTGCCTATTAAGAACTTGGGAGGTCTTTCCATTTCTGATGTCCTTTTCAATTTCTTTCTTAAGTGTTCTATAGTTTTCATAGTAGAGATCTTTCACCTTCTGGTTAGATTAATTCTCAGGTTTTTTGTTTGTTTGTTTGTTTGTTTTTTGGTTAAAGGTTATTGTAAAGGGGATGGTTTTCTTGATTTCTTTCTCAGCTGAACCACTGTTGGAGTACAGAAAAGCTGTTGATTTATGAGTGTTAATCTTGTGTCCTGCTACTTTGATAAATTTGTCAGCTCTTGAAGTCTTCTGGTAGAATTTGTTGCTCTTCTAGATGAAGGATGATGTCATCAGCAAACAATGACTTCTTTTTAAATTTAGACATATCCTTTCAATACAGAAAAGAAAAAACAAAAATCTTACTAATTTTTCAGCTCTTTTTAGTTGTGAGGCATCTTCCTATTTGCCTGTAGAAGACTGTATGAAAAAGAAACATGGGCTGTCGGCATTCTGAAGCATCAAGGGACTTCTAATGTCCTGCCATTCTCTTCCCTTAACTCAATGTGTTTTAGTTTTTTGAATGTATAGGCAAGAGTAATGAAAACACTCAACTTCCTGTCTTCCAAATTCAGACTACTAGTTTTTTTTAAATATTTCTTTAGTTGTTGATGGAGCTTTAATTTATTTATATACAGTGCTGAGAATCGAATCCAGTGCCTCACACATGCTAGAAAGTGCTCTACTACTGAGCCACAACCCCAACCCCAGACTACTAGTTTTAAGAATATCTTCTATAAACTCAAATATGTAAAAAATGTAATCCTGTTACATACTCATTTCTCAGAGTTACATTAGAATTTTTGGAATATTTACAACTCGAATGTGAATAATAATTTCACTAAGAATGATCTAAAAGGGAAAATATTGAGGATTGAAATGGAACAAGTTATGTTATATGCATTTATGATTGTCAAAATGAATGCTATTATTTAGTATGATTATGATACACTAATAAAAAGTGAAAGAATTAAGTGCTTATTTTATTAAAGTTAATTTCCTGACAATCTAAAACATAAATATATTTAAGCGTTTTTGTGGTATGAAATATGAATAAGTTGCTTTTGCTGGCATTAAACAAGTAGTAGAATTAAATGAAATAATAGCAATCTGTGATCATCCAAGACAGGAAGGGTAAAACAATGCTGTTGCACGGAGATAGTTAAAATACCTTGTCCTTTTTTAAGGGCAATGTTGTTGTTACAGACTGAAGAAGATCAAGATACTTATAATGTTACAGTAAGAAATTATGGCAGATTGTTGAGGTAAGCATATTTTTCTCATTAATTCTGTGAATCTGTTGGAATTTTCTGGTAAAGCTATGGAATTGGTAAGGTGATGATCAGTGTCCAGAGCAGGGTCATATGGACAGTGGTCCATAGTACCAGGCTATCTTAACACTTTCTGTACCTATAATAATGCTAAATCCTAATGTGCCTTACACAGAGTAGAATTAAAACTAATGGTTTGTGGACTAGATAAGAGACATTTTGAGGAGAAGTAGTTGTTGTCTCTAATAGTAGAAACCTATTTAACTGGAAAGTTAACTGAAAGAAGAACTGGATTTATTCTGATTTGTTAATGTATTCTTAAACTAGTGAGGGACATTAGCAGTTGAGGAATTCCTCTGAAACAATAGAAAAGAATTTGGTGGGCTATGAAGAGGGAACTACAGAACTTTCCTCAGGTTGCAAAGATTTTTAATGATTATTTTTTAAAAAAGATTAAAAACCTTCTAGAACTAGTAAATGAATTCAGCAAAGTAGCAGGATACAAAATCAACACCCATAAATCAAATGCATTTTTGTATATCAGTGACAAATCCTCAGAAAGGGAAACAAAAAAACTACCCCATTTACAATCGTCTCAAAAAAAAGTAAAATACTTGGGAATAAATTAATGAAACAGGTGAAAGATCTATATAATGAAAATTACGGAACCCTAAAGAAAGAAATCAAAGAAGACCTTAGAAGGTAGAAAGATCTACCTTGCTTTTGGATAGACAGAATTAATATTATATCAAAATGACCATACTACCAAAAGCACTATACAGATTTAATGCAATTCTGATCAAAATCCCAATGACATTCCTCATAGAAAAAACAGTCATGAAATTCATCTAGAAAAATATGAGACCCAGAATAGCTAAAGCAGTTCTTAGCAGGAAGAGTAAAGCAGGTGGCTTCACTATACTGGACCTTAAACTATACTACAGAGCAATAGTAACAAAAACGGCATGGTATTGGCACCGCAACAGACTGGTAGACCAATGGTACAGAATAGAGGACACAGAGACTAACCCACAAAATTACAATTATCTTATATTGGACAAAGGCTCCAAAAACATACATTGGAGAAAAGATAGCCTCTTCAACAAATGGTATTGGGAAAACCGGAAATCTAATATACAACAAAATGAAATTAAACCCCTATCTCTTACCATGTACAAAACTCAACTCAAAATGTATCACGGATCTAGGAATAAAACCAGAGACTCTGCATCTAATAAAAGAAAAAGCAGGCTCTAATCTGCATCGTGGATTAGGCCCCAATTTTCTTAATAAGATTCCAGTGGCGCAAGAATTAAAACCAAGAATCAATAAATGGGATGGCCTCAAAAGTTTCTTCTCAGCAAAAGAAACAATCTGTGAGGTGAATAGAGAGCCTACATCTTGGGAGCAAATCTTTACCCCTCACACATCAGATAGAGCACTAATCACTAGGGTATATAAAGAACTCAGAAAGCTAAGCACCAAAAAACTCCAAATAACCCAGTCTGTAAATGGGCCAAGGACCTGAAGAGACACTTCTCAGAAGATGATGTACAATCAATCAACAAATGATATTACAATCAATCAACATGAAAAAATGTTCATCAACACTAGCGATTAGAGAAATGCAAATCAAAACCACTCTAAGATTCCATCTCACTCCAGTCAAAGTAGAGTTGCAGCTGTTATGAAGACAAACAATAAGTGTTGGCGAGGATGTGGAGAAAAAGGTACACTCATACACTGCTGGTGGGACTGCAAATTGGTGCAGCCAATATGGAAAACAGTATGGAGATTCCTTGGAAAATTGGGAATGGAACCACCATTTGACCCAGGTATCCCTTTCCTCCATCTATACCCAAAGGACTTAAGAACAGCATACTACAGGGACACAGCCACATCAATGTTTATAGCAGCACAATTCACAATAGGTAAACTGTGGAACCAACCTAAATGCCCTTCAGTAGGTGAATGGATAAAAAAAGTGATACACACACACACACACACACACGAAATATTATTCAGCAGTAAACGAGAATAAAATCATGGCATTTGCAGGTAAATGGATGGAGTTAGAGAAGATAATGTTAAGTGAAGTTAGCCAGTCTCAAAAAAACAAATGCCAAATGTTTTCTCTGATATAAGGAGGCTGATTCATAGTGGGAGGGAGAGCATGGGAGGAATAGATGAACTCTAGATAGGGCAGAGAGGTGGGAGGGGAAGGAAGGGGGCATGGGGTTACAAATGATAGAGGAATGTGATGGACATTATTATCCAAAGTACATGTATGAAGACATAAATTGGTGTAAATATACTTTGTATACAACCACAGAGATGAAAAATTGTTTTCTATATGTGTAATAAGAATTGTAATGCATTTCGTTGTCATACAAATAAAAAAATTAATTAAAAAAAAGAAAAAACAAGATTAAAAACCAGTTATAGAACAATGCCCAGAGAATAGAAATATTGTTAGGGGAAAGTTTATGCCTCAAGGAGGTATATTTCAAGTTTGTAACTGCTCCAAAATTGAGCAATCCAGTTTAAAGTAGATAAATAATAGAGACATACATAAAGGAGCTACATAATAGAGACTTGAGGCAGCCGCGTCCTTTCCTTTATTACTGTGTAACTGAATCATATCCACAAACAGGAAAATTTTAATCTTCTGATTGTTTGTCCTTTCAGTTCTTTTAACTGTTAACATTTAAGCAGTGGTAGAACTCTATCCAAGATTTTGTTCAAGCAGAGGATGGATATTGTAAAAAATTACATGGAGTAAAGTGTTTGTTCTTTTTAGTTTTGATATTTAATGTAATGGAAATATCTTAGAAGAAAATTTATATCTCCCATTGAAAATAGGACATCTGTTTTCTTTTAAATGTGGTTTTATTATGATATGTTGAATAGGCAAGCATTGTCTAGTAATAAACTAGAGAGAATCAATTAATGAATAGTTACCACTAGTTGTAACATCTTAAAATTCTGTCAGTTTGCTTCAGGTTATAAAGTTATGAAACTGAAACCCTGTATGGCCTTTTCTAATTTCTTTTGAAAAATTAAAAAAAAAATTTTTGGTACCAGGGATTGAACCCAGAGGTGCTTAATCACTAAGTCATCTTTTTTTATTTTATTTTTTAAATTTTGAGACAGGATCTTGCTAAGTTGCTTAGAGCCTTGCAAAGTTGCTGAGGAGGGTCTAGAACTTGTGATCCTCCTGCTTTGTCCTCTGGGGTCACTGAGATTATAGGTATGCTCCACCACTCCTAGCTTAATTTTTTTTCTCTCTACAAAAGTAATCACATTTTTAAAAAGACTATTCATTTAAAGAAATACTTTTAATATATATGAATGTATTCATATATAATCTGAGTTAACCATCTTTCCTTTATCAAAATACTTAACCAAATTTGAGTTTATTGGTTTTACAAATTCATTGGCTTTTTAAAAACTAATATTAGAAGCAAAGGTTGCCCATGTTTTTAGCTCCTACTCATATCCTTCAAGAGGAAAAATTTTATAAAAAGATTTCCAGTAACACAATAAATAAAAATAGATTTGGATTATGGTGTTTGACCAGAAATAAAAATCTCGGAGATGTTGTTTCTATTCAGATGGTGGCAGCGGAGCTTATGTAAGTAAGTTCTCTTCTTTTTTAAATAAGCAAAACCGTTATTTTGCTGTTATTAGTAAGCATTGTACTTTAGTACCATATATTAACAATTTATACTTTTCTCTCTATTAAACACAAAAAGATAATGAATAGTATTATCTGTAGAATTTTAATGATTCTCTGTGCCCTCCAAAAAAAATTTATTTGCAGATAAATAGTTTACACCAAGATTGGGTTTGATTCTGACTTATGACTTATTAAGCTTGTCTGAGATATAATAATCATAGGATGCTATTTAACTAATGTGTATTAAGCTTAAAAAATTAGAATTCTGTGAAATGGATATCTTACCATAAGTACATGTATGAAGACACAAATTGTGTGACTCTACTTTGTGTACAACCAGAGGTAAGAAAAATTGTGCTTTATATGTATAATATGAATTGTAGTGCATACTGCTGTCATATGTAACAAATCATAATAAAAATAAAAATTGGTAATTAAAAAATTAGAATTCTGTATAAAAGTCAACCTGAAATTATTCTTATAACTTAGGATTTTAATTAAAGTTTGTTAGAGACAATTCTTTTTCACATGTAATTTTTAAAAAACAATGTATTGAAGTTAAAATCCCCTTAGTACATTCTGTTTGTGATATGCCTTCTGTTTTCAGTCTTTTCTGCATCTTTAACACAAGTAGATTATATTTTACTGAATTGCCACTATAAAAATGGAACTGCAGGTAAAGTTATTAAAAGTAGTAGTGTAGATAACTCTCTATTTTGATGCTGCAAGCCAAAATTTTCTTTTATATTAAAAATAAATTGTATTTGTTTCTTAGTTCCATTGGTGAATACGACAAATCTATCCAGGCTTTTAAGTCAATACCTCTCGAGGAGTTAGAAGACCTCATAGGCTTTGCATTGGCTTTATTTATGAAGGGGCTATATAAAGAGAGCAGCAAAGGTAAGGCTGTTGCTTAAAGGATGTTTCTTTTCCAGAGTTTACTCATAATGAGCTTATTATATACAGAAAGATGGGGGTGAGGGTTGTAGTATTTATTAAAATCTGACTAGGAGTCAGGAATCATAATAGTCACTTTTTACATATTACCTCATGTAGTATGTTATGATGGTGACTAGTCCCTTAGTAATACTCAGCAATGAGCTGAGTATTCTACATATGAGGGAACTAAGAGCCAAGATTATTTATGGTAGACATGTGAGTTAGTATTTGAAAGTAGGTGTTTACTATTCTATGCTGCTTAAGTGAAAATTTCTGATACATGAATATCAGTTGGTATAGTAGATACTGGTTTCTCCAAAAATATTAACTGATAAATTTTTAAATATATGGGCCCCACCTACATTTGTGTAGCTCATTTAAATATCCTCTGCTTAATGGCGGTGGTGGTCTGTACTGGAAACTTTGATGATATTTCGTTGGCTACAAGCCTCCACCTCTGGCTTTTAAAGGTGGCTCTTAGAGATAGTGACTCAGACCTCTCCATAGATTCTACCATTTAGATACTAGATGGTACTAGAAGATGGGGCTTATCACAGAATAATCCCAATCATACCACCGACTCACCTTGGAAATGCTAAACCAAGGTGGATTATTATAAGTTTTTTATTCTGTCTACTTTAAAACAAGGGAACAATAAGATATGATTTTAGTTAGGTCTTTTTGAAAAATGGGATTGTTAGTCAAAGTTGTTTTAATATTTTGTTTGTTTCTAATTCTCTGTGACAGCATATGAAAGAGCCTTGTCTGTTGCTGAATCAGAGCAAGACAAAGCCCATATCTTGACAGCTCTGGCAATAACAGAATATAAACAAGGAAAAATGGATATAGCCAAGTCACTGCTATTCAAATGGTATGTATAGATGACATCAACACTTAACATGACCTGATACTTAAATATTTAGGTTAAGATTTGGAGCAATGTAAAATGAAGTTCTAAGTGTTTCAGGAACTTTCAGGTGGTTCTGAATTGACAATCACAGGTGGAGCTAGATGTCATGGTTTAATTCTCAGATCTGGATTCCCGATCTTTCAAAATCATCCTCTGCTCTGTGTATGTTTTTTCTGATGATGATGATGATGATGATGATGTTACTTTATTTGTTTTTAAGAGTAATTGATTACATAACTAATGTAGTAGGAGCTTAAACTTGTAATGAACTCTTGGATCCCCAATGAGACTTTTTTTCCTCCCTTCCTTCCTTTTAAAGTTAACCTGAAAAAAAAGTTCTTTTGAAAGTGAGTCTTTAAAAAACAATTATGCCAATGGAACTTGTAACTATTCTTATGTTTTTGGGTCAAGTTTATAAGATAATAGCTCTGATACCTCTGGTTATTTATGTAATATTTTTTGACTTTTTGAGTTTTTTTTTTGAAAATTGGCCTAAATTTCTTACAGAGCAGGAGGTGATCAATATATGTCCTTGGACATTGGTTGTCATTGACTACTTTATTGGCATTTTGACTGATACATATCGTAATAGCACGCAAGTTTCCCTCCCCTGCAGAATACTTACATCTCTGCCTCCCATTCATTAAATGCTAATATCATTCCTCGTTCATTATGACAATCAAAAAAATTGCCTCCATAACTGTTCCCCTCAAAAGAGGGGGAAGGGAAATGATTAGATGGTAGTAGTTGAGAGCCACTTCTGTAGATCAGCTTTTAACTTAGTTATTCATTGCAATACTTTTATCTAATCCTGCCTAATTAAAGTCATTCCCTTGTGTAATAAGTAAGAAATTCTTTCTGTTCTTCTTTGCTTTTTTGAGAAAACTAATCAATTTAAGCTATAATCCAGATACTTTACATGGATACATCCTTGTAATGTACATGAATTTGTGGTAACACTCACAGTTGCTAATGAATATTGGCAGTTATCAGGGATAAAATAAACCCAAATTAGACCCAAAAGTTTATGGTTATTACTTTTAAAAGTAACAAAATCAGTTTGAACATTGGAAATAGAGAAAAAAATAGCAAACTGTAATCTTTCCTTTTTTCTTTCTTCTATGAGAAGGAAACTTAAGGTTTTCCTTCTTGTATTATATTGTTGGATCCAGAGCTAGATGTTTTGTTTCTATTTGATTCTTTATGTCATCATCCAAGTAGCACTACTGACTGCTCCAGTTCCCACCTTCTTGGCATTCTTTGACTTTCTATGAAGAGATAAGATTTATTGGTTTTGTTTGCCATTCGTATGTTGAAAACTGAGCAGTATCCTAGATGCTTATATGGGGAGAGTAGGAGTAAATTCATCATATAAGGGGGAAAAAATCTAATTGTCAATTTCATAGACTTTACAGTATTGAATAAACACATGTTAATCCCTGGAACATGGTAAAAGGCAACATGCAGGTACTGAGCATTTCAGTACATGTTTGCTTGTTACTGGAATGTATTCATTTTTGTAATGATTTAGATTTACATATTAATATTAGAGTAGATAGGTTTTATTCCTTTTGAGCGAAGGCACAAATTGGAATTTCTTTTGTTATTAAGATTAAAACTTATATATTGCTATATACTTTTATGTTTTCTTTGTTGTACCAAATGGCAGTATATATTTATAGTGATAGAAATGACACTGACATTATACTCCACATTTTTACTTCTACCTTTTAAAATTCTTTACTGTGAAGGGTTACTGTAGGTATTTTAAGTAAGCTACTTACTCCAGAGCTGCTTACGAAAATTCATGATTTTATACCCAATGATCAAAATTAAGTGCAAAAGAATTAATTCCCCCTTCCAACAAATGGTTCAAAGGCTAGTATAAATGCTTTTGTTATATTTTAGTGAACTTTGTTTAAAACGTTTTTGAAAGCTTCTTCATTTTATTACAGTACACAATTCATAATAATTATTTAAAAGTATCATTTAGTTTGTGGAGAGCTAAGAATTCTTCATTTAAATTAATATTCTTAAAAATTATTTACTTTTTCTTCTTTAAGGCTAAATAAGCCTCACATTTTACAGGTGAAAAAGGAAAAAAAAAATTTATATTTTTTTTTTTTTTTTAATTTTTATTGTGGGTTGTTCAAAACATTACAAATTTCTTGACATATCATATTCCACACTTTGATTCAAGTGGGTTATGAACTCCCACCTTCACCCCATACACAGATTGCAGAATCACATCAGTTACACATCCATTGATTTACAAATTGCCATACTAGTGTCTGTTGTGCTCCGCTGCCTTTCCCATCCTCCACCCTCCCCCCTCCCCACCTCTCCCCTCCCCTCCCCTCCTCTCTCTCTACCTCCTCCACTGTATAACCCTGAGGGTCTCCTTCCATTACCATGCAATTTCCCTTCTCTCTCCCTTTCCCTCCCACCTCTCATCCCTGTTTAATGTTAATCTTCTTCTCATGCTCTTCGACCCTACTCTGTTCTTAGTTACTCTCCTTATATCAAAGAAGACATTTGGCATTTGTTTTTTAGGGATTGGCTAGCTTCACTTAGAATAATCTGCTCTAATGCCATCCATTTCCCTGTAAATTCTATGATTTTGTCATTTTTTAATGCAGAGTAATACTCCATTGTGTATAAATGCCACATTTTTTTTATCCATTCGTCTATTGAAGGGCATCTAGGTTGGTTCCACAGTCTTGCTATTGTGAACTGTGCTGCTATGAACATCGATGTAGCAGTGTCCCTGTAGCATGCTCTTTTTAGGTCTTTAGGGAATAGACCAAGAAGGGGAATAGCTGGGTCAAATGGTGGCTCCATTCCCAGCTTTCCAAGAAATCTCCATACTGCTTTCCAAATTGGCTGCACCAATCTGCAGTCCCACCAGCAATGTACAAGTGTACCCTTTTCCCCACATCCTCGCCAGCACTTGTTGTTGTTTGACTTCCTAATGGCTGACAATCTTACTGGAGTGAGATGGTATCTTAGGGTGGTTTTGATTTGCATTTCTCTGACAGCAAGAGATGTTGAGCATTTTTTCATGTACTTGTTGATTGACTGTATGTCCTCCTCTGAGAAGTGTCTGTTCAGGTCCTTGGCCCATTTGTTGATTGGGTTGTTTGTTTTCTTATTGTCTAATTTTTTGAGTTCTTTGTATACTCTGGATATTAGGGCTCTATCTGAAGTGTGAGGAGTAAAGATTTGTTCCCAGGGTGTAGGCTCCCTATTTACCTCTCTTATTGTTTCTTTTGCTGAGAAAAAACTTTTTAGTTTGAGTAAGTCCCATTTGTTGATTCTAGTTATTAACTTTTGTGCTATGGGTGTCCTATTGAGGAATTTGGAGCCCGACCCCACAGTATGTAGATCGTAGCCAACTTTTTCTTCTATCAGACGCCGTGTCTCTGATTTGATATCAAGCTCCTTGATCCATTTTGAATTCACTTTTGTGCATGGCGAGAGAAAGGGATTCAGTTTCATTTTGTTGCATATGGATTTCCAGTTTTCCCAGCACCATTTGTTGAAGATGCTATCCTTCCTCCATTGCATGCTTTTAGACCCTTTATCAAATATAAGATAGTTGTAGTTTTGTGGATTGGTTTCTGTGTCCTCTATTCTGTACCATTGGTCCACCCGCCTGTTTTGGTACCAGTACCATGCTGTTTTTGTTACTATTGCTCTGTAGTATAGTTTGAAGTCTGGTATCGCTATACCGCCTGATTCACACTTCCTGCTTAGCATTGTTTTTGCTATTCTGGGTCTTTTATTTTTCCATATGAATTTCATGATTGCTTTCTCTATTTCTACAAGAAATGCCATTGGGATTTTGATTGGCATTGCATTAAACCTATAGAGAACTTTTGGTAATATCGCCATTTTGATGATGTTAGTTCTGCCTATCCATGAACAGGGTATATTTTTCCATCTTCTAAGATCTTCTTCTATTTCTCTCTTTAGGGTTCTGTAGTTTTCATTGTATAAGTCTTTCACCTCTTTTGTTAGGTTGATTCCCAAGTATTTTATTTTTTTTGAAGATATTTTGAATGGAGTGGTTGTCCTCATTTCCATTTCAGAGGATTTGTCGCTGATATACAGGAATGCCTTTGATTTATGCGTGTTGATTTTATATCCTGCCACTTTGCTGAATTCATTTATTAGCTCTAATAGTTTCTTTGTAGAGCCTTTTGGGTCTGCTAGGTATAGAATCATATCATCTGCAAATAGTGATAATTTAAGTTCTTCTTTTCCTATTTTTATGCCTTTAATTTCTTTCGTCTGTCTAATTGCTCTGGCTATATTTTTTATTGTATGTTTTACATTCACGATATTTAAATTCTCCTTAAATTATAAAAATGTTTATTTGAAGCCTACTGGGTGTAGCTACATTGTGCTTATTATGTAAAGTGCTGCTTTCAGTATCACCAAGCAAATAGGACAAGAGTTCTGTCAGAATGATAAAAATCAGATCTTATATTAAACAGATTCTTCTTTTTTTTAACTATTCATGCCTTCCAGGATCTTATTGAAACTGAACATTTTAGCAAATTTGTTCTAATTATTTAACTAGAACTGAGACCCAAAGAAGCTGATTTACATTTGCTTCTAAAGAATGGATAGAATGACCAGAGAAGAAATTTGGCTATTATAGGTCTATGAAAAGCCATTACCACTTTTTATCAGTCAGAGAAATTGCTATCTATAAAAGCCAAGAAAGGTTTCTTATATTACTGTTAAAACTGGCTTATTTGATGAATCTTTAAGTAAATTTCTTTTTGTATTAAGCGTCTTTTACTAATATAGATAAAACTACTATATTGATAGCTAACAAGCAGTTATAAAACTGTGTTTACAGCTCTATTTTAAAGGAACCAACCATAGAAAGCCTTCAAACCCTGTGTGCTCTAGGATTGGTAATGCAGGATGCTACACTGTCTAAAGCAGCACTTAATGAATTACTGAAGCGTATCAAACACAAAGACAGTGATTATCACAGGTGCCTTCTTACTTCAGCTATTTATGCACTCCAAGGCCGCAGTGTGGCAGTGCAACGGCAAGCGTCTAAAGCTGTTCACAGGTAATGTGGTTATGTTTGTCACTTGGTCTTCAGTAAGATGAGGTAACCATGTTTATATTGGAAACCAGACTCTGGCTCCTTGAAATTATACATAGGACCAGGCAACTGACTTTGCCAGTTATTTTTCTATAAGGATCTTTTTAATTTAGTTGATAAATTTGGCTCTTACTTGGGTAAAAGCCCAAAACTTGTTTTGATGTAAAAGCTCTTATTTCCTGCAGTTTGTAGTATTTTCAGTCCGTTATCTAATACAGGACAGGTTGATGGCTTTAGGAACTTGGGGCCACTTAAGTATTCATTAATGTCTTCAAAATTTGGACAGTAGAAAGCTATCATTATCAATAGTGGTTATTTTATTTTCAGAATGTTATGTCTGTCATTTCTTTTTCTTCAATAGTTAATTATTAATAATCTTTGCTAATTATATTTTCAGAAACTTAAATTATTTTAATATGAAACTTACTTCTTATGGTGTCATTTTGATTAGAGTACATCCTCTTATAATTCTTTTTATCTCTTTGTGTTTTCTTTGAACATAATACATTTCCTTAATCTTGTAAAATGCATTTCTTTGAACACAATTACATTTTCTTAATTTTTTTTACTTGTTTTGTGGTTTTGGGATCCTCCTGTTGCTGATTTTTTCTTTGTATTTTTGTAAGAACTCTTAATGCTTATAGAAGATATGAAATTTGTTTTCTAAAATTTAAGGCATTTCCAGTCATACAAGGATAATTCATATGACCTTGTCCTAGGTGTCAGAAAGGTTTTAAACTTAGTAATATGTTGGTTGGTTGTAGTTTTTTTGATTAAAGTAACTCCCATTTCTTTTTTTCTTTTTTTTTTTCAAATTAGTAACCCAGCTGATCCTGCTCTTTGGTCTCTATTATCCCGAGTTGTTGCTCAGTGTGCTCAACGAAATGCAAAGGTGAGTAGTGTTCTGAATTCTGGAAAAAACATAAATTAACTTATGATATTGTAAACATAATTATAATGTATAGCATTATTTTTCTGAAATATAATAAATACAGTGAAGGGAGTTTTGTCATTTAACAAAATGTTCCATTATTCATACAAGTCCTAGACTGAGTTTTCTCCTTGTACTGTTGTACCATTTAGGGTGTTTTGGAAGCTACAAAGAAGTAGGAGGTCTTTTTTGAACACATATGTATTGTGTTAATGCCTATATGTTAAAGTAATGTTCAAAATATAATAAACATTAGTTATTGTGGTTTTAGATTCCAAAAGATAATTTTATTTTAAAACTACTTTGTGTGTGTGTGTGTGTGTGTTTTGCTGAGGATTGAACACTCATGCATGCCAAGTAAGCACTGTACCACTGGGGCACCTCCACAGCCCTTCAAAAATTTCTTAAAGACTAGATAATGGGAATTTGAACTCTGTTAATGTCCAGAAATATAAATATAAACAAAAATTTTGATACCCTATAAAGGATTACATGTTGTGTTTTAGCTCACTCACAATAGCCAGATATTTTCAAGTGTCTATATTCTTTTAATTTCTATAGTTAATATGTCCCTTTGTAGTTCACCTAGCTAAACATAATAGTAATAGCAAATATGTTTTGAACACTTTATCATGTCTAGTAATTCCAATATCTGAAGTCTTTGTGGATCTGTTTTTGTTGTTTGTTCCCACTGGTTTTTATTCATGGTGGCCTTGTTTCTTTGTTTACCTGGTTATGTATACTTAAAAATTATTTCTAGGAATAATTTGAGGCCTAAGATCAAGGTACCTTTCTATAGAAAGAATCTGTACCTGCTTTATCAGGTGTTTGGTGGCTCTACCAATGTAGAGCCTGAGGTTTCTAGACCAGCCAGGGTACTTTGTATCTGGATTACAAAGTCATTTGAGACTTTATCTCTAATTTATACCTTTGAGTCCCAGCTATTGTATTATAGATCCTTTTCTCTTCTCCTTATGTACTACCTTCCTTGTTTGAGCCCTAGGCTTTAACTTCTGTTCCACTAGGACTCATGTCCTTCAAGGTGACAATTAAAATTTGTTACAGTCTGAAAATGGCAGAAATAAACCCAAATTAGACCCAAAAGTTTGTGGTTATTACTTTTAAAAGTGGTTATTACTTTTAAAAGTAACAAAATCAGTTTGAACATTGGAAATAGGGAAAAAATGGCAAAATGTAATCTTTCCTTTTTCCTTTCTTCTATGAGAAGGAAACTTAAGGTTTTCCTTCTTGTATAATATTGTTGGATCCAGAGCTAGATGTTTTGTTTCTATTTGATTCACTTGCATCTCTAAATTCCAGTTTTCTCTTTTTCAGTTTTGGCCCAAGTCCTTAATGTCTTGACAGTTATTCAATGCCTTTAAGAAATATGTTTTAAAAATATTTTATCCTAGTACTTCTCAAACTTTGATATGCAATAAAATCACCTAGTAATTTCATTAAAGTACAGATTCTAATTTAGTAGTTTTGAGTAGGGCCCTATATTCTGCATTTCTAACAACCTCCCAGGGAATGTTAATGCTGCTGATATGCAGATCATGGTTTGAGTAGCAAGATTTTATCCCATAGTTTTAGTAATTTTTGATAGATGTATAGGTTCATAGAACCCAAAAGATCATCATTATTAGACCCTGGAATGAAGTACTCGTTTTCTGTCAGCTACTGTGACTAAGCTTTTTAATATATTGTCATATAATTTCAACAATTATATGAAGTAAATGCAATTATTGTCCACTTTATAGAATAGGAAACTTATATGAGATATAGACGGTAAGTGACTTGTGCAAAATCACAGTTAGTAGTTGTTGTGACAGGATTTAATTCAAGCTTTAATTCCCAAATCCTTCTCCTATTGTACTGTGTTGACTTTTTTCTTTTTAATTCATCTTTTGTTTTATTTCAAAATATTTTAAAGCTTATGTTTTAAGCATTTTTAATGTACAGAGTCTGATACACTTCTGATATGAAAGGTACAGTATATATCTGATATAAAATGAAACCATTCTTATAATTCACTTTCTTTTCTAAAAGTAAAATGTTGAATTTTTAAAATTATAGATTTCAAATTGACCTTATGAATACTTTCATGATGCTACATATATGTACATATACATATATGTATATGTATATATATTATTTTGGATATTGAGTTGATTATTGTAGCAATGGTAAACTTCATGGTGCTCTCAGACTTAGTTATTCATTTTACTAGGGACTATGGAGTTTTTAAAATACTATGTATTTTTGTGGCATAAATCATACTAGTTTATCTTTGTATTGTTTTCTGTCTCCCTTTCTTTCTTCTTTAGTCTCTTATATTATTATACATTTGTACATGTGTACATTTGTTTGGTGCCACTGTAAAATCATGTAACTTTTGAACCTTTGATGAGTATTTTAATTGCAGAGTTGAAATGATCACAGTATAAAAGGTTTTCTCCCATAAAAATATTAAACTGTTCTTTTAAAATAGTAATAATAAATTGATACTTAAGGGATTCAGAAGTTGCAAATGAGATAAAATTGAATCTTTCAAATTATTTAATGAAAAGATTTTATCAGTTTTAATGTTTACTATTTCATAAAAGTTTATGCATTTGTCTAATCAGTATTTTCTCTTACAGGGGGGTGCTGTAGCAGGAAATGTGGCTCATATTCTGGACTCAAATCATGGAAAGGTTAGCTTACGCTAGAACAATGGAAATTTTTAACATGTTAATTAATGATGAAATAATAAAATAAAAATTTTCATAGCTTTTTGGTCAGTTTGATCCTTTTCTCTTATCTAGAAGGCATTACTGTACACTGCAATAAATCAGTTGGCAATGGGAAGCAGTTCAGCAGAAGATGAAAAAAATATCGCACTAAAGACTATACAGAAGGCAGCTCTCCTTTCTCCAGGTAAATATATTATAATCCATTTAATTACTTCAGATTCTATCAATCTTGCATTTATGATCTACAAGAGCAAAACTTGTATTTCCATGAAATACGATAAAAGGAAATTTTAAGACAATGTTTTAGTGTATATTATTTGCTTGTCCGTATTTAGTTACTGATAATTAAGAGGATTTAATTATCAAAACAGGCTTAAAGGGAATATGTGTTTAAAGATACTTTATAACTTTGTAACTGAAAATCAAAATTACGAATTTTCAAGAAATAGTTTTACTTCCATTTTCTGTCTGATTTAATGAAGTTTATATATATATATATATATATATATATATGTATATATATACACACACACATACACACACTAAATTATTTAATAATGCTTAGTTATTTTTATGTACAGGTGTGTGTCTTTGTGGTAACTGTTAGAAATGGCAAGGTCATGGCCTTACCCAAGCTAGCTGTTATTAGTTCCAACCAGCTGTGTCATATATTGCCATTGACAATAAAGGTAATGAGGAATTGCATATGACTGCTTTTGTGTATTTCCATTATCACTACTGAAAAATGTCTTAGAGGAATGAAATTTATAGCAATGTAAGTCTATAAGGTGAATTACACATAATATTATTTTAAATATGAAATATCACATCAAACAATTTCTTACTCTCAGAACATTTGAAACATTTTTTAGATCAGTATTCTATTGTTTGGCCAGGCACTATTGGGATGCAAATTATACAAAGTAAGTTCAGTGTTTGCAATAAATTGTAATGGTCCTAACTAAAATGCAAGATATCTTAATATTTCAGGGATTATTTTATAAAGCAAGTAAATAGACCAATACATGTTATATTTTCTTTCATTTTGACATGATTAGAGAAAAAAGAGACCTAAACATTTGAATTTGTCTATGATATATATTGACAAGTTTCTCATTGTTAGAGGTGTTCTCAAGTAAATATTAGATGAACTTACTCTCAAGAATTCTTATTATGTCTCCAACATGATAGAAGATCTGTTAGTCTTTGATTATATAAATGACATAAATTTTAGGAAGGTGATTGCCCAGATAAGGTCCTTTCTAGTGATCTCTGATATTTCTCCATACTACCTGGAGAAATACATACTCGAAGGAAGCAAAATCATCATGTAAGATGTTTAAAACAGGGACCAAGTAGTAAAGCATGCTTAACTTGTTTTTGGAGACCAATGAAAGTGAATATAATTGTAATTAAGTGTAGTGGCTATATATCTAATTCTTGAGATCTTTAGTTAAGCAAAGTACAGATTTTACCATAAGGAATGTTTTCAGGAATTTAAAGATAACTCTTTATGAGTTTAGAATTGAATGGAAGAAGATCCAATTTCTGCTAAATTTATGTTTCTATGGTACTAAGAGATATTTTTAACTTTTAGCAATCTGTATTTAAAGAGTTTCAGGTTTATAGTTTATATGTTTTTCTAGTATCACTTTATTTCACAGGGAATTTGGGTTACTGATTATCTGTGGAAGAGTTCATGGAACTAGGGCTGGGGATTTCGCTCAGCACTAGAGTGTTTGCTTGGTGTGCGTCAAAAATCCCCATCACCACCAAAAAATAAAACTAAAACAGAGTTCATGGATTTGGCAGTTCTTCTGTATTGTGGCAGAAGAAATTGCTCCCCACTAATGTCCATCCCCTAACCAGAAATATTAACTATAGAATACCTTAAGATCCCCTGGACTGGGGCCAGGGCTCAATGGTAGTGCACTTACCTGGCATGAGTGAGGCACTGCATTCTATTCTCAGCACCACATGTAAATAAATAAAATAAAGGTCTATCAACAACTAAAAATATATATATTTTTTAAAAATCTTAAACAAACAAACAAAGATCCCCCAAAGGCCTGTTGATTTAATCTTAGGAGTTAAGTCAGTATTCAGTCTATGTCAGATGTAATTATAGGATTTTAGACCTAAGGGCGCTTCAGCCAATGGATAGTTCAGTTGCCTTGTTTTACAGAAAAATAAGTCCCAAAGGGAAGGCTGCCACACTATTAATTTGTGAGACCTAAACTCCAGCCCTGAAACTCAGATCATTTTACAGTAATTAGTTGTCATTGTACATTCTAAGGGCTGGTCCTCATTTGTTTATTCTGGAGTTTGATTATGTCTTCTGTTACTTAAAAGAAGATAGCCATTATCTGGGAAGAAATTATTTTGTAATATGGAAGTATACATTTAATTTTTTTATGAAAATTTTTTTTAATCTTGCATAAGATTTTTAATGATTTTTGTATTATGAGCAATAATACTGATCACCTATAAGTGAAATAGGTATATAGTGCAGACATTTGATAGGAGACTTATTTTGGATGGTCTAGTGAAATAGAAAAAAATAAAAAGAAAACTAAAAGGTATTGTTAAAAGACTATGTTATTAACTAACACCTCCTGAGATTTTAAAATTATCCTTTTGTTTTTTAATGGTAACAAGACAAAAATATTAACTGATGAAGTAAACTGCAAAGTAGGATTTTTAATAGTAAAAGACCAAACAAATTTAAAAAACAAACAAAAAAACCTAAGTTCCAAATCTTCTTCCAACTGTTTCTTTTCACAACTAATTTTCTTAAACAGAGTTGATACATCTAATCCCTTTCTGTTATCACCTCTTCAGCCCACTATCAGGTGTCCCCTCTCACCTGAAGCTGCTGTCCAAGTGAGAAGGAAGAAAAGATCAGATGAATGAAGTGATACATAAGTGTATAAATGCCTTATTTGTAATGATGGAGTGTCTGTCATGCCTTCTTGGTAGAGAAGAGATAAAATGTTAGCCTTTGCTTTGTCTCATACTTTTCTTAAGAACTTAAAATCTGGGCTGGGGATGTGGCTCAAGCGGTAGCGCGCTCGCCAGGCATGCATGCGGCCCGGGTTCGATCCTCAGGACCACATACAAACAAAGATGTTGTGTCGGCCAAAAACTAAAAAATAAATAAATATTAAAATTCTCTCTCTCTCCCTGTTTTTTTTTTTTTTTTTTTAAAAAGAACTTAAAATCTGTGTAATCTTGTTTATCCTGAGTGATAAAAAGGAGCATCTATCTGAGCTTGTCCTTGGTGTCTAGTGAAAGGGAATGAAATTGCCCCTTCCACACATTTCACTCTAGGTATCTGAGTTGACCAGCTTTTGAAGAGGAGCATGATAAGATATTTCTCCTCCTCTAATGTTCTGGGGGGGGGGGAGGAAATCTTTATTTACTTATTTATTTTTGGTACCAGGGATTGAACCCAGGGGCACTTAACCACTGAGCCACATCCCCAGCCCTTTTTTTATATTTTATTTAGAAATGGGGTCTCGCTGAGTCGTTGAAGCTGGCTTTGAATTTGTAATCCTCTTGCTTCAGCTTCCTGAGCCACTGGGATTACAGGAGTGTACCGCCAATGTAGTAATCTGTTTTCTGAAAACAATTTAGTTTTTGTTTAAGGAAGTGAATTTTTCTGAGTATATAGTTGATTTTTATTGGGCGGAGGTGCTACTTAGAATTCTTATTCTAAGTTTTGATAGCTTTTTAACATAATGTTATTAACAATCCTTTTAACTATGTTTCCTGTATTTAGGTGACCCTGCTGTCTGGGCTGGACTGATGGCAGCCTGTCATGCTGATGATAAGCTGGCTCTAGTGAACAACACTCAGCCAAAGAGGATGGATTTATACTTGGCACTGTTATCTGCTGTTTCTGCTTCAAGTAAGTTTAAAGAAGCATTTTAAAAATACATGACTTAATTCAGGCTCCTCAAATGATTAAATCAGGAACACAAATAACTGAGCATATATTGTTATAAAATGTGTTCATTAAAGAATTCATGGTTGTTAGGCTGGGACTGTAGCTCAGTGGCAGAGCACTTGCCTAGCATGCATGAGGTACTGGGTTTGATCCTCAGTATCACATAAAAATAAACAAATGAAATGAAGGCATTCTGTCCAGCAACAACTACAAAAAAAAAAAAAAAAAATTCACGGTTTTAGCTGTACAGAAATGTGATGAGTGTACTGTACTTTTCTAAATAGCTTTAAAGTCCATTATATCTGGAAGCTGAGTCTTTGTTGTATAGCATTTACCTGCTTTGAGACTTAGCCAGTGTTTGGGGATCCAGGTGACTTGGATGTCTTTACTGAAACCAGCACTAAAAGTGTTCTCTGATTCTTCCTGGGAATATTGGCCAGAGTAGCTGTTAATCTCCTCAATATCACTTATAATTCTGCAGATCTGTTCATTGAAAAGTGATCTATAATTAGCATCTTATATAATAGCATAACCTACTTTTTTGTCTTGGGACAGTAGTTTTTCACTAAATTAATTTTAGATTATCAGTTATTTTTTGGTAAATGTTAAAGATCATTACTGCCTGTCTCTTAGGGACTACCAGGGCAAATTTTTTAAAAGTAGGTCCTTCTTTAGTGGCATTGTAAGATTGAAGTATTTTAATAAAGTGAACTTAAAGTATAAGTCAAAAATATGATAAAGTCTCACTAAGTTGCTCAGGCTGGCCTTGAACTTACAATTCTCCTGCATCAGTCTCCTGAGTAGCTAGGATTTATAGGTATGTGCTACCACACCTGGCCTTGTCTTCCACTGTTTTTTTTTTTTTCCTTTTAGTTTTAATTCTTCACTTTATGTGATTCCATTTTGTCCCCATTTTTAGCTTATCAGTTAAACTTCTTTAATTTTTTATTTATATATTTGTAAGTGATTGCCCTGGAGTTTGCAATGTATGCTTAAAACTAATCTAAGACCACTTTCAAATAACACTGTACCACTTCATGGGTAGTATGAGAACCATATAATAAAATATCCTAATTTCTCTCTCCTGTCCCTTATATCCCTGTTGTCATTCATTTTGCTTATACATGAGCATTTATCAGCATCCATACACACATGCACTTAAGCATACATAACTTATGAAATTATTGCTATCTTTTTTTTTTTTTTGGTACCAGGGATTGAACTCAGGAGTGCTTAATCACTTATCCACATGTTTTATTTTGAGACAGAGTCTCTCTAAGTTGCTGAAGACCTTACTAAGTTGCTGAGGCTGGCTTTGAACTCATAATCCTGCTACCTCAGCTCCTTGAACTATTGGGATTACGATATTCACTACCACGCCCAGCACTATCATTATTTTGAATAATTATTATCTGCAAAAACTAAGCAAACAAAAAGACTTATGAGCATGGGAATATCAAACCCGATATTTAAATAATCTTTAATGTAAGCAATGCTATTATTGTGGTATATAAGTCATTTATTTAGGATTTAACATGTCCTTTTGACTTGGGTTTTCTCAAGTAATATTCTGAAAAATTTAAGTTCTGAATGTAAATAACCGAACTAAGAAAATATAAAATTAAGAGTGAAGACTATCACTGTTCCATTGGAACAAACTATAAAAAGAGGTATGGGACTGGGGTTGTAGCTTAGTGGTAGAGTGCTTACCTAGCATGTGTGAGACACTGGGTTCAATCCTCAGCACCACATAAAAATAAATAAGTACATAATGTGTATAAAAAAAGAAGAGTATAATTGTGTTTCTTTCTCAAACTTTTATCAAAGATGTTCACTACCTACCTTTCTTCTAGGCACCAACTTCTCAGTCATTGGGAAGGAAAAATGACCTATTTTCCTATTTCCCTGAAACACATAGATTATACCCTAAAACAGAGATACATACGTAAATACATGCATGTGTATGCATCTTCTTCCATATACGTATACATAGAAAGTTTCTTTGTCTTTGAAATTAGAGCTGTTTTTATTTGCAGATATGATTATGTACATAGAAGTAGCTTAGGAAATTACCAAAAATAGCCACTAGAGCCAAGAATTAAGCTCAGTTTACAGGATGCAAGTTCAACATAGCAAAATTGATAGTATGATTATATACCAGGAACCAAAAATTGCCATTAAAATAAGCTACTTAGGGCTGTGGTTGTGGCTCATTGGTGGGGCAGTTGTCTCACATGCATGAAGCACTGGGTTCGATCCTCAGCACCACATTAAATGAATAAATAAAGATATTGTGTTCATCTACAACTAAAAAAAAAATATAAAATAAGCTACTTATACTCCTTATAAAAATATATCCTTATAGCATATAAAATATTAAATATGTAGAGATAACTTTAACAAAATATGTGTAAGTCCCATATACTAACAAGTACAAAATACTGCTGAGAGAAATGAAGTACACAAAATATTAATGGATCAGAAGATTCAGTATTTTCAAGATGCCAATTCATTCTAATTTTTCTTTATGGGAGATAGTGGTTTAATGTGTTGCCTTTCAGGGTGAGATTTGTATTTTGTTAATTAACAAACTATTTCCAGTCTTTTGTAAACTCTGAAGATTCTTATTCCTCCTTTTGATTTTTTTTTTTTTTTTTCCTGGCCTCAGGTAGTTTCCTCACAGTTGTGCTGATCAGTTGTGAGCTAAATAATTGAGGAGTCCTTTTGTGGATTTCTGGAACTCTTTTTGCAGCTGTCTCCTCCCTAGTACTATGCTCTAGAACTCTTTCCTGGTTTTCCCAGTTCATCTCTTCTATTTAGGGAGTTTTTTGGGCTCCACTGGGGCTCATCTTATTTGTTTCCCCTCTCACAAAGAGCATTGTTTTTCATGGATTGATAACTGAGAAAACAATTAAACAGAAAATCAGTAAAGAGGTATTAAAGACTTGAAAAACACTGTCAACTAACTTGACCTAACTGACATTATTACTATTATTGCACTTATTATTGATCTATTTCTTCTGACAGTTAAATGTACCCTTCAAGTGCACACTGAACATATACCCAAATAAATCATATTATGGACTATAAAACAGGCCTCAATAAATTTAAAAGTGTTCAGATTATATAAAGTATGCTATCTTAATAAACTGGAATTAAATTAGGAGTAAACTGGAAAGTTCTCAAATACTTGGAAACTAAATAACATATTTCTACATAATCTAGGTCCAAGAACAAGTCAAATGGAAATTAGAAGAATATTTTGAAATGAAAATAAACAAAGCATATCAAAATTATGCAAAATTGCAAAGCACTACACAGATGGAAAATTTTAACATTAATTGTCTATAGTAAAAAAAGGAGAAGCACTTTCTTGACACCAATGATCTCAGTTTCTACCTTAAAATCTAGTGGATGGTGATCCATAATGGAGGGGGGAATGGGAAAAATGGAGGAACTTTGATTGGGCAAAGGGGAAGGAGGTATGGGGGCAGGAAAGATGGTGGAATGAGATGGACATTATTACCATAGGTACATGTACAATTGCACATATGGTGTGACACAACATCATGTATAATCAAAGAAATGAGAAGTTGTGCTGCAATTGTGTACAATGAATCAAAATGCATTCTGCTGTCATATATACCTAATTTAAATAAATAAACAAACAAACTAACTAAAAATCTAGAAAAAAGAATAGGAAATTAAATCCAAAGTGAACAGGAAAAATTAAGAGTTGAAATCAAACAGAAAATTAATGAAAAAAATGAATTCTTTGTAAATCACAATAACATTGATAAACCTTTAGCCAGATGGATCAGGAAAAAGAAGATGGACAGTGCCCATGTCAGGAATGTGAATAAGATCTAGAAATTGTTAAGATACAAGTAGAATAATAAAAAAGGTGAATAAGCACCTCGAGCATCTTTATGCCATGACATTTGATGCCTTAAGGGAAAGTGAACAAATTCCTTAAAAGACATAAAGCTTGCTCAAGAATAAATAAATTGAATAGCTGTATATCTATTAAGGACATTGAAAATCTCACAAAGAAAATTCTAGGTCCAGATGGATTTCACTTAAAATACTACTAAGCATTTAAGAAAGAGGCAATATCAATTCCATACAAATTCTTCCAGAAAATCAAAGAGATGATAACTCTTTATAATACTTTCTATGAAGCTGGCATTATTCTAATACCAAAACCAGACAAAGGCATTACAAGAAAACTACAGAACAACATTACTCACAAATGTAGATGGAGAAGTTCATACTAGAACTTCAACAATTCAAATCCAACAGCACATGCAAATGATCAAGTGGGGCTTGTTCTTGGATTTGAAAATGAGTGTAATTTACCATGTTATCACCTGTGAAAATGCCAAAGTGTACACTATATACTGTGTGATTTCATTCATGTGACATTTTGTAAAAAAATGTATTGTGACAGAAAATAAATGAGGAGTTGCCTGGGGACAGAGAAGGTTAAGGTGAGATTGGATGATCTGGAGAAATAAATGATTACAAAAGGGACAGGAGGAAATTTTTGATAATATTGAGTATGTTCATTATCTTAATTGCGATAATAGTTCACTAACATATAATTATGTTAGAACTTTCCAAATGGTATAGTTTGAATATATGCACTTTATTTTACTTTAATTATATTGCAGTAAATCTTTAAATATTTTCAGTGAATTCCCTGTTTCTATGGATACAGTGATTTTTTTGTTTGGATCATAATAATGTGGCCTCAAGTTATTTAGCCATAAATACTTGTGCCATGAAACTTTTCAAAAACTTGTCTCATGTCAGCATACTCTATGGTATTTCACTACTATATGTAAGTTTTAAAAATTTTATATGCATAAGTCTGATTATAGTACTTTCTGCAACTATTTATTCCCTTGAGGATGTATTATAAATTACAGAAGAAAGTAACAGTGATATTTTTTGTTTACAGTTAAGGGCAAGGAATTTCTTGAAAATTATAACCAATCTCTTGAAAGGTGGTCTCTCTCACAAGCTGTCACTGGTCTGATAGACACGGGAAGAGTATCTGAAGCTGAAGCTCTCTGCACAAAGGTATTATTGTATAATTATGCATTGAAATTGTGGATTCTTATTTTACTCTTTTTTTAAACTTAAAAATAGCTTTAAAAATGGAATATGTGTTATTTAAAGAGCATATAGTGGTGGTGATTATGATGATAACATTCAGAATTTATTGATTTCTTGCTACAAGTCAATCTCTGCATTTAGCATTTTGTATTTGAGTTTTGTAATAATCCTGTGTGTAGGTATTTATATAATAAACATTTTTACAAGTGAGAAAATTAAGGCTTAAAGAAAGTAAGCACAGTAAGAAAGTAACACTAAAAATAGTGTTGCAGTTTGAACTCATATTTGACTCGGGACTCCACCTCTGAAAAAACCTTTTTTATTTTAGTTTTTGGGTACCATTAAGGAGGCACTGTTTTCCTTTGATTTTTGATTGTTCCCTTCAGAATGCTGTGTTTTTCAGGATCCCTTCATTTTTCTTCCATTTTTCAAGTTCTGAGCCACATAGCATGACTGTGAAAATTGATGAATGGGAACTGGAACTAATCCCTCACAAGTAATGTTTTACATGTCAGGATTATAGGGCTATCAACTTGGAGGCTCTGTGAGTAAATTCTTAGCATTTTGCCTAGCACATAATAGGGATCTGATAAATATTTACTGAATGAATGAATTAATAAATCTACTCAGAAATAAAAATTAGTAGTTGAGAGGTTTAAACATGTTTTTACTTGGAAACATTGTTTCATGAATGCTTGCCAGGGATATTGTGTTGTCTTTTGAAATGAGGTTTTTGAAAGAATAGTTTTAAATTTTACAGAGAAAGAAGAATGGACTTGCTAAACTTCTGAGAAGCAGAGTAATTACATTTTTCTCCTTCATGTAAGGAATTCCATCTGAGATAAGTTCAAGACGGGCTGTTACGCCAAGAGTGTTTATTCAGCATGAACCAAAAGTTGCCTTGTGCTCTCATAGAATCAAGAATGATATATGGTGGCTGGGGTTGTGGCTCAGTGATAGAGAGCTTGCCTAGCATGTGTGAGGCACTAGGTTCAATTCTCATCACCGCATATAAATAAAATAAAGGTCCATTGATAACTAAAAACATACTAAAAAAAGGGATCTATAAAAAAAAATGATGTATGAACCTTTCCTTGGCATTTTATCGTTCCCATCTCTTACTTAGAAGAAAGCAATCCAGATGCATTTTAGAAATATGTCTGACTATGAACTAATGAATAAAAAAATAGATAAGCATGTTCTTGAAGGCCAGTTCATTCTTTTTTTTTTTTTTTTTGGAAATAGTAGGTTAATGTTTCACCTTCAGGGTCAGGTTTGCATTTTCTTAACTAACATAATATTTATATTTATTTACAGAGTACTGTATTATAATTCAAAATATATATATAAATATATATAGTTATAGTTATAACCAAATCAGGATAACTAATATTCTCATCTCCTCAAATATTATCATTTTTTTGTGCTAGGAACCTTCAAACTCTTATTTCTATATGTTAGTGTATAAATAATAGCTCAGGAATGTATGGGAAGGGGCCATTTCTTTTACTACCAATGATTAAGAAGTCTGTGCCTAGAAGAAAGAAATGTAGTGGACATTGTAGTTTGAGAAAGAAGCACAATTTTGCCTCTTCTTATATGGTATAGTTTATTCCAGTGGAATGGTGATAGCCTTCGCTCTTAATTTTATATTTGCTTAGTTAGGTTATTTACATTTAGAACTTAAATTTTTCAGGATATTTCCTGAGAAAAACCTAGTTGAAAGGACATATTAAATCTCAAATAAATGGCATATCATGTTACTTAAAGATTATTCAAATATAAGTTTTGACCAATCAAATATAAATTAAGAGATGACTGAAAGGAAGTCTAGTAGAGTAGGGGAAGGAGATGGGAAGGACAGAGAGAAGGGAATCAGGGGAATCATGAACTGAAAGTGATTTTCATGTATGTATGAGTTTGTCAGGATGAACCCAACTACTATGTATAAGTGTAAAGCTCTGATATTTTAAAAATGCAGGGTTTGATATTCCTAAACTAGTTTGTTTATTTGTTTGTTTGTTTGTTTATTTATTTATTTATTGGTACTGGGAATTGAATGCAGGAGCACCTTACCACTGAGCTACATTTCCAGTCCCTTTTATTTTTTTATTTTGAAAGAGTCTCTCTTAAGTTGCTGAGGCTGAACTTGTGATTTTCCTGCCTCAGCCTCCTGAGTTGCTGGGATTGCAGGTGTACACCACTGTGTCCAACGTATTTATTTAGCTTTTGCAATTGATTATTCTATAAGAAAAGTTTTAAATTAAGAAAAATTCCCCCCAACATGGAGCATAGCTTAATTTCCTTGTACTTACATCACTTAATAGCCTACATGATGTATTGCTATTTGTGGTTTAATTTTTAGAATTTAAAAAATAACCCGGATCAGCCAGCTATTATATTACTTTTGAGACAAGTTCAGTGTAAATCACTCCTGGAGTCACAAAAGCCACTCCCAGATGCAGTACTTGAGGAACTTCAAAAAACAGTCATGTCCAACTCAACTTCTGTTCCAGCTTGGCAGGTAAGTTATCTACTTTCTTACATGAGTTCTAAATTAAAATGCTTCGTGAAACTAGTTGAAGTTAGGGATATACCCTCTTTTTATTTAAGTCTTGCTTTTAAACATACGTGGTAATCTCAAGATGTAAATAGTATTATGACTAGAAAGCCAAGGGACTTAAATACTAATTTAAGTTACTATAATGCTTCAAAACTTTCTTAATTATGATTATAAATTTTCTCAACTTCAAACAATGGTAAAGACACTATCTTTTACATGGGGCTAATGCAGGAGAGGTAAAGATGTGTTCTAAATATTTCTATAATATTGGTACTTTCTTAACTCTGTCTTTAGAAAGGATATGTGCAGTTTTTCCCCTGGCTACTTTACAGGTAACCCATATCCAATATGTTAATAGGTACTTACTGCTTTTGGAGATAGAAATTTTCAGGATTGATGCTTACATCAACAGATTATTTGCTCTTTCAGCTGTCTCTGATTACCCATAGTCACATACACAGTAATCACTATGTCTTTTTTTTCTGATTGATAATAATATTCAAAAACATTAATCATTTAGTTCAGTTTTTGTTTCTTTCTGTGCCCCAGAGAAACAGAGACTTTTGGGTACAGATTTATTTTGTTTTGTTTTGGGATTGAACACAGGAGCACTCGACACTGAGCCATATTCTCAGCCCTATTTTATATTTTATTTAGAGACGGGGTCTCATTGAGTTGTTTAGTGCCTTGATTTTGCAGAGGCTGGCTTTGAATTTGTAATCCTCTTGCCTCAGCCTCTCAATTTGGGGAGAATTGACACAGTAACACTCTGTTGATTTTTTTTCTATTGGTGAATGTGGTATATTCCTCAGTTTAATTGTTTGATATTTCTCTTTGCAGTGATTTAAAACATATAACCTACAGGTTTTTTGCACTTTTTATTGTTTTTCTTGTTCATTATAAGGTGCTTTTTCTTATATGTTAGCTCCACACATTTAGAAATGCAGTGATTTTTTTTCTATATTAACTCTAGTACCTTGCTAAATTCACTTATTCTTTGGAATGGTTTTGGATTTTGTACAAACAAAATGAATGTGTTTTGTAAATAATGTTTTACTTTTTTCTTCCCAATATTTACACATTGATTTTTTTCTTGCATTATTGTACTGTCTAGAACCTCTAATACAATATTAAATAAAAGTAGTGATAATATTCTTATGTTATTCTTACCTTAGGGTAGAAATTATTTACCATTTCATTATTAAGTGTGGTGTTTGCTATAGGTTTTTATAGATTTTTTAAAATCAGATTAAAGAAGTTCTCTATTCTGAATTTGTTGAGAGGTTTATTTTTTAATGATATAGAATTTTATTAAATGCTTTTTTGATATTTGATAGAATGACCTTTTCAAAAATCCTATTGATGTGATGGATTACATTGATTTCCAAATGTTAAGCAACCTTAGCTTCTTAGAATTAGCCCTATGTGATAATGATGTTATGCTTTTTATAGATTGCTGCCATCATTTTGCTAATATCTTGTTTAGAATTTTCATACTTATATTCATAAGAGAAGTGGACCTGTAACTTTTCATTTCCATAAGGTCATTATTATGTATTGGTATCTATGTTTTTACTTTGTGAAAGCATTTGTACATGAGTATTATTTGTTTCTTTATAGAACAATTCACCATTGAAGCCATTTAGGCCAGGAATTTGGTTTGTGAGAAATTTCTTAATTATAGGCTAAATTTCTTTAATATACATAGGCATCTATATATAGAGATGTCATGTTTCATTAACATTGGTGAGTTGCATAGAGTTTTTCCATTGCATTTCAACGTCAAATTTATTGGCATTAATTTGTTCATTGTCCTCTACTGTCTCGTTCCTCATGACTAAACACTCAGGATCACTCCAGATGAACTGGGCTGCATGAAATAACCACACAAGAGAGAGAGATACCTTTTTCTTTGGGGTCCTGTAATGGATCCTCTGACCTTAAGGGTCTGCAGAAACAGAGAGCACTTGCTGAACCCTTTTATTGAGGAAGCAAGAGATATCATTCAAATGAGGCAAGAAGTCAGGTTTCAAGGTGTTGAGTCTAGCGTGGTGATGTCTGCTGTTGACTGACATCTAGGAAGGCCACACCCAAAGGCAGAGCAAGAGAAGGGGACACACAAAGGAAGTTTCCATGAAACAGTCTATCCCAAACAGGGCAAAGGGGTCGTATTACAAAGGAATAGGTGAGTGTAGCTCATCTTGCGTCTGAAGACATGCCCTCAGACTTACTGGACTGAGGCAATGTCCAGGTTACTACAAGATGTAGTGACTGGTCAAAGCCTCTCTACTTCAGGATGGAAGGCATGAATCATTCAGAGTGGCTCCCCACAGTCTACCACTGAGCTACCTCTCTAACCCTTTTTATTTTATTTTGAGGCAAGGTCTAACTACATTACTCAGGCTGGCCTCAAACTTGTGATATTTCTGCTTCAAGATTCCCTAGTGGCTGGGATTATGGGTGTGCACTGCTACACCTGGCTTTTTTATTATATTTTCTACGTATTAATATTTTTTCTCTGTTATTTTCTTTGCTGTACTTTCTTTGGGTTTAATTAGTTTTTTCCCCACCTCTAGCTTCTCAAGATAATACTTGTTCTCATATGTACCCCATAAGATTTTATATAGTGCTTTCATTGTCATTCATCTCAAATTTTTTCTTAATTTCCACTGGGGTTTCTTTAACTGACTTTTTTTATATGAAGTATTTTGAAGAATATCTAACATGGGGGATTTTCAATATATGTTTATGTTACCAATTTCAAGTTCAATTCTACTTAATCAGAATATACTTTGTCTGATTTTTAGTCTTGAAATTTGTTGAGGTTTGCTTTATGATCCAGCATTTGATTACTTGATAAATATTGCCTGTGCACTTGGAAAGAATGTGTCTTCTATAGTCATTGAATGTAGTCTTTTAAATATGTAATTTAAATTTAATTATTTGTTTCAGTCTTCTTCTCCTTACTGAATCTGTTTATTTATTTACTTATCATTGCTGAGATAATGTGTGTTAAAAATCTCCTATGATTCTGAATTTGTCTACTTTTCATTTCTGCCAACTTTTGTTTTATGAATTCTGTGTTATTGGGTATATACAAATGTAGAAGTGTTTATTTTAAATGGACTTTTATTGATGCTGGTGATGAGAATCAGGTCCGAGTTCCGTTTTCCAGGAATGTTGAAAATTGAACACCTGAGAAATGCCCAGGCAAGCATAGAAAGCAAGTTTTATTTGAAGGATAAAGCAGATATAGGCTTCTCCGCAGAGAAGGGGCCCAGAGCTGGGTGTCCTGCCCCTTTTATACTTTTTAGATTTCGTTTGTTCTCATGCTCTCCCCTCCTCCTATCCTGTGTCATGATTAGTGGCCAAAAGGTAGACCAAAGGTGGAGTGATCCAAGGGTGGGAACTTAGCTACCTAGGGGTCCAGGCAGGAAGGGAATGGCCCAGGAGGCATTCATTAACAGTCCCTTTTATGGAGGAACAAATCCCTGGAGCCAGGTGTCCTTGACAGCAGGTGGTGGAAGGGGAAGTGTCCTGAAGGTATTAAAATTTTATTTTCTCCTGAGTCAGCCCCCATCTTTGTGACCCAATCTTTACATCCCCTGCCTCATTATCATTATGAAATATTCCACCTTATTTCTTACTATTTTCTGTTGTAAAGTCTATTTTGGTTATTAATTCAGCTGTACAGACTTTCTTTTGGTAGTATTTACATGATAGATCAGTTTTTACATTTTATTTTAATTTTATTCCTGACTTGCCATCTTGGATTTTATACTTTAAAGTAGGTATAGCTAGTAAGCTATTACTGATAGAATTGGCAGTATATTCCTTTCTTGACTTGTGGTTTTTGTCTTTTGGGCACAGAACTTGCTGATAATCATAATAAAAAAAAAGTTTAACTTCATCAGTTCTTCAGTTTGTTGGGAATGGGGAACCAGACAGTGTATTAAACTAAAATTCTCTTCATCCTTCTCCTTTTCTGTTCTTCAGTGGTTGGCACAGGTGTATCAATCTCAAGGAATGATGGGTGCTGCAGAAATGTGTTACAGAAAGAGTCTACAAGTAGCATCCCAACAGGGAAGCTGGAGTGGGAAACTCTCAAGTCTATTGAAACTAGCATTGCTTGCCTTAGAAATCTGTATGGTAAGATCATGTTATAATTATGTGATTAAAAACTTGATTCTTTTATCCTTTTTTATTTCATTCTTTATCCTTCTTTAAAGCATTTCAAAAACTTTATATTCATCAAAAAGAAATTTTAAAAATGAAACAAAAATGATATCACCCACATAACTTTTGCTGGGGTTTATTTCATGGAGTTCCTATTGTTTCATTGTCTTCTACTGTGGTCTCTTGATAGACTTTGTATTTTTCACATCTCTTGAGACAAAACAGTAACATAAATCTACATAGGCTACAATTTGGGAGAAAAACTAAGATGAAAAATTTTAAAGTTGAAATGAATGGATAAAGAACATGTGGCATATATACACAATGGAATATTACTCAGCCATAGACAAGAATGAAAATATGGCATTTGCCAGTAAATAGATGAAACTGGAAGCTATCATGCTAAGTGAAATAACCCAATCCCCCCAAACCAAAGGCTGAATACCCTGTGATACAGATGCTAACACACTATAAGGGGTGGGGGAGGGGAAAAAGTACTCTGGGTTAGACAAAGGAGAATGAAGGGAAGAGAGGGGGTGGGAACAGGAAAGACAGTAGAATGAATTGGACACTAGTTTCCTATGTTCACATATGAGTACACAGCCATGTAACTCCACATCATGTACAACCACAAGAATGGCAAGTTATATTCCATGTATGTATGTATACTCCATGTATGACAAAGTATATTCTGCTGTCATGTTTAAGTAAAAAAAATAAATAAAAAGTTAAAATAACTAAATAATTTTTTGAAAAATTTAAAATTTGAATTAGAGCAGAATATACATTTTTGTTTCTTGGTTGATCTAAATTGGAATTAAATTCAGCTATTCATCAGTGACAAAAATGACAATAATTTAACATTTTAGGCATGTCTCAATTCTACTCTTTCATTTTAAATATTTTGCTGTTATTTAAAAACTTTACATTCATCAAAGAGAAATTTAAAAAATGAAACAAGAATAGCACCACCCACATAACTTTTGCTGACATTTAAAAAAATAAGAGCAATACAGATGAGAGAATGAAAAGACAAGGTAGAAACTGGGAGATTTGTAAATGATATATCTGATAAGAGACTTATACCCAGAATACATGAAGAACTCTGAAAACTCAACATTAAGAAATACATATGAATTCTGAAATTTAGTTAATCATGATATGCTAATGTTGATTTCCTAAGTTTTGACTAATATACCATATAATGAAATATGTTAATGCTAGGAGAAACTGGGTAAGAGTTTCACGGCAACTCTCTGTACTATTTCTACAACTTTTCTGTAAATTTTTTTAAATGTTTTTATTTTAGTGCATTATAGTCACACATAATATTTGGGTTCATTTTAATGTTATCATATGTGCATGGAATTTAATTTGCTCCATTTCAGTCTCCAATACTCCTCTTTCCCTCCCATCCTCCTCTCCTTATTCCCTTCCTCAACTCTACTAGTCTTCCTTCTATTTATTTTTTTAAATTGGCACTTTATAGATATAAATAAAGGTGGAATACACTGTGGTATAGTTATACATGTACATAGCTTAATTTTGTCAAATCAATTCTGCATTTCCTCCTCTTTTCCATCCCTCCTCCCTCCTCAATCTCCTTTGACTCTACTAATCTTCCCTTTATTTTTGTGAAGTCCACCTTGTTTCCCCTTATTTTGCTCTCTTTACAGTGTGATAGAAAACATTTGACCCTTGATTTTTCTGAGTTTGTCTTGTTTTGCTTAGCATCATGTTCTCCATTTCCATCTATTTATCAGAAAATGTCATTCTTTCATTCTTTGTGACTGAGTAAAACTACATTGTTTATATATGCCACATTTTCTTAATCCATTTATCTCTTCAAGGGCACCTGAGCTGGCTCCATAACTTGGCTATTGCCGCAGTCTGGCTGGGCACAAATGCCGCAGTCTGGCTGGGCACACAATCACGAGCCACCACACAGCTTGTAGATTCAAACAGCAACTCTTTATTCCCGAACTCACACCAGCCGTCTACAATCATGTTCTGGGGAAATCCACGTTCTCTGCCCAAATTCACCTCCACTGGGCTTCTATCTCCCAAAAAATACTGTCTGAATCCCGTGAGAACTCAAGGGGAACTCAGGCAGCAGGATACGCCCTATTCCCAGCAGGAATAATCTTAAACCTGGAACGCCCTAAACCCGATTATCCTAAACCGGGAACACCCTAATCCGCCCTGGTCCTTGAGCAAGGTCACCTACATGCAATGTCACTGCAAAATGTCCTATTTCCACGAGTCCTTCCACTAAGCAACATGGGGTACGCTGGCAAGGAAATTGTCATACCTACTTGGCTAATGGCTCCCAGCAGGCTACTATGAATTATGCTGCTATAAACATTTCTATGCCTGGATCACTGTAGTAGGCTGATTTTAGTTCTTTCAGGTAAATACTGAGGAGTAGGATAGCTGGGTCATATGATAGTTCTATTTCTATTCTTTTGAGGAATTTCCATACCAATTTCTAAAGTGATTGTACTAATTTGTAGTCCCACCAATATTGTATGGGTGTAACTTTTTTCACACATCCTCGCCAGCATTTATTAATTTTGTATTCTCGATGAGTGTCAGAATCTAACTGGAGTAAGATAGAATCTCAATATAGTGTTGATTTGCATTTCCCTAATTGCAAGACATGTTGAACATTTTTTAATATATTTGTTGGCCATTTATATTTCTTCCTTTGAGAAATGTCTGCTTAGTTCCTTTGCCCATTTATTGATTGGATTATTTGGGTGTTTTGTTGTTGTTGTTTGTTTGTTTTGTGTGTGTGTTAAGCTTTTTGAGTTCTTTATGTATTCTGGATATTTAGGCCCTTTATGTATTCTGGATATTTATCAATGTGACGTTCTGTAAGAGGAATTTGTAGCAGCTTATGACTTTATATCCTATTTTCTGATACCAATTTATGTATTAATCTGAAATTCTTATGTGCTGGTAGGGACAGTTCTTCAAGATACATATTTAAGGGTTTAGGGGTAAAGTTGAGCTGCAGAATAATATGGTGATACAATCCTATTTCAGTGTTTGTATCTGTGATATATATATACCATGTACATTTATGTATATAACAGAAGCACATAGAAAGATATAATTATGTGGAAAGATACATAAAGAAATGTAATTAATGGCAGTTACTTTAGATAATAGTACTGGTCATTTTAAAGGATGGCAGAGCATGACTTTCATGTCTTTTGAGAGTGTTTGAGTTTTTTATTATTAGCACATTACTTTTGTTATTAAGAGATAAACTCTCAGTTTTTCTATTTTAGGTGGTTAGAAGAGATTTTCATAGGCCTGAATTAACTCTTGCTTTTGCCTTGGTAATCATATGAATGTGATTTATTTATTTTAGGTATTTTGACAAAGAAACATAAGAAATAGAGAATCGTTTTAGCTTTGGCACCATTACTGTGGACTATATCCAAAAACTCCTTAGGTCAGAGGCCATGTTTTGTACTTACCTGTTTGCTTTACCACTTTCTTATACATTAGGAAGTCCCCAGTAAATACATTTTGAGTGTATGAACAATTAATAACATGGTAAAAAAAAATTTAATGTTGTTATGTTGTTCTTTATCTTCACCTTAATTTTATCTTGCTTACGTTAACATGCAAAAACTCAACGTATTTAAAGTCTATACATGATACTCCTCTTGTGTTTTTATGTAAAACAAGCATTTTTATTTTTTAAATTTTAATTTGTTATATATGATAGAAGAATGCATTACAATTTATATTACACATACAGAGCACAATTTTTCATATCTCTGGTTGTATACAAAGTAGAGTTACACCATTTGTGTCTTCATACATGTACTTCGAGCAATGATATCTCATTCCACTGTCTTTCTTACCCCCGTGTCCCCTCTTATCCCTTCCCTCCTCTTTGCCTATCTAGAGTTCATCTAATCTTCCCATACCCCCCCAACCACATTATGAATCAACATCCTTAAATCAGACAAAACGTTCAGTATTTGTTTTTTTGAGATTGGCTAAATTTACTTAGCATTATATTCTCCAACTCCATCCATTTACCTGCAAATGCCATGATTTTATTCTATTTTAATGCTGAATAATATTCCATTGTGTATGTATACCACATTTTCTTTATCCATTCATCTACTGAAGGGCATCTATTTAGCTATTGTGAATTGTGCTGCTATAAACATTGATGTGGCTGTGTCCCTACAGTATGCTGTTTTTAAGTCCCTTGAGTATAGACTTAGGAGAGGGATAGCTGGGTCAAAAGGTGGTTCCATTCCCAGTTTTCCAAGGATTCTCCATACTGCTTTCCATATTCGCTGCACCGATTTGCAGTTGCACCAGCAATGTATAAGTGTGCTTTCCCCCCTACATCCTCATCAACACTTGTTGTTTGTATTCTTAATAGCTGCCATTCTGACTGGAGTGAGATAAATCTTAGAGTAGTTTTGATTTGCATTTCTCTAATTGCTAGAGATGTTGAACATTTTTTTCATATATTTGTTAATTGATTGTATATCTTCTGAGAAGTGTCTGTTCAGTTCCTTGGCCCATTTATTAATTGGGTTATTATTATTATTTCTTTTTTTTTTTTTTTTTTTGGTGTTTAGCTCTTTGAGTTCTTTATATATCCTAAAGATTAGTGCTCTATCTGATGTGCATGTAGTAAAAATTTATTCCCAAATTGTAGGCTCTCTATTCACCTTACTGATTGTTTCTTTTGCTGAGAAGAAGCTTTTTAGTTTGAATTCATCCCATTTATTGATTCTTGATATTAATTCTTGTGCTATAGGAGTCTTATTAAGGAAGTTGGGGCCTAACCTGACATGATGGAGATTTGGGAATAATGCAATCAAATTTGAGGAGATTCAAGTCTAAAGGAATAGTAGTGGTAATAGTAATTATAAATCACCCCAAATTTTTTTTTTTTTGTCCATATTTGTATTTTTAAAAGGATTTTAATACCTTGGAAAACTGATAAACTATGGAAGCCACACATAGTATCTGTAATATACTGTTTAAAAAAAATCTTTATTTATTTTTATGTAGTGCTGAGGATCAAACCCAGTGCCTCACATGTGTGAAGCAAGAGCTCTACCACTGAGCAACAGCCCCAGCCCCAGTAATATGCTTTTGAATGCATGAACTAGAGAAGTGGACATTCTTTTAGTGTAACAATATTTATAAATATTATTCAGTTATTTTTAAGCCTAAGAAATTAAATATGACCTGGAATAAAACAAATTAATAATTGTTATAGTAATAACATTGCTGTAATTCATATAGCACTTAGTCTGGGCTAGGCACTATTATAAGTGATTTCCACACTAATTTTCTGATAGTCAAAATAACCTTATTTTATAGATAAGCAAATTTACTTGGAGTTCAGTAATACCCATTTATACTGACCCCTATCACACTACTGCCACCACAAAAGTGTTTTCTCTAAAAGCCTTTATTCTGTTTCTAACAGTTACTACCTATGAAACCTGCAGCCCATAGAAGTATTCAAGAGCTTTTTCATTTGTTTTATACTACTGGAGATAATATATACTTCATCCCTGTAGGATTGTTGTAAATTTCAAATGAAGTAACATTTACTAATGTCTTTAGAAATGTTAAAGCACTAGCCAAATCTAATTTGTTCTTGTTAAAAGATTTGACACTCAGGAGTTATTATAAAGGAATGAAGGTGATGCCATATTTCTGTGGTCAACAGCTGGCAGTGTAAAGAGAATGAATACTTTTTTATGATCAACTATAGTATATGTGATAATATGTGAACAGTTCTAAACTAAAAGTTATCTAAAATACTGGCTCTGGGATTCCAAAGTGAGATATCAGATCAAGATACCAATTTTTGAAACAAGATTAACCTACAAGGAAGATATAAAAGCATTAGAAGAGTGGAGTTGAAAAGGATTTATGAAGAAATTTCTTTGGTTAGAGCTGTTGCCTCCCATTTTTTTCCCAGACACACACTAAGGTGAAGAAGGGGTGTAACTAGAGACAGTTGCTTTGGGGTGTGTTCTTTTGAGGTCCTGAGGATTTTTGTTAAAAATCCTTAATTTTTGAACAAAGGACTCTGTAGGCCTCAGCATATGGATTGGTCACTATCACAGGTTTCAGAGGCTATGGCCCTCAGTGTAAGGCTAAGAGAGAAGAGAGTTGCCAGAGTTTTGGAAAATGACTGCTAGCTTCTGAGAGAGTGGTCATTGGTGGATGAACTCCCCAGGTAGGTAGGAATAGCTATGTACAGGGAGGAGGGAGTGAAGAATATTGTCAGATGGGATCAGCAGCACCCTGAGTTTGTTAGGTCTAGAAATGAGTGATGCCAGGTGTGAGAGTGGACTGGCACAGGAGTTAGCTTAGTTCCTGTTGGGTAGAGCCACTTTATAGGGTTAAGGGGGTCTCAGCAGAAAGGCAGCTAGAGGTTTTTCCACATTGCTAGAGGATGTGGAGTAAGAGGAATATAATACAGATGGCCCTACACTTAAGATCGTCAACTTCATGATTTCTTACCTTTAATGGTGTGAAAGCTTTGGTATGGATATACATACACACACAGCTTTCATAACATTAAAGAAACTTAACTCTGTGTGTGTGTGTGTAATGGAACCTGTACTCACATTTTTTAATTTTCATCCTTCCTGTGTTAGTGGCATGCAGTGTAACACTTTGTCTTGATAGTGAGGAGTAGCAGCAAGCTGCATCTCATTTATATATGCACTCATGAAGGTAAACAATCAATGCTCTACAGTGTACTGGGTTGTTAAGCTGTAATGTTTGGCAGGTTAGGTATTTTTAATGAGTTATAAATTATAAATAGTACCTTTTTCCTTTATATAAGGAAATTATAATACAAATTTTTATACAATTACTATTGCCAGCACTGCACTCAGAGAATATTTCTCTAACATTTTTCTTTCTTATGATTTAGTGTTTCAATGGACTGTATATTGATTCATATATTGACTTTTGTTAAAATGTGAAGTGAACTAGATATTGACTCATGATATCAACTTTATTCAAATGTATATAATGAATACCTTTAATTAAATCTTGGTTATAATTTGATATTTTTAATGAAAAAATTTAGGTTTTTTTCTTATGTAATTTAGTTAGCATTTATTTTCAGTTACTGTTTCTAGGGAGATACTTTGGTATAATATTTTTGAGTCAGTATATATTATAAAACTAGTTTGTAACCCAAGTTATGTACATAAACATTTCTTCCATAGGTGAATTTTTTTTTTAAGTTTTCAATATTGATAACTTTGGTTTAATTTTTTCTCTCTGATCTGCTTTTTACCTTCTATACTGTGATTTTTATTAAAATATTACAATTCAGGTTGCCTCTCTGGTTAAATAATTTTTGAAATATGTAACTTTATCACTACTATTAAAGAATTAATCATGTTATTTATGTTTTTGTTTATTTGGTGGACCAAAGGCTTACTAACTGATAGATTTTACTCACTTTAGTAGTATAATGCTATATTTCCTTTTAACAAATATGTCAGCATTTTTAAATGATGCCTCCTTTATAAGCCCTTTCTCTCACTGAGTCTACTCTGTTTTGTCACTCCTTAAAAGCAGGAATTAGATCTTACATTATTTTTTAATGATTATATTGAATTTTATACTTTATGCCAGAAATGTTAATATTTACTTTATATTTTTACAGGCTAATGTTTCCAGTGATCACTGGCCATCCTTGGTTCAAGAGGCTACAACTGAGGCCTTGAAACTTTGTTTCTGCCCACTAGCTGTTTTTTTGCAAGCTTTGTTACAATTCAACCGCAAAATGGGGGCACGGTATGAAGAGTTTTTTGTTCATTTTTTTTCTTGGCCATGCTTTCTTCACTTTAAAGCCTTCTAAGAAACAATCAAGGAAAGATTTATAATTAGCTTAATGAACTAGTTTAACAAACTTTGGAGTTATTCTCATACCTCTACTCTAAAACAGCTGGTTCTAGTTATCTGGTAAAGGAAAAAATAAAATTTCATATTTGTTTAAAAATAGTTTGCTAAGTAGCTACAAATATGAGATTTGTAGCATCACAGCATTTCAGTGAAGCAATCCTTGGTTTTGGTTTTTTTCTTTTTTTTCTCTGCTATTTTAGGATGAGCCAAGAAACAAAACCAGAAAAATTCAAGGTCAAGGCTACATTAATAGAAGTTCTTGCTCATATAGTGAAGTATGGAAAAAGTCATATATATTGTAAAAACTGACATATCATTTGAAAACAGCATGGTTTCATATCTAGAAAATCCAAAAGCTACTCAAATTAAAATATAAAAGATTAGCAATGTTTTTATTGGAGGTCAGGGGTATGGACAAAATAAACGTGAAGATAATTATTTAGAGGTAATATGGATGAAAAAGTAGTCAAAAGAGTATTTTAAAATTCTTAAAATAACATCTAGCTCTGATAACAAAGCAACCATAAGTAGACTAGTGATTTTGGAACAAATATTACTGAAACATAATAGTTATTGTAGAAGTAGAGTTTAATACATATAAATATGTGGCAAAAACCATCACAAAGTAGAGATGAAGGAAGAATTAAGACCCTATGACTAATCAGCATTTCCAAGACTGTTTATTAATATTTACTTTTGGCCATTTTCTGTGAGACTTATTTCACCAAGAAATGTTTTAGGCTATGAGCTTCCTAATGAACTTTTTCCTGCTGGTGCATACTATGGGCAACTTACACCTCCCATAAATATGAATATTTCTAAAACCAGCCCAAATAAATGTATAGTCTAAGAAAAAAACTGTGTGTTCATTATATCATCCCTATGTCAAAACTTCTTCAAGACAAGTTCTTTAGTTCCTGTTTCAAACAACTTCTACCTATAATATCCTTCTATCTCATGTTAATGAATTAGTAAAGAGAAAATTAAATTGTAATGGTAAATCAACATGTTATTGTATGAGTTCATATATTATACATATCCTTGAAAACATACATTAATACCAAATATTATGTACTTAACCTCTAGTGTAGATATTAAATATTTCTTATTCCAATATATATCTCCATTGTATTATTGATTTATTTTTCTGCCTACTTTCAGAAAAGATAAGAGGTACCTCACCCAGAAGTATTCATAAAATAAGGATCTTCTCCCCATACCCCTTGGAATGAGCCTTAATTTGCTTATCTGCAGTGGAAATAATAACAGCAACCCACCTAATAAGGTTGTGAATATTAAATTACAACCATTTGTATAAAACACATACTACATTATAAAATACCTAGTGCATTATAAGCACTTAATAAATATTAGTCATTGTTATTAATTTTTATTATCTGAATAAAAAAATCACAAAGTAATCATGTATGACATCTTCAAAAGAATGAGAAAAATGATATGTTAAGACTATTATATGAAATACCTTCTGTTAATTTACATGCTTTGAACTTAATTATAAATATATTTTTCCCAGAGAGACTCGGCGACTTTTGGAGAGAGTGGTATATCAACCTGGATATCCAAAGTCTATTGTATCAGCTGCACGTTGGTACCTGCTAAGACACCTGTACTTCAAAAATGACTATGAGCTCATTGATGTAAGGCTTTGACTTTATTTAAAATATTTTCATGTTGGACCTAAGAGCTTTAGAGTTGTTTTTCAAAATTAGTCTACTTTATGATGGATTTTTAAAAAATGAACTACCTAATTCTTTGGCCAACAAATTACTACAGTATCTATCATTGCATTCACTGAAAGTAGAGAAACAATTATGCACATCACTTGAAGGTTAAATAAGTGGTTTGCATTTTACCATGGGTTACTTATAAAATTCCCGTTTTAGTATTGTAATATTAAAAGCTGGGGTTTTTGACAAAAATAGCAGGATTTTGAAAGTTGTGTTTTAAAATAGGTTAGTATAAATTTAACCTGTGTATGTGCAAGATGCCTGTATGTAGGAAAGCTGTACTAAGCTTTCTTTGAGCTATACCCATTTCAAAACCAAAATCCAAACTAATAGCAAGTATTGCCAGTCTAGGGTATTGGTTTAAAACATTGGAATCATGATCAGTTGTGAAGTATGTTCTAAATAATTGATCCTAACTATAGGTGGCAAGAGGTTTCAGTTTTTAATTTCCTATAATAAAATTTAACAGATTCATCACTATCCTCACATCTATCAATGTATTCTTAGAAGCTTTCTTACATGAAAGAGCAGAGTAGAATTTTAGGGAACTGGCCTGATTGTCAGTATTTTATTTGTGAACCAAAACATCACAAGTTTAAAAATCATTCATCAGATGTACTGAGGTTTATAAAAAGTTGAGAGGTGCTCATCTAAAGTCTGTATCAAGTGAAATTTATAGCAGTACATGTGTATTTCCATCTAAACTCAACCTGAGGTGGCACCAAGAATCAGCATTTCTTTTTTTTTCCAGAATGGGATGATTTAGCTATCCTCTCTTTCTTTACTTTTGCTCTATCTTTAGAACTGAATGGATAAAATGTTTTATCAAAAAGCAAGTCTAAATGAAAACTCCAAAGTACTAAGTCAGAGAAAAAAGGATTTGTGAGTTCATATTGAGCTCATATTAACATCGTTGTTTGCGTCTGCTTGTTTCTCTTTTCCTGAGGTAGGAGTATGACAAATCCTATACAATCTGTTTAATCCAGAATTTCTCAACCTCAGCACTATTGATAAAGGTTTTGGACTGGATAATTCTTTGCAGTAATGAGTGCCATCCTGAACAAAGCTGGATGTTTAGCAGCACCCCTGGCCTCTAACCAGTAGATGCCATTAGCACTGTCCTCCTCCCTGCTACCCTAATTGCACCAGCCAAAAATGTTTTCTAGATGTTGTCAGATGATCCTTGGGGTATAATTGCCCATGGTTGAGAACCATTGGTTTAAACTATAAGTAATCCATTCCCCTAATATGACATGTAGAATAAGAAAAAGGATAAAAGAAGGTGCTGGGTGCTAGTTGTTTATTTTTATTAATATTTAAACTTAAGCATATAGGTAGATAGGATAGGGTTAAAGGTAGTAGAATCTAATGGGATGCTCACATGATCTTTAAAAAAATTGTTTGGCTTTTCCTTCCTTTTTTGGTAAAATGTGTGTTACAATATTTGCTCCTCATGGATTGGCTCTGGTATCTAAATATATAAACATGTATCTGAAATTCTTTTGAAAAAGGAAGAGCTTATAATAATGGAAAGGGTTAGAATTCTTATAACTTTAGCCAACAATTTCAAAAATAACAGTCAAACTAATGTAAACCTTTTTCAGTTCCAACAGGCAAATATTGTTTGCCTTTTGATGAAATATACAGTATTTAAAAAGTTCTAAAGAAAGCAATGCTTGGAGAAGTATAAACAACACATTACAAACCAAAAAGGTAGACTACATATGAATTTTGGGAGATAGTTTATTTACCATGTGTTTCTAAACATCCTGTGAATAGGGAACCTAACTACTCTGTTCCAGATTATCTTTTTAAGGATGTTTGTACAGTGAACAGCCTTGGGAGACAAAGATAATGTCTCCCTCCAGAGCAAATGGTAGGCACTACTTAATCACATTAAACTCCCATTATAAAAGATCTGAATATCTAGGCTCAGGGCCTCCCTCTTGTAAATGCAACCCATTATGTAGGTGGGAAATTGTGTATATCCATCTACAGGTGTTGGTATAAAATGCTGAAACTCATTCAAGGGAATGGTTGATGCTCATGTCACTTGACATATCATTAGTAATGAAGACCTTTGTCTTTGAGCTAAGAGTCCTTCATCTTCTGGCAGTATCGTGCAGTGGTGGCAAGCTATGTTGTTACCTTCTCAGATACTTCAGTGTTTGATAGTGAACAACCAAAAAATATTTTAGGAATTAGATTATCAGCTGGAATTGAATCTTCTAGTTTGAGAAATTTGAAAATCATGAAAACATTCTTGATAAAATCAAGAGCCTAGATTCTAAGCTGTGACTTTAACAGGGACCAGTGTCATTTAGACAGTTCTATACATAAAGTAGTCATTTTGGGTAAGGGTTTAGAGGTGACAGGAATGTCAACCAAGCCACGAAAAAAAATCTTTAATTTCTTAGAGGCCAACAATGTAACAATGTAACAATGAAAATATTGACATCTATACTAATAAATTGTGCTTCTCTCTTAAGTTAGCTTTGGTAGAACAGTTTATTTCAGCAAAAATGACTGAAAAATTGCACATAATTACTTTTTCTTGTGTAGTTTAATGTTGTCTTTTTAAGACTGCTGTCCTTGTGATACTGTTAATAAAATCCTAACATTCCTGTATGTGATTTCCCATAGGTGTTGGTAAAAAATGCTGAAACTCACAGAGATACAAGAGCATTGGAACTGAATCAGAAATTGTCCTCACAGTAACAGTGGATTGTCTTATAGTGAGCAAACAAAGAAAAAGCTGTAAGAATGAAGTTGTGAATCAAGAGTTTTCCCCAGAGCAACATATTTTAAAACTATAGTTGTAATCATCCATTCTTATTCCTTTTTTTAAGCTAAAGAAGTTAAAGCTCTTAATTTAAGGATGTAATTTTCCATTAACTCTTAAGATGACTGTAACCAGAAAATTATTTTTGATTTGGGAAGTCCATAACAAAGGAAAACCATGTTTCCCTTATTTGCTCAACAGTTATTTGTAAACCATGATTTTTTGTATCTTGCATGGTATATAATGGGACATCTTTTTTGATAATCCCTTACAATAAAGCCTTTATAGCCATTTTATAAATAATATAAAGAGCAGAACTTTCATTTGATGAAAAATAAATTCTAAGATTTAATTTCTTCCATGAATTCTGGAGTTCATATACCAACTCATCATGAAATCCAAATAATCCTGTAACCTGTTTTGCTAGAGTATCATCTCAGAGTCCCTTGAATATGCATAATATAAATGTTAGTCTTTGACTACTATTGATATGTTTATATAATTCAAAATACTCAGGTGTGTGGCTTCAGTTAAAAACGATGGAAAATGTTGGAAAATAGTGCTGACAGTATTTAATGATCATGCAGATTCTTCAATTTTGATGAAAAGACTTAATTTTCTGAAATAAAGTCTTATTTTCTCTATAGTATCAGTATGAGATAATTTCTAAATTTCAAATTGAGAAACTTGAAAGCAGTTTTCTGTTTTTTTCAAAAAGTCTTTTACATTTTAAATAAGATGTATGTTGCTTACTTTGAATTTGTAGTTTTAAAAATATTTTCAGACATTTACAGATGTTATTTATTGTACAAAGATATGTGGTTATATTTTACGTATGTGGTTTTTCTAAACCAGCCGCTTCACAGTGTTACTTTGTAAGATAATATAAATTGATAATAGTCTATAAATTGTACTTCAGAGGCTAATCTATTAAACTGAACCATAATCTGGTGTTTCCCAAATTTGACTGAACATTATAATCATTCAGACCTATGCTGTCAGAATATTTCAAGACCGGAGGAGCCTAGAATTTTGCATTTTAAAGGAATGCCCGAAAACTTCTAATGTTTGTTCAGATTTATGAATCACTGGATTAATCTAATGATTCTGCTTTTCTTTGTTTCTGTAACAAAATCAAGCACCTGTCATTTTCTGCTCCTTTGTTCCTTTTTCTCAAAGCTGTCAAACCTATTCGGTTCTTTTAACAACCTGGCACAAAGCCAGTGAGAGATGCACTGCAGAAGGCTGCCTGTGCTACCCGAGTATCCATGTTCTCCTCTTTCCTCAGGAAAATGCTTCAGCTTTTTCATCTTGAGTGGACTGGTTCCATCTGCCTGGATGCTTGGTTCAATTCTTATCCACCATTCACTTTCGTAGGTGTCACTTGCTTCACAAGGTTAATTCCACCTACAGTGTGGTCTTGATTAGCTTTTGCTCCAGGCCTGTAATTAAGGGGTAACCTTTTGACTCCCTTGCCAAATTCTGGCTTCCCAGAACCTCAGTCTCAGGTTAGAAAGGAGACTTGGAGCTGGCGTGGTGGCTCCCACCTATAATCCCAGCAACTCAGGAGACTGGAGCAAGAAGATCACAGTTTCCAGGCCAGCCTCAGCGACTTAGTGAGTCCCTAAGCAAATTAGTGAGACCTTGTATCAAAATTAAAAATAAAAAGAGCTGGATGTAGCTTAGTGGTAAGGCATTTATTGGTTCAAACCTCAGTACTACAAAAGAAAGGAGAGTTGTAACAACCCCTTAGTTGATATCATCCAAGGTCATTCTTTTTTTGCATTTACATGTACACATCTTCTTTAAAATTTTGTTTATTACTTTCTCTTAAAATTGCTGCCCATTTTGAGCCTTAAATCATTCTTAATCATGTAATTTTTACAAAGCTTACTTTGTGCTGAACTTAGGCTGAATTCTTAATGTTATCATTTAATTCTAGTTAATAAATGAGAGCAATGTTAAACAGCATACTTAAAACAAAATTTGAAATAAATAGTGTTTTCAGATTCTAGAAACTTTAAAAAGTGGCCAGGATTTCTTTTTGGAGTTTATACATAAGTATAATTAGACTCAAGATATTTCCTAAAGTGCCAACATTTAACATTTATCTTAGTGTTTAATTATTTTTGTTATATCTTATTTGAGAATTATGGTGTATTTGCTTTTATTTTCTATCCACCATTTGACTATCATTGATTAATTAGATGTTTATAGACTTGTTTGGCATCTGAGGATAATTTTTTATGGGAAAAATATATTTTGGCATACAAGTAAACTTTTGGAACATTATTTGGGATCACTTGTCGTATTTCTTGAAGTATCACATTAATTTCTGGTCAGAAGAAAAAACAAACCTTTAATTTAAGATGCTATGCTCTTTTTTAACTTTACTAAATGAGCTCTTGACAAGTGTTCTTTTTTTTTAATTGCTTTTATTTTTTAAATACATGACCTCGGAATGCATCACAATTCCTATTACACATATAGAACACAATTTTTCATATCTCTGTTTGTATATTAAGTATGTTCACACCAGTTCTTGTCTTCATACATGTACTTTGGATAATGATGTCCATCAAATTCCACCATCATTGCTAACCCCCTGCCCTCTCCCTTCCCCTTCCACCCCTTTGCCCTATATAGAGTTCATCTATTCCTCCCATACTCCCTCTCCCCATCCTACTATGAGTCAGTAACCTTTATCAGAGAAAACATTCGCCTTGACAAGTGTTCTTTAGTTAGGATTCTACATGGACTAGGACTGGATAGAAATACTCAGGTAGTACATTAAAGAATTTGAAAGGTTAGTTATTGACCATGTTATGAAACTTTAGTTAGGTTAATAAATACTGATAATATGAATGTAAAAGGGCACACATTTGACTCCTCTGTAGAAAGTTTGGTATCTACTTTGGGAAAACTATAGGAACACAACAGTGAAACCTATTTGGGAGTCAGTGTGGTTTGTACATCTATTTTATTTTTTACACATTAAAAAAATGTAGATATTCTGTTTTGGCAGTGTTGACCCTGATTACTGTCCAGATCCTCATTTCTCCCACTGTAGTTGCCAATGGATATACAACTTTGCAGGCTTCCTTCCATGCTGCTTTTGTAAAGGATAGCACTCAGCTACAGGTTATAAATGAACCCTCAATTTGCAGGAGAGGTTTTTTTGTTTTGCTTGTTACATACTTTAAAAAATACATTTATATATTATATGCAAGCACAAAAATTTCCCATGTATTGTTATTTAATGACTTATTAAATGAAATAAAATCATAAACTTCTCTCACTTAGAGTATATACCCCATTTTCAGTTTAAAAAATAAAGTCACTTAAGTTCTATTGTATCTCACAACCACTCACAGTGTCTGTTAATGTACTGTGTAACAATGGGGTTTTTCTTTCTTTGGCTGATTAGAAACTTTTTTAATGCCAGGAATTTAAACTCTTTTTTTTTGTTGTTGTTGTTAATATCTTTGTTTTATTTATTTATTTCATATGGTGCTGAGGATTGAACCCAGTGCTTCACTCATATGAGGCAAGCACTCCACTCAACCACAAAGCTATAACCCCAGCCCTGGATTTTAAATTCTAATGTACCTAAACATCCTGTTCAACTAAAAGTTTTTAAAATAAATTCTAAACTAGCTTTAGACCTCAAAAAAAGAGTTTTTGTTTTGTTTTTGTAGTGATAATTGGAGCCAGGGATACTTTATGACTGAGCTATGCTTCCAGTCCTTTTTATTTTTTGAGACAGGGTCTTGCTAATTTACGAACTTAAATCCTTCTGCCTCAGCCTCCCAAGTTGCTGGGATTTTAGGCAGGCACCACCGTACCTAACTTGGATCTTAAAATGTTTTGAAGTAGGTACATTTCTTCTTTAATAAATAGCTATTAGGAAACATTTAAAATAATTTTTTGAAATTAATTTTGAACTCAGAATTGAAAATAGCAATTTGTTTTAGTGAAGCAAAATGGTGCTAGAAGAGAGAGAATTAAAATTGGAGTATCCCTAAGGATTTGGTTCCACATTACACCACTGGATTGTGACATGATTGGCATGTCTTGATCTTTACTGAGTTTGCTTCAGTAAAAAAAAAATAATTTAGGCTTCATTCTTCACCACATATATTCTCTGTATGTAATATTTACTATAAGAACATAATTAAATTAATTTTTCTGAAGATAAAGTGGGTAATAAGAAAAAGTATCCTACCGTTTCTGCTTATGGTAGGCTGAATAATGGTGCCTATATATATTCATGTCCTAATTCCTTGCACTTGTGAAGATAGGGAGAAGGAGACTTTGCAGATCTGGTTGAATGTATAGACCTTGAAATGGGGAGAGACTCCTGTGTTATCCACGTGGAACCAATTTAATCAAAAAAGTCCTTAAAAGCAAAGAGCATTTCAGAGAGATGTGACAGTAGAAGGTCAAAGAGAGCCCACATTGCTGATTTTAGAGATGGAGGAAGGGGGCATTGGTCATGGAAGGAGGTGACTTCTAGAAACCAAACAGCAAGGAAGCATTCTTCTGTGGAGCCCCTAGAAAGGAATGCTGCCCTGTTGACGTCTTGCTTATAGCCTGGTGAGTCCCAGGTTGGACCTCTGACCTACAGAACTCATCTACAGCACTTTAAGATTAGTAGTTTTGTAATTTCTGTTGTTTAAGCCATTAAATTTGATGATTTGTCTTAGCAGCAATGGAAAATAAGTATACTGCTAATTGTGTATACTGTTAAAATGAATACATATATCTTTTACTTTCAGTTTCATAAGATCACTGAGATTAGAGATCATCTAAATTATTGTTAAAGTGAAGTGATAAGATATAGATGATGAGTTATTAAATAGTTTTACTGTGAAAACAGACTTGACTCTTAAGAATATGGCTGTCGATTTCTCTAATAGTTAATATCTGAACTGTTGTCACCCAATGTGGTATCAACCACATACTAGCACCAACACCATTGATAAGTACTTCACTCTGAATTCTCTTAAACAAAAACTACATTAAATTATACTCACAAAAAACTAAGAAGTGTGTTCAACCTGTTTTACTGTTAAATGGATACATGACTGGGTAAGTCTTCACTCTTGGCCTTTAGTTTTTTCTGTGTATTTGTAAAATCAGGGCCTTGAACTAGATTTCTAATGACAAACTTCTAGTGTTCTAATAATGTCACCAAAGTTTTCAAGTCAGAAGTGAGCTGAAGCAAAACTGTGGATATAAACTGTATGGTACAGCACATGTGAAACAGTGGCTCTAATTTCCACTGAACACGGTTCCCTTGTGCTTGCAAACCTTAGGGTAGAACCACTCTGCAAAAAGGCTCATGGTAAAGGAAGGGAAAGAGGTTTGGGGGCTGAGACTCTGGGAAGAAAAGTGTTCTTCACTCAGTACTTTGATGGAAGCCAACATTTATACATAGTTGAATGTAATTATATGTGCCTACTACATGTCCAACAGGTTATACTTTTTATAGAAAGGCCGCCACTTTAAATAAAACATTATTTTAATATCTGACTCACAGGTAGCTTAAATAACTTGAGTTTCTAAGACCCTTTCTTTTTAATACCATTTCCTTCCCTTTGACATACAAAATATATCATTGCTTAATTAGTATGGAGAAAAAAA